ACGTGAGGGAAGATCTGGTCGGCAGATCTCCGGCACGGTGGGGGATCTTGACCTAATGTCGCGGAGCTAGACTCGACGCGACCAGGCAACGCCTACAACAAAGAAACTAATACGATCTAACCCAAGGGCGGCGAGCGCGAAGGCTTGCTAACGCCGAGCGTAGACTTTCAAGTCAAATCTAGCCCAAGGACCAAGTTAATATTATGCTGACTAAGAGAATACAAAGGACGGCTTACCTAGCCCAAGGACCAAGAGGTCAAGATGAGGGCTAGGGTCGCTACAGGTGGGGTTTATATACTGAGTCAGGGGAGCCAAACATGTACAAACATAACGGCGGTCTGTGCGCACATTAGTGCCAGTCTGCAGGTGGGGGTCAGGTGACTGGTCACATGCTTCTAACTACTGGTTCTAAGTCTAAGTATCGTACAAATGGCCGTAGAAAATAAGGAAAAATGCGGAAAAATATAGGGGTCTCGTCGTTTCCACGACAACCACCGTGACTGCAAGATTGTAAGATGTTGCTTGCGCCTATGGCACCGCTCAGCCCTCCGAGCGGATACGACCGCTTCCCGGCGCCCGCGCACCTGACCGAACACGGAGATGACGCGCGAAAGGTTGCGTAGACCTCGAACAGAGTGCCATCGCGTGCAGACCAGGAGCTGAACAGCATCCTGAGCATGCTCGACGCAGTTGAGAGTCATAGTGATGCGGGCGAAGCGCAAGCAAACCTCGGCACGGGGTCATTCACGACATAGAGCCTGGCTGCGAGAAGGCGCCAAGTGGACTCCTTGACCTGCTATCGGACACAAGCGAGCACCGCTACTGGAATCCGTAATCGAGACCGAGGTGCCTTCATAACATGTACAAACTATATCTACGTGACTTTCACGGGCTTGTATGATGTTAGTTTCCAAGTGGTGTAGGGATGCGGGGAGGAAGACGTACAGAACGGCTCAAGGGCATCGTAAGCCAGACTGTCCGGCCTTGTATGTTGGCGTAGTGCCGAGCAACCGGCGCAAGCAAGTCAGATAGGGCGACGATCGGGGAGGGACCAGGCTCTTGTGCGGTGTCCACAAAAACATCTGCCTCCCACACCTGCAAGGAAAAGAACGTATGACTTCATAATGTGAGCGCTGACGTCTGAAATATGTAGTGACAAAGAACAAGCGTACCATGCTCGCCAGGACGTATCGTTCAAGTCGACGTTGCTGATCGGCCGCAGCCACTTGACAAAGGCGAACAACTCCCGTACAGCGGTGAGGCCGTTCTCATACAGTACAACATCTTGCAGTTCACCAATCCAGGTGGCGCCAGTCGGGGAGACACGAACGAGCACCAACGAGTTCACGGCAGTGGTAGCGCGACGAGCAGCCTGGTAGCGGTGACCACCGACAACGACATGGTCGAAGACGGTAGCGAGGTTGCATACGACCTTACTCCGAGGATCTGTGGGGATCGCGATTTCGGAATGGTATGGCTGCAGTGGGTCGCGACGTTTCAGATATGCGAGGAATGCGAAATAGACGTCAGTCGGCAGGTTCTCGGTGGCGGAGCGGGGGCTGAACGAGAGCGATACATTATCTAGCAACACTGTGAGTATAGGTAGCAAAACAAGCCCGTCTTGAATCAGCTTACCGTCGCTGAAGACCTCGTCAAGCTCTTCCGCGAGCTGCTGTAGAGTACCACGGTTGTCAGAGGTGGCATCGAGCATCAAGCGACATGCTGCGCTGAATGGGGCGTGCGTAGGATGTTGCACGCCCTCCGTAAGCTGAGATGACACTACAAGTCAGCATGGTATGTGTCGAGTGTCACTACAGGAACATACCAAACGGTGCATGTGGGTCGCGCGATGGAACTCCCGAAAAAACGTCATCTCGATCGCTCCGCCTTCGTGATTGTTCGTTTTGTATCCCTTCAAGATCTTGTTCAGACGTTCAAAGAGGAATGTCCAGAATTCTCTCAGAGGTCCGTAGTCCCGTACGAACTCCGCGGTATGCGTGGCGTAGTGGTGATTTGGGCGGATGACTTCCGGTCCATACAGCTGGCAATCGAGTCAGTCTACATGAATCGCACAAACTTAAACAGATTCTCATACCTCGACAAGCTCGGCGCAATACTCCCGAATGAGCGCGTCGGCACGCAACAGCTGTGCCTCATCAATGCTCTCTGCAAGGAAGAGCTTCAATGCGGAGCATAGTTTGAAGAAGTTCTCTAGATCGCGCGGATGCAGTTGCGGTGCTCGCGAGCTGTCATCTTCGTTGTCCTCTTCATCCACCCACGCTCCCTCGTCAGGTTTGTCTTGTGCTCCTGCATCATCGTCTTCGAGCACTAGGTCCTGTTCAGAAGATATACACGCCGGCTGTCAGTAGCAATCAAATACCAGCCACTCGTACAGGCACGAACCTTGCCCTTTGCGGTAGGTTTACGTGTGCGTCCTGAACGACGCTGGGGCTCCGACTCCTATTGAACAACCATGTGAGCATGCCGGCACGATTTAAACATGTTCAGCGCTCACCGCGAGGTTGGGCCCGGCCCCCGCAGGACGTCGCTTCCCAGTCGTCTTTTTCGCCCCACCCGTGCCTGCTCGTTTGGCTTGCTGTTGCCGCTTGCGAGCCGATGCTGTCTCACGAAGTGTGTCACGCCGCTGGGCCAGGAAATCGGGCCCGTATTGATCGACGTCCAATGTGTTGACATCGTCCCACAACGCAGGCAGCTATAATCCAGGTGGTATCAGTACATGAAATCTGCCCGCGAACGGACGGACGCACCACCAGAGGACCAACAATTGTGGCCAAAATGAGCCACTGATCGGCGGTGAGCGACCCGCCGGCAGGTTCGCCGATCAGCTTTGGAAGGCGGCCAAGCTTCGACGGAAGCTGAAGCTGACGGTCGGAGCAGGTTAATGTGGAGAAGCACGGTGGCAGGGTATAAGTACACACCCCAGCCAGTATCTCATGGAGTTGGCGAATCTCCTTGGTCTTGCGGAAGATCTTGAGCTGCACCCATATGTGGTAGAAATGTGTCTTCACCACACCTAAGACTCCATGTCAGATTTGACAACAGTGGAGACAAAACTGGCGTACCGAGGAATAGATTGTGCATTGGGTCAACTACGACCATGCGGCACATGTCAAAATATGGGAGGCGTGCGAGTTCGGACCACCGTGTAGCGTAAGACTTCGCATATGTCTCGCGAGCGTTTTTGTTCGTACAGGCATGATACTCGCGCATCATCTTGCGATGATGCACATCCGTCCGAGCCGTGAAACCTGCAAGTAGGCATGAATACACTGACGATCACGACATGCACTGACTCGGATAACTCACCGCCCTTCGTGAATGCAGCGATTGTCGCCTTCAGACCCTGCGTGATCCAGTCGCGGGTGCAGAAAAACGTATGGGCATGAGACCCGAAACCGCCGATCTTATGTGCTGCCGGTTTGTCGCAGAAGACACCGACGAGGATGACTCGCACGAGACGGCCTCGCGCAGTACGGTACGTGGGCATTACCTGACCCTTGTGCCAGAGGCGGAGCAGCTCATTGACGAGCACTCGCACATAGCGCTGTGTTTGATCGGGGTCGGTCTCCTTGGGGCCAGGGATAATCATGCTCAATAACAGATTGCTAGCACGATACCTGCCAAACGCATGGACGTGAGCAATGACAAACCAGCAGCCAAACTGATCAAGCACTGACCGAAGATGAGGCGGTAAATTTACTATGTTAAAGGACATTGGACATGAGGTGTACGACGGTGTGATAAGACTGCGAAGATACGAGAACCTGCAAAGACCCTCTGCCTAAGTCTCATGGACGCACCAGCTCGACGCAGGGAGACTAACCAATCGATGCCCAAAGCCAGTCCTATTCTAAGCTCTCCCTCAAGATCTACTGCGTCGTCGTGCTTGAAGAACGGTAATCCGTCGGGTCCAAGGAGTGACTTGCTGATCGCGCCATCGAAAAAGTCGGCAAGCCACCCTGAGAGACGAGAGCGGCGACGCCACGAGTCAAGAGCTTCTTCTATGCCTGGCTGAGCGAGGAGTGTCGAGAGTTGCTCAACGATAGACTTGGCCGGTGTTTGAAGATAGGGCTGCGCGCGCGCTCGTTTCCCCCGTCTCTGCCCATGGCGCGTGCTGCTGTTGTCGATCTTGAAAAGCGGATGGCTGCAGAGACAGCAGCAGGCGTTGCCGTCGGCGGTAACAGCCTCTGGATGAGGCTCGAGACAAGCCGGACACGTAGGATACATCCTGATGGCAGGATCCATCCGCAGGGCAGACAGGCAACCGGTGAGGGAGGTGCGGAGGAGAGGCGTGAGATTCGCCTGACCGGCATCCACGAGGATATAGCCAATCACGGACAACACGACGTCGCAGAAACGAAACGGGAGGTGCGCAGCGAGGTGGAGCCAAGCGACCAATATCATCGCGAGGACGACCGACGGGTGAGTCATGCTCCATGCGGACCATGACGTGCCAGAGATGTTCAGAGGTGTATGGAAGGGGTCCGGATCTTCAACATGGGCCATGGCCTCGGTATCAAGGGGCATGGAGGGGGCGACAGCATGCGCTGGTGCCGCTACTAGCCCGGGGGCTGGTAGCGGCGTACTGGCGGCGAGCCCTGGCAAAACCGTTGCGACACCGGGGGGAAGGGCAGCTGCCGTGCCAGCGAGGTCACTACTATCACACTCCTCCCAGTCATCGTCGTCACAGATGGGTAGTGCGGGGTCGTCTGTGTGGTTAATGTTAGCGCTGATGTGCTGGCATGTATACTATATCGCACATACCAAAGGCCGTTTGGATGGTCGGCACTACGAGGTCCGCATCTTGTGAGTCAGCGCCTCCAGTCAACAAGGACGAGTTGAGCTCCGCGAGAGTTCGGGGAACGAGGGGAGCTATAGAGAGCGACGTCCATAGGGCTGAGGGGGCGGATGGTGGTTGGAAAGAGCGAATGAACGCCCAAACAGCCTGCGTGGCAGTCGACGGTGGGAGCGACGGCGGCACCGGCCGTTGAGAGGCTGAGGTGTTTAGGTTAGGACTGACACCTGGATTTCCCACAGCCTATACATGTCAGAAAGTGTCAGCGACGACTCATGGCGCGTAATGTGTCAGTACCTACCTGTACCGAAGCTGGCTGAACGTCCTCCATTCCTTCTCCACTCTCTGCGCATGCCTCCGACTGCAAGCCATCGCCAGGTAGAACTTGGGACTGAGGACCTCTTGTAAGCATCTCAGCCTGCGTACTCTTCGCTTTCGAGAAGGCTTTCTTGCTGAGTAGGATGGCGTCTTTCCGTTTCATCGTCACCTTCGTGGATGCGCGACGCCGCTGTTGGGCGTAGTGACTGACGCGCGTGGAGCGCGGCTGCATGCCTCCCTTGCATCTCGTGCAGGGGCATGAGACAAGATCCGAACGAGCCTGGTTAGATGGAGGAACCAGGGTGAGTATTCTTTTCGAAACCGTCGATGACGAGCACTTACAGGTTTCCCAAGCATAAGGACGAACAATACAGACTGTTGTAGACGTCGTAAGAAGAAGCAAGTGCGACTATTCAAGTTATACAGCGAGCCCCGGCAGTCTGTTGAGGAAGGAGATCTTGTGGATGGATTTTCGCACAACGGCAGAACCGACGAGGACGAGGACGAGGGGGAAAGGAAAGGTGCGAGTTTACCTATCACGCGCAAGGCCCTATATGACTCCCGCAACGGATGACATATATACACAGCGCGACGAGTGATAGCGGGCACCGCGATCTCACATCTCCCTCACCACCTGAGCGCCCGCCACAGTCGTTGGCGTCAAGAGGTTATGCGTGGTGTTCCTGCGAAACGTGCCCAACCTATCAGGTGTGCATCTTCCCTCCCCAGGCAAGGCGAACGGGTGCTAACCGTCATACAAGTGGAATCGATCCATCCGCGTGTGACGACGATAGCGTACGTACCACATAGCCCGCATGTACGTAGCCTCAGGCGGTCCGTGTCCGAGCTACTCGTGTCCCGGATGCGGACCTGCATACACCGAGTGCACCAATATCATTGTATGGCGCGAAGTGAGCCTATACAGGCCGACGCGCAGCCGCGCCGCGTGCGCACCCTCCATATGAGACCGAACCTGAACACTTGTAAATTGAGGGTATACTAGTATCAAATTATCTACGCCGACATGTAACCGGCGCCATTGCTCTCCGTCATCGTGTCGCTCCCAGCACCATTCAAAGACAATGCAAGCATTGCATCGACCAGCTGATTTGCTGAGCGAACACGCCGAGGCCGGGGAAGCGGGCGGGATGGATCGCGCGGGCGCCGTGCTCGTGGCTCGCATACGTCCTATCAAAGACGACCAGTGAGTACGTAGATAATCCCGTAGTGAGATGAAGGCTTACCTTGATGCGCCATACATAGGCAAGGAGTCTGCCCCAGGATTTGACCATCGGAAGCTTGAGGTACGGCGTAGTGAGGAGATTGAACGCGTAGGTTTCGAGCCATTTGTACGACCGGACTCGCTTTGCGAATCTACCCGCCCTGTCTTCGAGGCGTAACAGCCAAGTCGGGGTGTCGACCTGGCCCAAGTCGCCGACAAACTCTGCGAGGGTGAGCTTGAGGGGCGTCATGAACATATCGGGTTTGAGGCTGAGGACCAGGGTCCAGGTCGAAGGGTCCTGAAAACAGCCTTCGACCTTGCCCTGTATAAATGTCAGTCCATGAACAATGAAAATTGCGTAGATATGATAGACGTACCAGACGTTCCTCGATACTGAGGTCGATAGCGACATTCTCGATGGGGCCCATCCCCTGCAAAGCGTCGAGGCCCAGGATATCGCCGTCGAGCAACGCCGCGGTGAACATCTCCGCTGGTGCTGTTGGCGTACGAGAGGGCGGTGGCTGGGCAGCGAGGTCGCGCGGGCGAATATGCCCCACACCGGCCTTGCGAGACGAGCTTCGTAGTTTGTACGCGAGGTAGGGCACGGGCGCATTGCGCGAAGGGTTTTGGATGATTGGCTTGCGGCTAGGTGGCATGTCGAGCGGGATGGTGGGGGAAAAGAGAAGGACGACAAAGCATGGTACGAGCTTCGAGAAAATATATACACATGGAATGGGATGGCCCAACGCGCGACATCGCATTCGGAGAGGAGGAGACATCGCGCGTCGGCGCGATCTCACATCTCCTTCCACGGGCGCTAACGATAGCCACCGCAAATCTCTTTCCGTACTATTCGGGGGACTTCACATCTCCTGCAATCTCCTGCCTCATATCCATACTCGTCGCTAAAATTGCGATCTCATGTCGCGCGCGGCTCTATGTGGGTATATCTCTCATAAACTCGATGCTATGTGAACTTATTGGCAATCACATCGGGGAGATTGCCCCGTGCGATTCGCGACTTCACGCAGTGACAGTGTGACATCATGGACTAGGCCCTGTGAATAACTGTTCGCGCATGCGTACCGCATGCTCATTCGCATCCAAGAGCCACCACATGACGCTTTGACAAACAACCATACCAACAATCAGAGAGAACTGGGCATCACGTTCATGGTCACTGCTGACATCTCCAGCTCGCCAGGTGAGTATCCACTCTACAAGTCCTGTGGAGGAGAACTCCGCGGCGATACACTGGACAGATCAGACTTCGACTCCTCCCACGGATCGCAGCGGTATTTTCAGAGGGCCGCCCCCGCGCCCAGTACCTGCATCACCTCATCGTCAGGTGCCCGAAGCCCTGCCATCTGAACTCTGAAGGCACATGCTACCGGGGACTCATTGCGAGGTCTCGTTCGCGCAAGTGCTGACACCATCGAAGACGATATGACGCACGGGTCGCCCACGGCATCGCTTCCTCGCCGCGCTCCTCGTCACATTGCGCGGGCAGCTGACTGGCGCTCAGCGTGGTGCGTCCGCGACGCTGCGGCGGCTGCGGGTCCGCCGATGCGCGTCTGCATGAGGAGCGTCCGCTGCCGAAGCCCTCGGTTACCGTGATCGTAGCCGGAGGAGGGCTCGCCACAGCTTAAATACGTTTGAGATGCACGCCGTCGTGCCTTCGACCGACCGACGATGTTTGTGCCAGCCCTCCTCGCTGCGTGGGCTTCTCTGCTACTTGCCCCCGTGCTGGGGGCCGTGACGTGGACCGCGACCCCGTTTAACCCCGCTTCTGTGCCGTTGGCGGTCCGTTCGCCGTACTTGTCTGCGTGGCTCCCACAGGGCGCCGGCACTGCTTTGAATGACGCATGGCCTACTTTTTGGACCGGAAGTGTGAGTACCCTGTCGTTTCTGAAGCTATACGTTGCTCATACCCTGGTATTTGTAGATCCTCGGATGGGCAGGATTTGCCAAAGTCGATGGTGTTACCTTCAACTGGCTTGGTACTCCTGCCGTCGCTGGCACAACATTCAACAAAGCTACACAGAAGAGTCTTCAGGTAGGTGTCGGTCTACCGTTGCATCCCCACACTTAGAACTGAGCGATTGTTCAGTTTACCTCAACTCAAAGCATCTTCGTGATGACTGCTGGTCCCGTCGACCTTACCGTCACATTCCTGAGCCCCGTAGAGGTAAGGAGACTGCGTGTTACGCCGTTTGCCTACTGCGCCGCATACTGATAATGAACACTCAGCCGAGCGACCCCGTCAATCAATCGCTTCCTCTATCATACTACTCCGTCTCTGCCGCGTCCAACGACGGCAAGGCGCATAGCGTCCAGATCTACACAGACATCAGCGCAGAATGGGTGACCGGTGACAACAGCCTTACTGCGAACTGGACCACGACGACCGGCAGTGTCCTTACCCACCAAGTACAGCTCGCGACCCAAACTCAGTTTGGTGAAGTCAGTGATCATATTCAGCGTGAGCGTCTAATCTATTACCCCCGCACGAACGCCGCGACTCATTTCATGCTACAGAGGGCTCCGCGTACCACTCGACTCTCAACGTACGCACCCCCAACATCTCAGCCCAGCTCCTCCACTAACACCCACCGCAGACCGTTGGCGCAACCTGGCAGAACGGCCAAGACACAGTCGTGCGCGCGCAGTTCATCAACAACGGCAAGCTCACGAACGCCGGCGACACCGCCTTCCGCGCCGTCTCCGACCGCTGGCCCGTCTTCGCCTTCGCACACGACCTCGGCACCATCACCGGGGCGACCGCCCCAGTCGTGTTCGCCGTTGGGCACGCACGCGACCCCGCGGTGCAGTACATCGTCGCGGGCGGCGCGCTGCAGAGCAGGAGCCTTTTCTTCTGGACGCGATTCTCGACCGTCGCGAGTGCGGTGAGTCGTCTTGCGGCTTGTGTGTGATTGGGTGGGGTGTGCGTGCTGATGGTGCGGTAGATCTCGACGTTCTTGGGTGATTACAGCAATGCGCTGGTTCGCGCGAAGGCGTTCGACGCGAAGGTGAACGCGGACGCGACGAAGATCTCGGCGGACTACGCGTCCATCGTTGCGTTGTCCATCCGCCAGGGCTTTGGCGCGATCGAGACCACGGTCTCTAGGACGGGAAGCGGGTTCAACACCTCGGATGTGCTGGTGTTCATGAAAGGTTCGTACCGTACTCGCCTTCGTGCCTCGTCGATATTGACGACTGCTGTAGAAATATCCAGTGACGGAGTAAGCTCCCGTTCTCGAGCCTACACTAAGGCACGGAAGGCTAACAGTTCTACAGAACGTGAACACGGTCGACGTGATCTTCCCTGCGTGGCCGCTCTTCCTCTACACGAACCCGACGCTCGGAAAGCAACTGCTGCTTCCATTGTTCGAGTACCAGGCGACGGGTCAATACCCGAACAAGTGGAGCGTGCATGACATGGGTGAGTTCCAGGGAGACCAAGGGTAAGGTTATCTATTGATGGCGGCTGGGCCTATATAGGGGCGAGCTACCCGAAGGCCCTCGGGCACAACGATGGTAACTATGAGTGAGCTAGCTGCATGTACACGATATTTACCCAGGGTTCCACAGGCAAGGACGAGGCGATGCCCGTCGAAGGCCCGTATCCCAGCTCGCGTTCGGTCTGGTCATGCGTACTGATATATGCACTCTACAGAGAGCGGCAACATGCTCATCATGACGCTCAGCTACACCCAAAAGTCGAACGACCTCTCCCTCATCAAGACATACGTATGTCACCCCCTTCCCTACCCTTCTCGCGCCCCGACCCTAAGCTCACTCGTGCTCCACACAGTTCAACCTGCTCGACCAGTGGACACAGTTCCTGATCACGGACTCGCTCATCCCCGCGAACCAGATCAGCACGGACGACTTCGCGGGCAGCCTCGCGAACCAGACGAACCTCGCCATCAAGGGCATCGTCGGCATCAAGGCCATGGCGCAGATCGCGTCGCTCGTCGGGGACACCGCGCGGAGCGCGAACTACAGCGTGAGCTCTCTGAGGCATCATGGGGGATCGAGACTGGGAAGCTGATGGCGCGGGGAAGTCGATTGCGGCCTCATATGTACAGCAATGGCAGAAGTTCGCTACGTCGTCCGATGGGACCCACTTAACCCTTTCGGTACGTCGTGTCATGCTTGCGTTCACCTGGCATTGCTTAACAGCAGGATTCAGTACGGTGACAGCGCTAGTTGGGGCCTGTCGTACAACATGTTCGCGGATAAGTTGTTGCAGACCAACGTCTTCCCGGCCTCCGTGTTTGATATGCGTGAGTGGTAGGGCGTTCCTTGAACGCAGGGCCTCATTGACTTTGGATGGTTGTTTCGCAGAAACGACATGGTACAGTACCCATGCCAGTAGGTATCCTCCCCTGCTTCATAGGAGACGTCGCTAACTTCTCCCAGACGCGTTTGGCGTGCCGCTCGATACTCGGTAAGTCGCGCGCGTACGAACCACAGGTCCTGTGATACTGACGACCGTCACAGCCACACATACACAAAGTCGGGTACGCATCTCGGAGAAGCACAGCAACGATAGCACCCGCTCATTTCATTTTGTGCCCACAGACTGGTCAATCTGGACCGCCGGTCTGGTGACGACGACCGCCGTGCGCGACCTGCTCATCAGCTCGGTGCGCAAGTACGCGGCGGACGGGAAGAGCTCGCAGCCGCTCGGGGACTGGTACGAGACGACGGACGGATCCGTGGAAGGGTTCCGTGCGCGGCCGGTTGTCGGCGGGCACCTCGCTGTGGTATGTCCCTTTAAGGTTATGTTATGCGCCGGTTGGCGTCGTGCTAATGGTTGCACACAGTTAACATTGCCTTAATACGAGTGCAATTGAAGGTCGGTGCACGGAAGGTGCTAAGCAAGAGCGTCTTCATATTAGCTGTACTTGTATATACCCGCGAACCTCTGTACAATGAACTCAAACAAGACGTTTCATCGTCGACGTACATATATAGTGCGAGGCTCGCGCGACGAGGAGGCTGGGGTCCCGGGGAAACACGGTCACGTGGCCGTCGATGGCGGGGCGGGATCGCGCCAGTGAGGATCGAGGCGGACGCGTTTGGGTTGTACGCCGCCGTGGGTTGACAGTCCCCGAGTCCGCCTCATATATAGCACACGCAATGCATCGTCTGCCCCCACGTCCCATCCGTCTACTGTCAGCCTCCATTTTCATCTCCAGAGTCAGACTTGACATGCCGAAGAGGCTGCGCAGCACATCACCCACAATGGATTCCCCTGCGTTAAAGAAATCGAAGGACGACGCGAAGTACCTGCCCAACAAGATCGCCACCAAGGAGAATGCAGCAAGAGTGGACGCGTCTCCGCCAGTGTTCCAGCTGCTCGAGGCGGTCCACACCGCGACCGAGCCTGCTAAAGGAGATTGTGTCGTATACTGGATGAGGATGGAGGACATGAGAAGTATGTACGACACGAATGACACGAGTGTTGCACTGACGGCATGCAGTCAGAGACAACCGCGCTCTCGCCCACGCGTCTGCGCAGGCGCAGAAAGACGGTGTCCCGCTCCTCGCGCTATTCGTCCTGAGCCCGCAAGACTATGCAGCGCACGACCGAGGGGCGCGCAGGATTGACTTCACGTTGCGAATTCTCGAGAATATCAAGGTGTGAAGATATGGCCGTCTGTAGTATTAGTCCACTTTTGACGAGCTCCGTCTGGAAGTCTGAGCTGGCGAAGCTAGACATCCCACTGTACACAACCTCTCACTCCCCGCGCACCAAGATTCCCAGCTTCATACACGACCTCCTGCTGCAGTGGAACGCGTCGCACCTCTTCGGCAACATCGAATACGAAGTCGACGAACTCCGCAGGGACCTCGCCCTCTGCCAGATCGCGAAGAAGCACGGCAAGGTCGCGTGTCTGTTCGGACACGACAAGTGCATCATGCCGCCGGGGGATGTCAGAACCAAGGACGGGCGCGGTTATACTGTGCGTGCTGCGTGAGCATGTAACAATTTTCTGCTGACAACATGCGAAGGTTTACTCGCCTTTCCTCCGGTCCTGGGCACCACTTCTCGAGAAAGCGTCTTCCCACCACCTCGACGAGCTCCCGCTTCCGAAAGCAAACAACCCCTCCGTGCGCCAGCATCCCGTATTCGCAGCCTTATTTAAGATAGAGGTGCCCCGGGAAGTTACAGGATTCTCCCTTGGCCCCGAGGAACGCGAGCGGATCTCAACATTCTGGCATGCCGAGGAGCAGGCAGCACACGAGGTCAGTCGCCCCACACTCCCTCTTTCCCAGCGGCGCTGACTAGAACACCCATACGCAGATGCTCCGCCGCTTCCTGAGCACCGCAGCCCGCCCGACCCAGTTCGGCGCGGTCGATCCTCTGACACACGGGGCACAGGACGTCGACCCGACAAAGAAAAGTCGCCTGGCAAAGTACGGCGACGCGCGCGACCGCATGGACGCAGACACGACGAGCCGGCTCAGCCCGTACCTCTCCGCAGGGGTGATCTCCGCCCGCGCGTGCGTCCGCGAAGCCCTCAAGGCGTCCGGCAAGAAGAAGCTCGACGTCAGCCGCGACACCGGCGTCGGGCGGTGGATCCAGGAGCTCGCATGGCGGGACTTCTACACGCACATCGTCGCGCTCTTCCCGCGCGTGTCGATGGGGCGGCCGTTCCAGGAGAAGTACGCGGGGGTGCGGTGGGAGACTAACCCTGAGCACCTGCAAGCGTGGAAGGACGGCCGGACGGGCGTGCCGATCGTCGACGCGGCGATGCGCCAGGCGAACACGATGGGCTGGATGCACAACCGCGCGCGCATGATCGCGGCGATGTACCTCGTCAAGGACCTCATGATCGACTGGCGGCTCGGCGAGCAGTACTTCATGGAGGTGCTGATTGACGGCGACCTCGCGTCGAACAACGGCGGCTGGCAGTGGAGCGCGAGCACGGGCGTCGACCCAGCCCCATACTTCCGCATCTTCAATCCATATACGCAGAGCCTCAAGGTGGGTGGACCATTTCGTTTGGCCCGGTCGCGGGTTTGCAAAACTGAGCTTTGATCCCGAGTAGACTGATCCTGGAGGCGAGTACATCCGACACTTCGTATCCGAGCTAGCGAAGGTCAGGGGTGCAGGTGCGTTAGCAGGCTTTACCTTGACGCAACATGTACTCAGACACCGTGCGCAGAGGTACACAACCCTCCACCGGCTCTGGCGGATAGGTTGGGTTACCCGCGATCGTTGGTAGACCACAAGGAGGCCAGAAACCGCGCGATTCGGCGTTACAAGAATATCGGAGAGGAGTAGGCGTACCATTTTGCAGCAACGCGATGTGTATGACTCCGGCCCGCTTGTATGTCATGGCGGCGAGAGCTAGTAAAACATCTTGATTTCCGTGGGCGCAACAGCCGGATGAGAGCACATGCAAAACTGCGTAGCAAGAGGCTAGGAGATGAGAAGGCCCTGGGTATCACTCGTCCAAGTCGAAGTCCGAGTCGTCATCCTGTGGCCGCCCTCGAACGTTTCGCCGCACTGACGATTGCACGCCGTACGTGACGCTGGGCCCAGCGTTGACGGGCTCTTGTTTGCGCACTACGCCTGTAAGAACGGAGTCAGCACGCAAAGTAAATAATTGGTGTTTACGGACGTACCGCTATTCAGCAACTTCCATTCCAGCGTAGCTGTGTCGAACTCGTCGGTGTTGCCGAGCTCCTCAAAGCCGACGAACCTGTCTTTTGACACGCCGTTCACAAACGTGATCACGCATGGCAGGACCTGGACCCCAAGCCGCTCGACCAGCCATGGCACGTTCTCGACGAATACGCCGATGAAGAGGGTGTCGAAGTATTTCGGCGCGATTCGCTGAAGCAAGTAACTTAGGCCGCATCCGAGATCGAGGAGAAGCATGGACTTACTGCAAGATGTTTGTCCATGATCTCACATCGCTTGAACTTTCGATGGAAGAAATGGATTACACAGCGTGGCTCCTTCCTGCATGTCGACTGTTAACGAGGTGCTTGATGTGCCATCAGCATTATACTCACGCGCTCAGCCGGATAACCTCCTTCTCGTCCATAATTTCTAGGTATTGTCCATGCCCGTCCTTCTTCCTCTGCTGAAGGAGTTCCATCCTGCATTGCACGCACCAAGTGTCAGCGTGCGGCGCAAACCCCGGAACACTGAGAGGGCACCTCACTCTCGCTTGATCCTGTCCATGCCTTGCTCGCGGAACGCCGCGCTCGAGTCGTTCTCAATCTCAGCCTCCAGCTCGGCGAAGATGTCCTCGTCATCTTCTTGCGCTTTGCTGGAGTCTGCATGTGTGTGCGAAGACGAGGTGGTAGGCTCGTTGAGGCGCGCCACGAAGGACGCGATTTTGGCGTCTTGCGAAGACATTATGCGCGGTCTGTATTACGGAGAGTATATGCGAGATGGAGACGGCGCGTGTTGTAGCAGCAAAGCAAGAGAGCAGATTCCTGGCAAGAGGTGGGCAGGAAGACACGCTCTCTGTCGCGTCTGGATGCGATCGACATGCGTTTCCCAATGAGGCAGGTCGTTCCCACATTCATAGAATGATGAAATCGACTCTCTTAGCCACCGCCCGCGCTACCAAACCTCCCCAGAACCTCTCGCGTACATACCATGAGATTGATCGGCAAGCGCATAGAGAAGGACCGCTCGGTTTGTGTGCACTCATGAAGAGTGGAATGTTGGACTCACGTCTGCGTAGGGTCATGTCACCGTCCGTCCAGAGGACGATGAGGATATGTGGCATCTATACAATCTCATTCAACAGGTCCGTCTAAGAGCACCCTAACACACTCACGGAACGCGTAGCTGAACGCGCTGGGATCTTTGCAACATAAAACAGGGCGACCGCATACGCGCAGCAGGTATTCGACGCGTGCAGAACGTCTCTGCGACTGGGTCCGTTGACTCTAAGCGGATCCGCCTCCACCTCACCCTCGCCGTGAACCGCGTCAACTGGTCCCCATCCGCGGCTCCCGGTGCCGAGTCTGGGACTACCGCTGGTGCGCCTAATACTGCCGCAACCGCTACCGCGACTGTGGAAGTGTCGGGACGCGTCGCAGAGGAGAACCCTCATGTGAAGCTTGGCGCCTTCCACACACTAGAGATCGAGGTGAACAAGGACGTACGGATAGAGAAAGATGCGGGCGGTTGGGATAGCGTCGCTCTTGGCCGAGTCGAAGAAAGCTGTGTGCCGGGACGGGGCGCCGAGGTTGCTGCCATCGTATGCGGAGAAGGTATGCAATATCAATTGTTATAAACACGAACAGAGCTGAGCGTGTTGTTTGCATGCAGGTTCCGCGACGTTCTGCCTATTATCCGAACACATGACTGTAGTACTCCAACGGCTAGATGTGCCAATACCACGCAAGATTTCTACGACATCCTCTGCACACGAGAAGGTACAACCCACATGAGATCAGTTCGAACAGAAGAGCTGACATTTTAATGTAGGGCTTGACGAGGTTCTACCAAAGCTTGTATACCTCATTTTTGCGACACGTTCCATACTCAGCACCATCCCTCCGCGCAATCGTGATCGCATCTCCGGGATGGGTACGGGACGCTGTTTTCGACTACATCATGGCCGAGGCCAGCAGGACGTCAAACAAGCCATTGTTAGCCGCACGCAACAAGTTCATCAAGGTGCACGTTAACAGCCCACACGTGCATAGTTTAGTGGAGGCACTGAAGAGCCCTGAGGTCAGTACATCAGAGAGGTCGTCGAGGCGAGGCGATCGCTAACAGAACGCCAGATCGCTACGCAAATGAAGGAGACGAAGTTCGCGCGAGAGGGGATGATGCTCGACAAGTAAGTGTGCCCTTCCAAGACCCCGGAAAGATAACTTACGTCTTGCAGATTCTTCAAGATGCTCGCGTCGGATGAGATGCGGGCATGGTATGGGCCTGACCATGTGGCCCTGGCAGCTGATCGAGGAGCAATTGGCACTCTTTTGATCTCGGACGAGCTTTTTAGGTGGGCGACCTCGTTCATGGCGCTCATGGTGGATATCTCATACATCCCGTCGCCAGAGCAAGCGAGGCAGCTCAACGAAAGAAATTCGTCGATGTCGTTGAAGGTGTCAAGCAGAAGGGAGGCGAAGTGCTGATCTTTTCCAGCATGCATGAGTCCGGACAACGTGCGTATACATCCTTCCTAGACCGACGATTAAAACTTATCATCCGGCACGTACAGAGCTGAACCAGTTGACCGGCATCGCGGCCATCCTGACGTTCCCACTGGATGTCGAGGTAGTGGAAGCGGAAGAACGAGAAGCTAAGGAAGAGGAGCGGAGGAAAGCTGAAGAAAACGGGACGGTCGAATGAAACCTGTACTGTTATTACAAGGAACCGCGTGCTCGCCGGACTGTATCTGTAGGATCACTATACAACATATCATTGTAGCTCTTCACCTTCTTGTCGTTCCTACTTGCTGGTAGCCGCAATCCGTTCCTGGTAAGCATTCCATCCTTCTTCCCTGTACCTCTCGGCTTGCGCGCGCACAGCGTCCGGGTCGGCACCGTCGTCCTTGCCATAGATGCCTCGGCCGACGATGATCACGTCGCATCCGAACTCCAGGACTACTTGCCTTGGGGTGCGGTACTGCTGACCCATGCCATCGCCCTTCGTGTCCAGACCGACCCCAGGCGTGAGGATGAGGAAGTCTTCGTTGCCCGCAGACTCCCCATCCCGAAGGCCCACACCGTCCATGCGTCGCTGTGCGATGAACCCGATCACGAAGTCAGGGCTCGCGCGGGCCATCCTCACGGCCTCCTCCGTGTACGCGCCCGTCGCGAGGCTGCCCTTCGTGCTCATCTCCGCGAGGAGGAGGAGCCCCCGCCCGAGGGGGAGCCCGACGGACGCGAGCCCGGTGATGATGGACGGGCCGGGGACGGGATGCGCATTCGTGATGTGCGACCAGCTCGCGATCTTGTGCACGCCGCTCGAGTACTGCAGCGCAACGGTGTTTCCTGCAGAGACCTTGTGTGGGCTACGCGCACACGCCAGCATGAGGAGGGCGGTACCGACCGATGTCCGCGAACTTCCTGTCCTCGAAGATCTGGAAGTCGTGCTTGGTGCTGAGGTCTTGCAGCCGCTCGATCACGGAGTAGTCGAAGTCTTCGATTACATCTACATGTGTCTGAACAGGTTATCAGAATGGGTACTCATTTTCTGGCGACTAGGAGCGCACCTTCACTAAGCAGATGTAGGGCCCGACAACGTCGATGATCCTGAGGAAGTCGGCTTGTTTTGTTACATCCACGCTCACACAGAGGTTGCTGCGCTTGCGTTCGATAGTCTCCAGCAGCGCTTTGGCGGCCGTGTTGGCATGTTTTTCGGCCCTACTGGCGTACGTCTGCGTGAACGATGTTGCCATTTTGTCGACGTTAGAAGTAAGGTGGTGGTCTGGTGGTCTCTGGCAAGAGTTGCTAGATTTGCGAAATACGATCTATGCGAGGAGATTAGATGGAGATCTCAGATCTGCCGCAGAGAGATCTAGGGCAAACGCGATCTAATCTCCAATCCCTGCCCTCCCAACTTTGCGAGTCTCCTCTCATGTCTGCTTCACCAAAAACCCGTCCTCGTGAACTAGACGACGCGCTCACCGAGGAGCCCAATGCCAAGCGCACGCGTCTTGACGCGCAGGATGCTGACGGCGACGTGACCATGAACACCGACGCGGAGGTCGCCGTCGTGAGCGTCGCCGACCTCGAAGAGGAGGACTACGCGCAGGGCTCGTCCTCAGCGAGCACAGAACCAGAGAGCCTGCTACCCCCGAGCCATGCGCTGCTCAATGCACCCCCACCGGTATTTGGCCCTGACGGCGCGATGCAGCGCATCATGGAGACGGACGTCGGCATCTCCGAGTACATCGGGCACGACGTGCCGGCGATCGAGGGAATCATCAAGCAGAGGTGCGTTGTGCGCCCCTCAAGTGCGCGCCTGGAGTCCGACGCCCGGCAGGTTTACAGACTTTCTGGTGTTTGAGGTAGACTTGGACGGACAAGTGATACACCTGAAGTCGCTCGGCATGCCCGAGTCCTCGAAGAAAGCCGCGGATGCGAAAGCAACGGCAACGGCTGGAAACACCCCTGCCTCATCATCTGCACAGCAAGCTACAGGAGATGACAAGATGGCTGAAGATGCGCAGGCCAAGCCAGATGCGCAGGCAGAGGCCCCCGCTGCAGAGGCAGCTGCCGAAGTACCCACCCCGAGGGCCGAGGCAGAACCGACCGTGACGGAGGAGGTTCCCAAGGATGACGAGCCTTGGCCGGAGCGCTTCACAGAGTCACTAAAACCGTTCCTTGCGGAGGACGTGATCACTCGCGTGAAAACGCTGTACCTGGAAGGCCCTGAGCCGCCTTTCGTGAGCGACAGTGGCTGGGGCGGGCGAGGCAAGGCCGGGGGAAGCGGCGAGCCTTCTGACCCCGCAGCATCTACCGAGCCTGCTGTTGCACCTGAGCCTGAAGGGAGAGGCAAGCGTGGGCGAGACCGCGGAAGAGGTGGTCGCGGCGGGCGCGGGGGACGAGGAGGCGCAAGGGGCGGCAGACCGGGTGCCAGAGAGGACACTCGCAAAGTATTGTCTAATGTTCGTGTTCTCGCGGCCTCCCCTTTCGTAATGCAATCTAATCCAACATTTGGGGACTCGCAGCCGATCGCTTCCAAAGAGACTCGCACTGGTCTTCACCAAGCCATCCGCGACTTGTTCAAGGGTAAACTTGACACTGAGACGGATACGAGTGCGCCTGCTTCAGATGAAGGCTCGCGCATCGTCATAAAATGGAGCAAACGCGGAGGTGGAGGTGGGCGTGGTGGTCGCGGTGGCGGACGAGGAGCGCGACCAGACGCTGGTGAGTCTTCTGTTATTTCATGACACATGTATGTGACTGATCTTTGTATGCTAGGTCGCGGAGGTGGTGGTGGAGAGCGGGGCGGATATCCGCCTTACATACACTTCACATTGCAGAAGACGAACCGGGACACTCAGGACGCGCTGGCGGCCCTCTCGCGCACTCTCCACTGCAATGTCAAAGACTTGTCCGTCGCAGGGACAAAGGACAAGCGTGGTGTGACGGTCCAGCGCGTGTCATTAAGACGCGGTAACAAGACCGTGGAGGATGTGTGGAAGATGGCCAACGGTCAAAACGGCAAGCGGACGACGGAGGAAATCCTATCGCAGCGGGGAGAGCGTGGTGTGCGGGTTGCCGACTTCAACTACAGAAAAGCGAGCTTGGAGCTGGGTATGCTCAAGGGGAACGCCTTTGTGATCACGCTCCGGTGAGTTATACCTTGCCCGGTTGTATACAATGGTGCTCACTCTGCGGTAGCACCGTTCGAGTCGACTCTATGGAGACATTAGACCGGGCCATGAACACGATCAAGAACAAGGGCTTCATAAACTACTACGGTATGTCCTAAAACCACACCATCCTTTACCCAGGCTCATTCTTCCAGGCATGCAGCGCTTCGGCACGGCGTCAATCCCTACCCATTCGATCGGCCTCGCTCTGCTGAAGGGCGACTGGCACAGGGCTGTTTCTCTCATCCTCCGCAATCGACCAGGAGAGCATCCCGACGTCGTCGCGGCCCGGAATGCATGGCTCGTGGAGGGGGACCTGGACAAGGCCATTGAGTTGATGCCTCGTCGCGTGGTCGCCGAGCGGTGCATCCTGGAAAGCTACAGGAAGCAGGACGGCGACACGAGAAACGCCATGGGCTCCTTGTCCACGGTATGCGATCTGCGTCTTCTCATGGCAAACCGCCACATGGCCTGTACTCACACCCGCCCTAGATCCCTCGTAACCTGCGGTTGATGTACGTGCACGCATACCAGTCGTATGTGTGGAACGCCATCGTCTCCGAGCGCATCAGGATGCACGGCGCAGACAAGCCCGTCGTCGGCGACCTCGTCTTCGACGAGACCACCGCCAAGGTCGAAGACGCCGAAGATGTCGCGGAGATCGCCCTCGACGGGGTCGAGGGAGACGTTCCCCTGGAGGACAAGGCGGCCAATGAGGACGCGGGTATGTGGTCAGCACCACTGCCACGATGGCCGCAGCTCACACAATTGCGTTTTAGCGAAAGACGGGGCCGCGGGAAGATCAGGCAGGCGATCGAGGAAGGCTTGGGAACCGCCGAAAGTCAAGGTCCTGGCGGAGGCGGATCTAGACAAGTACAGCATATTTGACGTGATCATGCCTCTACCTGGTAAGGACGTCGACTACCCCGGTGGTCGGTTGGGCGAGCGGTACAGGGAGTTCTTGAGGAAGGACGGCCTTGACCCCGACAACTGGGTGCGCAAGCAGAAGTGAGTGCTGTATCTCATTATAATATGCAAACACCGGCCGACATAGATTCTTTAGGGACTACTCGTTAGGAGGTTCATACCGCAAGATCCTCCACCTGCCAAAGGAGCTGTCGTGGACCGCGATGAGGTACACCGACCCGGACGTCCCTCTGGCACAATCAGATGAAGATAAGCTGCTTGGCATGCCTCCGCCGGCTACTGTCGAGGATGGCAAATTCCTGGCCCTCCAAGTGAACCTGCAGCTCGGTACCGCTGCGTATGCCACGATGGCGTTGCGCGAAGTTACCAAGACCGAGACAAGTTCACACTTCCAGACGACGCTCACACAAGCGTCTGAAGACCAAAAATACAGAACAACCGAGGGCGTGGCAGATGCAGGCACAGAGTAGAATTGGCGCATGTGTGGTAGTTCGGTGACGTGGAGCTACGTTGCAGTAGACCTGGCAGACTGTATCAGCGTGTATTTCACCGCCATCCCACGGCCTGCCAATGAGTAGATGGCCGCCCTGGGAGAATGGAGAGAATGTGGGAGTCATGAATGTGTATTTGTTGCCGCTGCGAAAGGCGATGGACAGGGTAGCCGGGTGATATGGGACCGGCGCACACGTCGTTTCAGCCACAGCGGTGCGCTCGCACGACAGCCACCGCTTGCACATCATGCTCCCGACTCTGTCCCACCCGCCCGGCACGTCCTCCACAACGCTATATCGTCTTTCTCAGGCTCAGCCCGACCATCACTCCTGACCGGTTCCGAGTTTGGGGACCGCCTTCCGACCGTCGCAGCCTTATAAGCTGCGCCTCTCCTAGTCTAGGCGCGAGGCCGCCTCGCAACTCTCCTCTCCTCCATACACCTCGCAAACATGGGTAGCGTCGAACGGGTCGTCTTTCTGTCCCTGGTACTGGACCTCTTTGGTATGTCTGTCTCATGTGTTGTGCCCGCCGGATGCCGTGACCGACGCCGCCGCTAGCGTTCACCATCCCGCTACCACTCTTTCCCCGGATCATCGAGTGGTTTACCAAGGTGCGTTCCCTCCTCCTTGCTCCAAACGCAGTTCTGTAACAGCGTGCGTAGCGCGAATCCTCTGACCCAAGCGGCTTCCTGTCCCAAACGCTTTCGCTGGTCTCTTCAACAAGAGCACTAGTGTATACACCCACGTCAAATCCACAACGATGGGATATTGTACTCCTAGGAGGCCTCATGGGCTCGGTCTTCTCGTGAGTCTCCTTCCCTGCAGCATGCACGTACTTGCTCATGACGAGCGTGTCATTAGGGCTCTGCAATGGTCAGCACCGATGCGTTCGGGTGTGAAAGCATGTGTGTAACCGATCATGACACAGGTTCATCTCTCCACGAATCGGAGCATTGAGCGACAAGTACGGCCGGAAACGGGTCCTCCTGGTAACGATGATCGGAAACATTCTCTCTGGCTTGGTGTACGTAGATCCCATGAATCAGCTTCGGACTTGATTGGCTGACTTCTGCTACAGATGGCTGAAGTCCACAACATTCGCGACGTACATGCTCTCGCGAATTATTGGCGGGCTTAGCGAGGGTAATGTGCAACTGGCCATGTAAGTTCAAGCACCCTCTGGTAGAGTCCAAATTTACAAACGTCCCACAGTGCTATTCTTTCCGACGTAACAACACCCGAGAACCGCGCTAAGGCTCTCGCCCACGTAGGCATTGCCTTCGCCATCTGCTTCATCATCGGGCCACCCATCGGAGCGTACTTCGCGTCGCGCCCCCTCCCCGCATCGATCACCGCCTCCGGGATCGAATTTAACGTATACGCCGTGCCCGCATTGATTACCGTGGTACTCCTCACTCTCGAGACGATCTTCCTGGTCGTTGCGTTACCGGAGACACGGGGAAAGCGTGCACAACCTGCCCCAGCCAAGGCGGCCACGAATGGTCACGCAAATGGCACCGCGAATGGAAAGATCAATGGCGCGGCCCAGCAGACGTCGAGGCAGGCAACCGTCGCGGAGCGCATCTCGATGCTCAAGACGCTGCAAAACCTGCACTTCCTGTTCCTCGGCGTGTTCTCTGGTGTGGAGTTTACTCTCACCTTCTTGACCTTCGATTGTACGTGTTTTCGCATATTGTGACTACAAACCGATGCTGATAGACACATAGTGCTTGACTGGAACAACAAGCAGAACGGCGCTCTCATTGGCTCCATCGGAATTATCAGCGCCCTCCTCCAGGGAGGCTACGTTCGCCGCGCCCTCGCGAAGGTCGGAGAAGGAAACATGGCCCGTCGCGGTATCACCAGTTGCGCCCTGGGACTCGTCTTCCTCTCCATCCTACCGCACATGGTCGCGAGCTATCCGACTATCACCATGCGCCTTCTCCAGGCCGCGGCGGTGTGCATGGCGATGACATCGGCAACCGTCGTAAATTCCCTCACGGCATACGCATCGCTTCAGTGCGACGACGTATCCGTCGACCCGGACACCGGGAAGACCGTTGAGGAGCACCCTGACCTTGCTAAAGGCAAGGCATTGGGCAAGTTCCGTTCCTCTGGCCAACTCGGCCGCGCGATCGGGCCTCTGCTAGGTATGTGCCATTTTCGGAACTGTGCAAGCTTTGTGCTGACGCGAAGAAACAGCCTGCGCATCCTACTGGACCTTCGGGCCCTCACTAACGTACGCGGTCAGCGCAGTGGCCATGTATGCGCTCTCGGGGAAGATAAAGTCTATCACGAAGCGGCGGACTGTGACTGCGAGCAAAGTAGAGTAAACTAATGAATCCCGCACGCATCGTACCCACTTTATCTACATTGTACTACACTCGGGAGCATCTAATTTAACGCATACACTTATCCATCGCAACCCATGGTCATCCTCTCGAGGAGTCAGCTCAATGTGTATGTCATGGTCGCGAAGCGCCTGTGTACGGCACCGAGCTACACAACTTGGACGCGAACCACCATCTCCGCACTGTGCGTGCAGAGCACACAGAACCATGCGCTTTCAGACACGCAACGCGTACTACCTCAGAATATCAGCCACGACCGTCATCCCATTATATGTGCGTGTCATCGTTAGCTGAAAAGGACGCGTTTTGACCCTGTGGCTGAAGTTGTACCTAGACGAGCGCCATGTCGAATGGATGTCGGAGCGCGTGCTGCAGCACGTCCTCGCCGATTTACGTCCTCTGTAAGTTCCTACACGCAGCTCAAGGGTGTGACTATCTATTAACGGATGATTTACATCTAATAGAATTTTGCCAAAGCTTAATGCTGAGGCTGACGCGCATCTGGGACCCGGGGGACCCGCTAACGCCAAGCGCGGCACCCTAGACGTGCACAGAGGAGGTAATAAAAGTCCTGAATGTCACGACATATAGCTGAAAATGTATGCTCTTGTAGATACGTATCAGTTTGGCTACTTCCTTCGGGGAACGGAGCCTCATGCAGTGCTCATCAAGGTAAGGTCTTCAATGCATAGCTGGCGCACATGTCCTGACACGTCCCGTCAGGCAAGGACGTTTCATGCCGCTCCTCCACGGGCTCGAGCTCCGCGGGCTGCACCATCGGCTCAACCCAAGAAGAAGGCCCCCTCTGGCGCGGCAGGCAAGAAACGGAAACCAAAGCCGAAACCCAGAGGCAAGGGGAAGGGGAAGGCCAAAGCGGCTGACGACGACGATGCGATATCCATTACGAGCGAAGAAGAAGACGTCGACTTCGTTCCGGCGGAGCCTTTGGCTACGCGAAGACCTAAAAGAGCGCGCAAGGTTGCGGCCGGAGGCTACGCCGAGGATGCGGACGAAGATATGGTCGACAACATCGCGGCAAATGCAGCTGAGCCTTCTCGAGAGCCCCAACTCGGGGAAGAGGTATCAGAGGCAGCGAAGGAGGTGGACCATCCTCTCGTCGCGGAGCAGTTAGGACCGGGAGCTCCAGTGCATCTGAAGGTCGAGGAAGCGGAGCCCTCACTGGCTGACATGGCCCCTCCACCCCAGCCAATCGATATCGACGACGCCGAAATCGCTGAAGACGAACCCGTAGACGAGCCAGCGATGGACGTGGAGCTCGCGGATGAGGAGGAGGAAGTAAAACCGAAACCGATCCTCAAGCTGAGCTACCACGGATTCAACATCCACGGTCGTTGCCTCTGCGTCATCGTCGAGCCCTGGCCGCCCCTCCGCTCCGGTACTCGCGCACCCTCCCTCGCGCCGATGGGCATCGTCGCGCCACGCGCCCCTAGCATCGCCCCGGCGGACTTCGTGCCAAGCGGCGGGGCCGGCCAACGTGCGCGGACGCCTCTGTTCCTCCCTGATTTCGACAGGGAGCCTACACCTGCTCCCATTCCAGGACGTAACCTACCACCGGTGCCTCTCTTCAACGAGACCGCTGAGGGAAGCGACGATGAGGACGGCGAAATGGTGCTGTTCAGCCAGCTCCTTATGTCAGTGGGCGACCATCCTCCTGGAATAGCGGAGGACGACGACGAGATCGACGGTGCAGTGTTTTTCGGCGACGCGGACGAGATGAGAGAGTTGTGATGTGTACTCTAGATTGTGACCGGATTCACCGCATTATGTATATACAGTACTTTTGCACGACGAGGGTCGCTCAGTAGTAGCTCACGCACTACTACAGTCGACAATTACAAACGACCCAGCTCCCTGAGGATGTCCGTGGTTCTCTGCGATGATACCCGCCTGAACCCCTCGTTCTCCATCTGGAAGAGCCCGTGTCCCCCTGACAGAGCACGCAGACGCGTCGAGTAGTCCAGCATCTGGCTGAGCGGCGCGACTGCCAATATCGTCCTCTTCATCCGCGACGACGAGCTCTTCGCAGCCTTGCCGGTCGACGGCGACAACCACTGCGGCGGGAGGTACGCCCCGTCCTCGACGAATGGCTCCGAGTCCTCCGCGGACGCCGCGTCCAGGTCGAGTACCTCGCCACCGTGTTCTCCCAGGTCCTCCACGACACGTCCGACTGCGCTCTCGTCCACCGCGATCTTCAGCCGGATGTACGGTTCCATGAGGTCGCCCTGGCCGGCCGCGCGAACGATGTTGCGCAGGATTGCCGCGCTTGCACCCGCGAGCACGGAAGGGTGCACTTCTTTGGGGTACTCGAGGTCCTTGATCTGGATGCGCATCTGCGAGAGCGCGAGGGTTGTGTTGGGCGAGCTTGATAGCGTGCTCGAGATGCCTTTGGCGACGTGCGCGAGCGCGTCGTTCGTGTTGACGTGCAGCTCCCCAGGAGGGATGGGCTTCCCGTCAGTGCCCAGGATCAGATTGCCGTCCCAGAGCGGGTCGCCCTGTTCTTCGCCTTCGAGCTCACCGACGGTGAATTCCAGCCGGATGCGTACAGGCTGTCCGCCGATCTCGGTCTGCCATGTGTTGCTGACTCCAGAAACGTCGCCTGCGCCGAGACATTCCCGGAAGCTGACTCGCCGCCGGCCGAACTCGCAGTTGACCTTCCACTCCTCGCGGAGCCGGGACTCAACGATCTCGAGATGCAACGCACCGAGGCCATGCACGAGCAGCTGGCCCTCGTGCGTCTCTACGCGTACAGAGGGATCCGTCCGGGCGAGAGCGTTCAGGGCTTCTTCTACGGGCTCTAGGTCCGCATGCGAGTGGGGGATGACGGACACAGACATCAGCGGGGGCGGCGGGATGATGTCGCGGAGCGACGACGCGCTTGAGCCGCCTGCGACGGAAACCAGGGTGTCACCAGTACGAGTGTACTTCAGGCCGAGAACGGCGCCGACAGAACCAAACGGCAGTGAATCGACTTCTTCAGCTTCGCCGGCGTAGAGCAGCAATAGCTTCGAGATCTTCTCTCTTTGGTTTTGCGATGCGTTCAAGGCCGAACTCTGACTCTTGAGTGTACCTGCGCGAATGATTAGGAGGATCAACGGATATGTGGAACGAGAGACAAACCTGAGTAGACGCGGACAAACGTCATCCACCCTTTCCGTTTGTCCCAGCCGACCTTCCAAGCGAGCATGCGCAGCGGAGCGTTCGCGGCAAGTGCTTTCGCGTTAGATTCGACGTCGACCGGACTAGGCAGCAACTCTCCGACGTAGTTCATTAGAAGTTCCGTTCCGATATGCTTGAACGCGGACCCGCACATAACAGGCAGGATGTCGTTCCGCAGGGTCGCCGCTCGCAGGTGAGGTAGTATGTCAGATGCCTTGACAGACAAGTACGCGGCAGGATCCTCGGGCAGGCCAAGCAGTACGTCGAATAGCTCCTCGGAGACCTGTGCCAAGTTATCCAAAAGAGTAACCCTCGCGGGAAGTAGATGTGGTACGAGAGGGTGTAAGGGAGGGAAGAGGTCGGTGCGCTCGAGTTCTTCCTTGGTCCGTGGTAGAGCGTGGACAGAGCACTTGCCCTCGGTGTCGTATTTCCATACTTCCCATTTGACGAGGTCCACTAAGCCCTGTATACCGGGCTCGGCCCTCGCATAATCTTCAGGGTCGAAGGATGCGATGGGTAGGGTGAGAGCCATTGGACGAGGGTGCATGCGGTTGGCAAGCACCGACAGCAGAGAGGAGCGGAAGGATCCTCCGGGGCGGTCGAGCTTGTTCAAGAACAAGATGCGCGAGCCCACATCGTATCTGCGCAGGGTTGAACGGACGATGAACAACGGCACATGGGCGGCTTGAGGCTCTCTCACCTGGATGCTCGTGCTCACCTGTCCAGTTGTCGCCAAACGCCTTTAGTCTGCGCCTCCACACCTTCGACAGCATCAATTAGAACGACTGCACCGTCGACGACGCGACTAGCACTCTCGACCTCCATGCCGAAGTCGGCGTGCCCAGGGGTGTCGATGAGATTGAAGGTCCAGTCCTTCCATCGGACAGGAATGCTGGCGGATTGGATAGTGATGCCCCGCTCGCGTTCTGCGGGAAGAAAGTCCGTCGTGGTGCTTCCGGTGTCTACCGACCCAGCAGAGGACAAGTACTGTGATTGCAAGAGAATAGACTCGGTGAGCGTAGTCTTTCCAGAGTCTGACACGCATGATGAATACATGCAGCTTAAAACACAGCGTAATTGCGCACCTATGTGGGCTACCAGAGCCATGTTGCGCAGCTTAGTCGGGTCATGCTTGACTTGAGTTGCAAGCTGTCTGAAGCACACCCTCCGAGGCAGCCATGCTTGCAGGTCGCGAGGTCGAAACGCAGCAGCGAGACGAACGACCATGTCCAGGGGCTAGGACGAGAGCCGTGTCTCTGGACGCCTTGTTCTATCGCGCCCCGCTCTAGATTGCAGTGACAAGAGCGTGTGCGCGAGCAGCGGAGACACCAGAAACACGAGCGTGGCGGGATGAGCGAAGACAAAGAAAGACGCGGGCGCTCCGCCACCTGCTCTGCCGTGCCTCTTCTACCCAATTGTCCATGACCATGAGCTCATTCATCTCTCCCTCCTCCTCACCATGTCCTCCGACACAGCCAGCGCAACCGAAACGCCCAGCGCATTAGATGGCTTCGAGCAACGCTTGCGCCAGCGAGCAGCCGCGGTCAAAGCCGACCCATTACAGACTGTCCCCGTGCAAGCCGACCACCAACCGCGCGGATTCATCCCGAATACGCCCCTCTCCGTCGCATTCATCTCGTTCCTACTCGGATCGTTGTTCGCGTTCGGGTTGCTCCTCTTCGCCACCAATGGCTTCGGGCTGTTCTGGTGGTCGACCAGCCAGCTGGGCTTCTTCATCGCGGCGTGGTCCGCGTTCCACTGGGGCGAGTTCGCGGTGACCGCGGGTTGGAATCGAGAGAAATGTAGCGTAGACTGTAAGAGCTGTTCCCATTTCATGCGGAAGCTTCTCGATGCTAACATTGGTACCTCAGCTTTCTTACTTGAGAACGGAGCGATGTACCACGTCGCGCACTCTGTCGCGCTAACCGAGTACCTCATCACTCTCTACTTCAAACCAGAGTGGAAACACCACCAATATGTCACCTTGGCCGGTGAGTCTCGCTATGGTCCACCTCATTCATGTTAAGGTACTGAACTTGCGGTGTCCTGGTAGGCATAGCCATGACCGTCGCTGGTCAAATATTGAGGTCGGCAGCTATGATTCAGGCGGGCACGAACTTCTCCCATGTGCTCGCGTTCCGGAAGGCGCAAGGGCATGTGCTAGTCACCGACGGGATCTACAGGTGCGCACCGACATCTTGAGGTTGTAAGTGCGACGCTCAGAATAATGACAGATGGTTCCGGCATCCCTCATACGCGGGCTTCTTCTACTGGGCGTTGGGCACCCAGCTCGTGCTCCAGAATCCCGTGAGCTTCGTCTTCTTTGCAGCAGTACTGTGGCGGTTCTTTCACCGGCGCATTCGAGGTGAGTATCATGCATTCTTGAGGTAAGGTCCCTAAGCTCAATGTGTACCTACCCTGCAGCGGAGGAAGCGTACCTGATACGTTTCTTCGGGGTCGACTACCAGAACTACAAACGTTCCGTAGGCACGAAGATTCCCTTCATATTCTAGACGTCTTAGCTTGCTGTCCAATGGTGAATACTTCGACTCACTGTACCTGAATTATCATACCATTTCGTTGCCGTATAGTGACCATAACTCAATACTGCGCGATGGAACATATGGTCTAACAATACAGAGATGGCTGCATGTGCATCATATTGTAATCATAGCAAGGACAACATGCGAATTTTAAGCCGAGTGAAATGACAACAGATGAACATCCGACGGCGTCGGGGCCGCCTCACTCCTGGTCGATGGTGCTCTTCTCCGATACGTAGATACCGTCCAAGAACTTACGGATATCCTTGTTCCGTACGCGGCAGAGGCCCTGGATGGAAGCAGCTGCAATAATGACGATGAGCGAAGACGAAGATTGAAGGTGCTCGAGCTACTCACCGGATTGTGAGACGTTCTGGACGTCGGTACCCTCCAGAATGAGCTCGTCCTTCTGCGCTTTTGACTCCGAAATCGTGACACCGTCCAGCATGTCCACATGCCTCACGATCTGCACCATTTGTTAGGCGGCAACTATAACAGTAATATAGATTGTACACACCTTCTCGCCCAAGAAGTTACGGATCTCAAGAGCACGACCGTCCTCCTGGATGATGCAGTTGATGGGGAAATGGGCGTAGACGGTGCGCATCTTGTATTGGAAGCCCTGAAAAACATTTTGTTCGTACGGCCTCGAGATATGGAAGTGGGGCCGGCGTACCTTCGTCACACCGGTGATCATGTTGACGATGAGGGACTTGATAGTCCGCAGGCACGCAACGTGCTTGCGGCCGCCCTGCCATACCGCGAGGGTGACCTTGTTGGTCTTGCCCTTCAGCAGCCGGATGTCCATGTCGATGTGGCGGACATTCTTGTTCAAGGTTCCGCGGGGACCCTTGACCGTGATGAGACGGGACTTGATGTTGACTTCAACACCCTCGGGAATGTCGAGCTCTTCGGTCTTGAGGACGTCCCGCATCTGAAGCGTACAAGTGTGAGCGTCCAAGCATAGTACATCCAAGCGGCACTCGGGGAATCCATCGCATTCCACCCCCGTTTCCAGCGTTTTGAACGGTTCCAGGAGTTCATGCAAGAGTTCCAGGGCCAGAGAGAACGTTCAGACAGCCGTACTGACCTTGAGGCGTAGTGAGGATAGGTCTTGAGGAGGTTGCGGTGGATTTCTCGGTAGGATGAAACTCGACGGAGGGCAGCGCTGCCGGATCGGGCAACAGGAACTGGGCCCGAGTCTGCGGGGCAGGGGCCAGCAGCCGTGGCCATGCTGACAAATGTGGCTCTTGTGAAGCGGAGCTTGAACTGCCTCAAGTTTGCCTCGGAGCTCCAGCTCACCGCATTCACGGCTTCACCATCGACCACCATCTGCTCGAGACTCTTTGCCCATCCAGCCGCTCAGTGTTTGTGGCTAGTGTAAGGGTGCCTAAGAGAAGATCGCAACTTCAGAAAGCTTGGTTTCCCTCATATCGGGACGCGTATACCAGCTTTTTCGTGCTTCTCGCCCGAGCAACGACATCTTTTGAAGATCGCAACCCGTCTCCTCCTACCCCTGCACTCTCTGAGACGCTTCGATGTCACTCTACCCGCAGAGCACTGCGTATAACCAGATGGCGTATCCGCCTCAGGGTTATGGCGCCCCGGTACCACCTCCAAACGCCTATTATCCTCCTCCACCTGCGCCCCAGCCCGTCTACCAGCATTTCGACCCCAACACATTCCGCCGTGACTATGCCACTCGGCTTTCTAATCTCACAGTAAATTCCAGACCCATCATCCAGAGTCTGTCGATGATTGCACAGGAGTTCACCCGGTTCGCCGATGTGGTCGTACAATGTATCGAGCAACATATCCGTCGGGTGAGTACCCTCTTTCTATCCCGCGTACTAAGCGTGCTATCTCGTGAATGCGACCGTTGGTCGAGGACGGTGACGATGTCATTTAGTTACGTGCGCTTCGTGTGTATCGTAGCTAGTTGTTTGAGGCTCGAGTGAAACAACGGTCTCGGGAACAATGGGCTGCAATGCTGCCTGGATGCTCGGCGTCGTCGGGGACGATGATGTCCTCTTCTTGTGCGAATTGCGTTCTCCCGCTTCCTCTCTTTGCCCTGTGCCCTGTTGTTCGTTTACGTTATGCTGACTAAACTTTCCTTCTACGGTGTTTTGTCATCAGGTGCCGGCATGGATGAAGCTGCCCGCGTTCTATCTGCTAGACGCCATCTCCAAGAATGTCTACGATCCCTATGCACGCCACTTCAGTCCCGTCGTCGCCAACCTCTTCATCGAGACGTACGAGGCCGTCGATCCCACGACTCGCAGTAAGATGGAGGAGATGCTCTTGACCTGGCGTAACGGCGCTCCGAACAACCGGGAGCTTTTCGGCGTAGTGCCTCAGCTCGCCATCGAGCAGCACATCTGGGGTAGCGGCGCTAGCCACAACGCTGTACGTACCTCTCGCCGACGACCCAAGCGTACCCCTCATAAACGTGCGGATCAGTCCGGGAGTCGCGCGACGAATACATCCGCCATATCCCAAGCGCAAGTCCTTAGCGAATTGGAGTTTGTTCTCGCGCAGAAGGAGCGTACCGTGCAATCCAACCCGTACGACAAGACCACCCAGCATCACGTCAATATCCTACAGCAGGTTCGCCGTTCAGTTCTCTCGACGTTGATTATTTACTTAATTCTTGATGGTACCAGCTCCGCTCACTTGTTCAGGTCGGCGTCTCGCAAGAGGAGCTCAAGCAAATCTTGGCCCAACTTCGTGCACTCGCTACCACCGCGACCCCGGCAATGCCACCTCCCGCCCCCGCCCCTGCTCCTGCCCACTACGCCTCCGCTCCCTCATACGCCCCTCCCCCTCCAATGCCCCCCGCCCCTCCTCCCGCTCCTCAGCATAGTTACGCCCAACATTCCTACTCTGTTCCACCTGAGCAGCCGAAGGTTGAGCAAATAGATCTGTCTCGGTTCTTGACCTCTCAGCCCGCCCCTACGGCGTCGACGTCGACTGCCGCACCCGTAAGCGACATAACGAATCTGTTCAATGCGCTCGTCAAGGCTGGCGTGGTTGGAACTCCCACTAACGCGGGCGCTACCTCCAAGTCCGAGGAGCGAGTGTCTTCGGTCGATCCGCAGCGTGAGGCAGTACGCGCCTACCGCAAGTCGGTGCTTTCTCACAAGATCAAGCTCACGAGTTCTGACATCACAAGGTATGTTACGCTATTTGCACATCGAGTTGAGATCGGGCTCCTTACGTCCAGCATTAGACAACGCCCGCCTATCGTCAACTTGCTCTACCAGAACCTTCCCACTCAGTGCAAGCAGTGTGCCGTGCGCTTTCCCGGCGACGCCCGTGGGAAGAAGCTTCTCGAGGACCACCTCGACATGCACTTCAGGCAGAATCGCAAGGCAAGTCAAGCGATCGGGCGTGGCCACAGTCGCAGCTGGTTCGTCACTCTAGAGGTATGTGCTGTCCCCGCGAATCGACGTCGTATCACATATACTGATCATATTATGTAGGACTGGGTTCATAGCGACTCCGTCGATGTGAAGGGCAAGGGTCGCGCCGATGGTCGATCGCTAACATCTAAGGCTGCTGTAGCGGAGGAGGCCGCTAAGCGTGAGGCGGAGTTGCGCGCGATGCATGTCGTTGTCCCGCCTGGCGATGAAGCGAAGCCAATATCATGTCCGATCTGTAAGGAGCATTTGAAGAGCGAGTTCCTTGAAGACGACGAGGAGTGGGTGTGGCGAAACGCGGTCAAGAAGGACGACAGGGTATGTCGCCTCCCTTCCTCATATTGGTCGCTGGGCTAACTCTTACGTTTACAGATATATCATGCGACCTGCCACGCAGAGGCGGTCGCGTCGAAGTCGACTCTAGCGGTTCGCTTGCGGAACGAGACGTCGAGCCGGAGTCGTTCGCATACCCCGGAGACGCCTAAGGACTACCTCCTTTCAGAGTCACCGTCGCCGTCCAGGCGCGCAGGGCTGAAACGTAAGGCTGAGGACGAGTCCGCGAATCCCGCGACGAACGAGATGGACGCGCCGCAGGTGAAGAGAGTGGCGACATGATACCGATATTCACAGGTGAATATTATACGGCCTCGGACTCGCGTCGTGGACAGTCCGCACATTAGACTTCTTTATGTTTTCTTTATACGGTCGCTGCGCATTGTACTGTATGCCACGCAAGGAATTATCATCGCATGCCTATCTTACGTCCGAATATTGTGTGTGTTATATTTGAGGCCGACGGCGAAGTGTGATCGCGTCAAGCCGCTCCGGATGCTGCGCCCGACGCGTCGCGTCGCGTCTAGCACCTTGACTTCCAACTACCATCTCCTTCGCCTACCCTCCTACCTCCTTCCTCTTTCTTTCATAAATCTAGGCTGTGTGCACACATTGGTGAGTGGCAACTTCCTCGCGCGTTCTGATCATCTTTTGCAGCGGACTATCTGTCTTTGGCGTTGTGCGCCGCACCGGTAGCTCTCTTTGTGCGAACGAAAAAGGTAGCCTTCCTGTACGCCACCGCCCGTCGATTTCTGTTTCACCGACGCGCCATACATAGTTTCATATATCGCAATATCTGGATTCACAACATGTCCCACGGGACGACGACCAACCCGCCGTACGATAGTACGGTCGAGCAATTATACCACGCCGCGAACGATGTGGAAATGCAGGTATGTCGCACTGCTTCGGACGCCCCGCCGCACGCGCTAAAAGCAACTATACATCGCAGGATGCGTTTCCGACAACCCAAAAGTATTTGCACGCTGTCATCGACACGAATGTGCTCATCGATTACTGCGGCATCGTTGAGCAGTTTTGCGCCGACGTTGAGAAGGCGGGGTACCCCATCCTGATCATCATACCCAGCGTCGTCCTCGGCGAGTTGGACGGGTGCGTCAATCTATTCTGAAACGCGCTCTATCATTTTTTAATAACACGGGTGCTATTACAGGCTGAAGAACCGCCCCGAACTCCAATGGTTCGCGCGACAGGCGACGACATGGCTACTGAAGAAAGTGAAGGAGCGGCGGACCGTGAAGCTGCAGTCGGCGAAGGAGACACAAAGCCCCGCCGCGCCACCATCTGACACGGACGATATGCGCAAAAATGACCTCGCGATCCGCGACTGCTGCCTATTCTTCGCAGACCAGAATAGAGGCTATGGAGCGCTTCTCGTCTCCATGGACAAGATCCTCTGCCTCGAATGCCAGAAAGAAGGTTCGTTCGCAGCCTGTCCCCGGCATTGTCGTACCATCTCCCTGCCGAGCGGGTCATGGGCACAAGCAGAAACGCTGACGCTGTGATCATTGTTTCAGGCCTGGAGACATGCATTCCCCCGCGGCGCAGCTGGTCCAGCCATTTGCTCGCGCAGGAGCTTCCCGTGCCGGGAGTCGACCTGAGCATGTTCCACGAGCGCGAGGCATTCCCGCGCTACCGCCCCTCGCGAACGCGGCAGCGCCTTGCGCAGACGGAGGCTCCTGCGCATCCTGCGGTCCCCGCGCGCCGGACGGTCCTGGACGACGACATGATGGACATCGACGATGGCGAGGCTGCGCACCCCGAGGAGTACCTGCCTGCGCACGCACGCGACTCGCTGCACGCGCAGATCGCGGAGCACTTCACGCTCGTATTGAAGGACCTCTGCTATCGCGTCCACATCGAGAGCGGAGATACAATAACGCCCTCCGATTCGAAGCACGCTCCGCAATTCAGACGCAAGCCGATGTCGGAGTGGATGGCAGAGGGGTGCCTGAGCTACCTGAGGACGAAGAAGGCGTTCGGGGGACCTGAATTCATGGGAAGGTTCCTGCTCCACCGCAGAGGCGAGCCTGGATGGAAGAAGGGGCAAGACTGGTCGCCTGAGATGTGGAAGCTAGTTCTGGACGCTTTGGAGGAAGTAGGGAGAGTGTTCGAGGACGGCGCGATGCTGAGCTCATTGAACGCAGTCAGACCGCACGTCACGGAGGTCTGGGAGGCCAAACTACGACCGCTATGAATGCATGGATGACACAAAAAATTGGCGCAATGTACTATGTTTGTTCCTCGGACCGAGCCCTGGACGAGCTGGTGACTGCTGTGGTGGAGGTGGCCCGCCGGCTCATGGGGCTGCCGCGAGCTTGGGAACCATGCCGGAAATCTCCTAATCGTGACGCGTCGCGTAGCCGCCGTCGACTAGCGAGATCTGGTGAGACCTGAGGGCTCTGCTGCTGACTGCGCAATATGGGGTCTATTGGGACGAGGCAGGGTGCGATAGAGCACTCGAGGTTGGTCGGATATCTTTGGTCGATGAGGTCTGAGGAGCCGGAGGCTGGTCCGGAAACAATCGTGGACTGCGCGAATCGGAGTGCGATGGTGGATGAGCGCGACACGGACCGCGGGCGCCCGCGAGCCTCGGCTGTCCCAGCTCAGGAGGGCCGGTTATCGGCTATCTGGGCGGTGGGTGTTGGGCAACGAGCGACCTCAGGAGCGTTGGAGTCGGTGAGGAGAGCATTGGCAACGTCGAGGATGAGGTCGGCGGCGCTGCGGAGGGTGGTGAAATCACGAGCGGGACAGCCTCCATGACATGCTGCGGGATACCAATATTTGGGGAGGCGCTCGGCGCTTGGCAGGTCCTCCCGCATCTTCTGCTCTGCCAGTACTTAGTGCTCGCCTTTAGCCGACCCTTCCTTTCCTTCGTCCCTCTTTCCCTTCCCATTATGATTCGGCGACGGACCCTCAACATCCTCCTCTCCCTCCTCGCCGCTGTCCTCGTCGGCACCGTCGTCGTCCTCTCTTCTATATCTTATTACCTCTCTATCGACCTTCCGGCATACATAACCGAGGATGAGGTCTCCCGCGTGCTCAACAACTCCCTACCCGTCCTACCGGAGCGCATCCCTCGTATCATTCACCAGACATGGAAGTCGGAGACACTGCCCCCTCGCTGGGCCAACATCTCGCAGGAGTGTCGCGACATGAACCCCGGCTAGTGCGTGCTGCCTATTTTCAACTACTGCTCACCCTCACACTCCTCCAGCGAGTACATCTTGTGGACAGACGCTAGTGCTCGCGAGTTCATCGCCCAGCACTATAGCTGGTACCTCGATACCTTTGACGGCTACAAGTATCCTATCCAGCGTGCCGACGCCATCCGCTACTTCGTGCTCTACCACTACGGAGGCATCTACATCGACCTCGACATTGGTTGTCTTCGCCCTCTGGCCCCTCTCTTGGTCCACCCCGTCATCCTCCCCAAGACAATTCCCGTCGGCGTTTCTAACGACCTCATGTTCGCCGAAAAGGGGCATCCGTTTATGGCGCAGACGATCCACAGCATCATGAACTTCGACTATGACTGGGTGTTGAACTACCCTACCGTCATGTTCTCTACCGGCCCCATGTTCCTGTCTGCCCAATACGGCGCGTACAACGCCGACCTGGACATGCCCGCTGGTGAAGTTCGCATCCTGCCGAAGTCTCTTTACGGCAAGAACGCGAAGCCGGACGAAGCCCCCCATTCGTTCTTCGCCCACTACTATGGCAGCAGTTGGCACGCAGACGACGCCGCTTTCATTGGCTTCCTCGGGACGTGGGGCAAGGGTCTGATGTGGATAGGCCTGGTCGTGCTCATCGGTGGCGTGATACGTCTAGCATTCGCGCCCAAGAGAAGGCGTCTTCCGCGCATTGGCGGTTACGAGGTCATGATGCCCCGCTGGACACAGAGGAACAACAGATGGTATCTCGACCTCGGATGGTTCGCGCTTCCTGCCTCCGGCATTACGACAACACCGCCCTCCCCTATCGCGCTCACCAGCGAGTCTGTTTCCGACGAAGAAGATGTGCAGCTACTTCCGTTGTACGACTCACGGTCAACTTCCCCAACGCCCTCCGACCTCTCGATTGCTACCGACGGCACCTTGACGCCTCACGCTCCCACCGGTGGATCGATGATGGACCGTATGCGGCGAGCGGGTCACAACTTTCTAGGCTCAGTCTTCGACATGGACGACTCGGACCCACCGTCGACGCCCTCACGCTCTCGCCGGCGTCGACTGCGCTCGCGCGGCGTCTTGTTCTTCTTCCCTGCCTTCCTCACACCAGACTCGACAGACCCCGTTCCTCCATTACCCTTCTCGCCACACGCCCGCAGCTCGTCCTACTCCCGTGTGCACCCCGTGGCCCTCCCCACACCACCATTCCCGCCAGAAAAGCAGGCTTACGCAGCCAGCTTACAGCGTGCGGGGCTCCTGCCTGTCGAGGATCCTACGGAAGCGCACGCGGGGGGCTCCTCCGAAAGCTCGTCATCACGCGCCTGCTAGTGCACGTTCTGTCCGGGATCGCGGCGCGTCAGGCACCGTGGAGGGCCGGATGGGGCGTGGGTGGACGGATGCGGATACGCTTGGAGTCGATGCTATCATGCCTTCGGCGCGGACCATCTGTGCCTGTCGAGGCTCAAGGGAAAATAGGACTGTTGCGTTCCGGAAGACGTCGGCCGGACATTTGCGCGCCCGGCAGGGTATTCTGGGAGCAGACAGGGAAAACATGCACGAATAACCTCTCCGAGAAGAGAGGCAAGAAGACCAATACTCCGTGTGTGCAGGAGGCGCACGGACGTAGCTATACCACTTCCTCCTTGATTCACATTCGCCCGCTGTGCACGCGCGGGGCGGGATGGAGCTATGGGGGCCTCGAGGATGTACACGCGTCCTGGACCCCCTGGCCCCTGTGCCTGCGTTGCTGTCGTCAACATGCTGCAGGTCGCGCGCGCCGTGGCCCCGCGCGGCGCGGCATATTTATCCCACGCACATTCGTTTCGACCAGATACCACCGCCGCCGCCTGCGTACCGTACCCCCGTTAGGCTGCCTGCCCTCCCGCGCCAGACATTCCGAGCCGTCGTCATCACCCATACGTACACCACAGGTACCAGTACGCCTTCCGTACACACCCTACGTATTCTCTGATCAGGCCTCCGGAAACCGCGGGCGCAGCTTTTGCTAGTTACTAGAAGCCTTCTATAGTCTAATACACACATAGATTCACAATATACGCACATTAACCGCCAGTTTCTTCTGCGAACGAGCCCGGTGAAGACGCGGCGTTTGCGAGAGCTTGATTGCGACCTTCAAATTGCCAGCTGCCGTACAAGCATAAGCTCCAGGTATACTTATTATCTTCGGACGTGCCTTGGGAAGTACTCAGTGGCATTCAGACTTCGGTGCGCCATGATGGTATCATATCATCATAGAACATCACCATACACACATCAGCGGAAGCTCGTTCAAGGTGCGCCGTAGGACCGGGTGGTTAGTGGGCTTGCTTTGAGTCAGGCTTCGGTGCGGCTTGATAGACCCTGATCACACTATCATCATAGAACATCACAATGCATACAGAAATCCGCGTACGAGGCTCCGCGGTACGTCGGAATGTGCTGCAGGCGTTTGGAGTTTGGGCATGCACGTTGGAAGCTTACCCGGGGAGCATCACCATGCAGACATCCGCGAACTTTCTGCATCCCGCGGCCGGGTGCTTTACGGGTGTAAACACGTACACGATCCTACTTACGGCACTGACGCCCACCGGTGAGGAGAGCGGGACAGAGCGCTATATGGACATGCATTCGTGGTTCTAGATGTGACGCGGGAGGGCAAGAGGTTCTGAAAATACAAAAGATCAAGCAAGTTCGAAGCCTTTTATTTACAACCGCTGTCTTTACCGCAGACGACAGCCCCAGATCCCGAAGGTAGTGTACATCGTCGGTATTACTTCCGTACAGATAGTCCGGCCTATTCGCCGTGTGTCTTCTCCTGTTCACTGGATCCACGCTGCCCCTGAGCGCTGAGCACTCCCACCGGACCGTGGACGCGGCCACGTCCGCCTTCAACCCTGAGCAGAATTATGAGAGGTCGTCGGGGGACACGTCGGGGCCGGAGATGACGGCCTTGATGACGGGCTTGCCGTCCTCGCTCTTGCCGGCGCGCGTCGTCTGGAACGCCTGGATGGCCTGGTCGAAGCTGAAGCGGTGCGTGACGAGCGGCTTCAGGTCGATCTTGCCCTGCGAGACGAGCGCGATCGCGAGCTGGTAGTCGCCGGGCTGTGGGAGGAATTATTTAGACGAGCAAAAGGGTGTGACAGTGGCGGGAAGCAGTGAGACGTACGCCGTAGCGGAAGGAACCCTTGAAGTTGATCTCCTTCACGAGCAGGGTGGTGACCGGGATGGTGATCTCAGCCTGGCCCATACCGAGCTGCAGAAGTCCTCGCGTTAGATATTGGCCCTACAGAATCTAAGGGGAAATACTGACCTGGATGAACGTGCCGCCGTGCTTCGCGATATGGATGCCCGTCTGGATCGAGACCTCCGCACCGCTCGCGTCCACAACAACATCAATACCCTGCGGCCCGCGCTCCGCAATCTTGAGCTGCTCCTTCATCGTGTTGGCGTTGCGCTCCGAGTACGCGAGCCGCGTCTCGCCCTCCTGGGGCTTCGGCGGCGTGTACGTCTCCGTCGCCGCGTACTTCGCCGCAAACTCAAGACGCGAGGGCACGATATCGACCGCGACGACGCGCGAGGCGCCAAGCGCGCGCGCGACCGCCATGCACAGCAGCCCGACAGGGCCCGCGCCAAAGACGACGACGGACTGGTTCGCGCGCAGCTGCGCGATGTTCGCGACGGCGTGGATCGCGACGGACAGCGGCTCCATCTGGGCGTGGGCGTGGGCGCGGGTGTGAGCGTGGGGCCCGGGCGGGGGAGAGGAGGCCGGGACGTGGGAGTGCTCACCATCGCGCCGTCCTCGAGCGTGAGGTTGTCCGGGAGCTTGTAGCACAGGTCCGCGGGGATGGGGTAGTAGCGCGCGAGCGTACCGTCGTACGGGGGCGTCGCCGCGAAGACGATGTCCGGGCAGAGCTGTGGGAGGGGCGTGAGCGGGCAGGTACGTACGGGTGTCGGGCGGGGCGTACCTCGTAGCGGCCGCGCTTGCAGTCGTGGCAGACACGGCAGGTTGCGCCGGGCTCCATCGCGACGCGGTCGCCGACCTTCAGGTCCTTGACTTTTGAGCCGACTGGGAGAAGGCGGGGATCAGCTGGGTGTATGATTATTGAGAGAGTGGACCATGTGTTACCTTTGTGGACGATGCCTGCGGATTCATGGCCAAGAACCTACAGATAATGGTTAGAGATATGTACGGGGCAAACAACTTACGGCATACCATGGGCTTTTCGACGATGAAGTCCCCGATGCGGCCGTGGACGAGGTAGTGCACATCAGAACCGCAAATGCCTGCAGGCCGATGAGGTCAGATGGACTGCGATATTCGTCAAAGGCCGAGGCGTACCCGTCTTCTTGACCGCAATGAGGACCTCGTCATCCTTAACTGGAAGCACATCATACACATGTCAGCTTAGCCTCGGGGAGATGACAAGGGGATAGGCGCACTTTCAGCGACGGGCCTCTCCTCGTAGGCGACGTCCTCGATCTTGCGCAAGACGAACGAGGGGTTGTTGGACATGGCTGAGGATGGTGAGGGGGGTAAGGAGGATTGTCGGGGAATGGGGAGAGCAGTACGGGGTCTGCGGGGAGGTATTTGAGGGGGAGGGCGGGGGTGGCCGGACCGGATGCGGGGTTGTCTGGGCCATGCTCATCTGACTGAGGGCAGGGGGCCGGAAGAACGATGGACGGGGTCGATAGCGATAAATACTGCTGCTCTACTGACGTCCGGTGCCAGGTTCGCTCGGTGCCCGCCCGCCGTACAACGCCTCCAACTCAACAAGCTCCGGCTTGCGGGGGGCGTCCCGAGTCCCCGCACTCTGCAGATCATTTCTCCCTCTGCCATATATGGTGCACCACCTGCCTTTTGCAGCTACGACATAATTACGAAGTGCGCGTGCAATTACCGAGCCGAGGCTCGCGAAGGTCTCGTTGAATGGCCGGGAAGTGCAAGCGAGCGTGAGCGTGCTTGCATCGCACTCGCCCATGGGCAGGTTCAACCGGAGATGGCTCCTATCGCCTCTAACGTTCACCGAGGCAGCAGCCATCTGAGGCGTGCGCACCACGCTGCATCGAACGAAGCCAAGGAGCCTTCGTCGCCGTTCAAATGATCCACGTTCCGAACTACGCGTTATATGTATGTAACCACGCGTGCGAAGGTTCCCGACGCGATAGCATTACAACGACCGGTAAAACCTCCGTCTGTGTATGCACTCACCGCACTACGATCTATTCCCGCGCTTGTTTGTCTGTTCCCTCCAGCATTCCCGCGCCTCTCTGGCGTGTGTGTCGGGAATGGGGAGGAGGAGGACGGGCTGGACGCGTCTGCCACGTCGTGGGCGATTGACTCGGGATGTGAGAGAAGACATCGATGGGGCGCTTGATTGCCTGATCGGGGCCCCAGTCCTCCCCATTTATGTAATTCGAAGCGCTCACGCCATCCTCTGAAAATCCTCAAATACTGCGTTCTCTCCCTCTTTCTGACCCACACCCCTTCCCTCTCCCCCACCATCCCCCCGCTGTCTCTATCCGTTCTCAGAATGGTTCTCTCTAGCGTTCTCGGTTTCCCTCGCATCGGTATGTTTTTTCTCTGTGTCCTGCTATGATCGATCGACTCATATCCTTTGCGTACCAGGTGCTAACCGTGAGGTGAAAAAGGCTGTTGAGGCCTACTGGGGCGGCAAGCTCTCCGCCGATGAGCTCACCAAGGCGGCTGCCGATGTCAAGAAGGCCAGCTGGACCAGCCTCAAGGAGCGTGGTGTCAACCTGATCCCCAGGTACGTTACGCGAATTTGAAGATCGACGAGAATTTACTGACATGGTATATTCAGTGGTGACTTCACTCTCTACGACCACGTTCTCGACCACTCTGCCGCGTTCAACGTCATCCCCAAGCGCTACTTGGGCAAGGGCCTCTCGCCCCTCGATGTCTACTTCGCGATGGGCCGTGGACGTCAGGCTGACGGTGTCGATGTCCCCGCCTCCGAGATGAAGAAGTGGTACGTTTCACGATCCTGAGTACGCGCATATATGGTGCTCACGGTGTTTTTCAGGTTTGACTCCAACTACCACTTCGTCGTCCCCGAGTTCTCCGAAGAGACTGAGTTCAAGCTGAACTTCAACAAGGCGCTCGAGGAGTACCGTGAGGCCAAGGACCTCGGTGTCGAGACTCGTCCCGTTGTGCTCGGCCCCGTGACCTTCCTTGCCCTCGGCAAGGCCGCTAAGGAGGCTCGCGAGGGTTTCCAGCCCATCTCCCTCCTTCCTGCCCTGCTCCCGATCTACAAGCAGCTCCTTGCCGCCCTTAAGGAGGCTGGTGCCGAGTCGGTTCAGATCGACGAGCCCATCCTGGTCCTCGACTCTGCCTCGCTCTACGAGAAGCAGTTCGCCCAGGCGTACGCTGAGCTTGCCCCCGTCTCGCCCAAGCTCGTTTTGGCTACCTACTACGGCCGTCTTGACGCCAACCTGAGCTATGTCGCGAAGCTCCCCGTCGCCGGCCTCCACATCGACCTCGACCGTGCTCCTGGTCAGCTCGACGAGGTCATCGCCGCCGTCAAGCCCACCAACCTCGTTCTTTCGCTCGGTGTCGTTTCGGGCCGTAACATCTGGAAGACCGACTTCCAGGCTGCCCTTAAGCTTGGCCAGAAGGCCGTCGAGGTTCTCGGCAAGGACCGCGTCATCATCGCATCCTCGTCGTCGCTCCTCCACACCCCGGTCAGCCTCGCTGCGGAGAAGAAGCTCACTGCTGAGCAGAAGGACTGGTTCGCCTTCGCTCTCGAGAAGTCGTCTGAGATCGCTGTCATTGCCGCCGCCCTCTCCGGCTCTCAGGACGCCAAGGTTGCTGAGGCCGTCGAGGCCAACAAGGTGTCGATTACCAAGCGCCGCGAGTTCGAGACCAACTCCGATGCTACCGTCCGCAACCGTGTTGCCGCGATCACCCCTGAGATGCTCGAGCGCAAGAGCCCCTTCGCCGTCCGCAAGGAGATCCAGGCGAAGCAGCTCAACCTCCCCAAGTTCCCCACGACCACCATCGGTTCTTTCCCTCAGACGAAGGAGATCCGTCAGGCGCGTGCGAAGCACAACAAGGGCGAGCTCTCTACCGCCGAGTACGAGAAGTTCATCGAGCAGGAGATCGAGAACGTCGTGCGCTTCCAGGAGCGCATCGGCCTCGACCTCCTTGTGCACGGTGAGCCTGAGCGTAACGACATGGTCCAGTACTTCGGCGAGCAGCTCGAGGGCTTCTGCTTCACCCAGAACGGCTGGGTTCAGAGCTACGGCTCCCGCTACGTTCGTCCCCCGATCATCGTTTCGGACGTCAGCCGCCCCCAACCCATCTCCGTTCGCTGGAGCAGCTACGCGCAGAGCGTCACCAGCAAGCCCATGAAGGGCATGCTTACCGGCCCGGTCACGATCCTCAACTGGTCGTTCCCCCGTGCCGATGTCTCCCGTGAGCTCCAGTGCAAGCAGCTCGCGCTTGCTCTCCGCGACGAGGTCGTCGACCTCGAGAAGGCCGGCATCAAGGCCGTCCAGGTCGATGAGCCCGCTCTCCGTGAGGGTCTGCCTCTGCGCAAGGCCGACTGGAACGCGTACCTGGCGTGGGCCCTGCCCTCGTTCAAGATCGCGACCGCCGGTGTCACCGACGCGCTCCAGACGCACTCGCACTTCTGCTACTCCGACTTCGACGACATCTTCCCGTCCATCCAGGCTCTCGATGCGGACGTCATCTCGATCGAGGCGTCGAAGAGCGACCTGAAGCTGCTCAACACCTTCAAGCACTACGGCTACTCGAACCAGATCGGGCCCGGTGTCTACGACATCCACTCGCCCCGTGTCCCGTCCGAGGAGGAGATCAAGGAGCGCCTCGCGGCGATGCTCGCCACTCTCCCCGGCGACCTCCTCTTCGTCAACCCCGACTGCGGCCTCAAGACCCGCGGCTGGGCCGAGACCGAGGCGTCGCTGGTGAACCTCGTCAACGCCGCACGCTGGGCCCGCCAGACGTACGCCTAAACGCGTACGGCCTCGCGCTTCAACAGCGCCCGCGTTACGGTTCACCAGTAACTTATCGGCGCACTCTCAACGAGGTGTCCCGTCCTGTGGTTCCACCCCAGATGTTGTGCAGAAGTGTGGCGGATAAGCAGAAAATTGCGTAGCCGTGTGGGTGCCGGCCTCTGTGCCCCCGGGCGCGCCAGCCGATGTCAGCGCGCGGACGCGCCCCCGCCTTGCGCGGGGCCGTCTGCAGTAGGCTCGGCGGCCCGGGGCGCACGAGCCATCGGCCAGCCGTTCCGTCGTCGGCTCGACGGCGGCGGCTCGAGCTTGGAGAGTGGTTGGGTTTTTGCGGATGGATGGGCGGATTTCAACAATCCATAAAACGCGCCTCAACGGCGCCGTTGTGTAGCCTACCACGAGACGAGCATGTACCCCCGCGATGATATTAGCCCGTAATTATGACCATCATGCATTCAGATCTACTGTGGTGCGACGAGTGTGCGTTCGCGGGTGCTGCTGACTAGGCAACGCAAAATGTTAACTGTAAGAAACCGGTACGTGGTGTATGGTGATAACATTGCAGACGTGAGCGGGTCATGGGGAAGTGGTATCGTGGATGCAAAAACAGCGGCAGAGTAGATGAACGTAGCGTACGGCAGTGTCTATGTCCGCCCTCAGAAATACAGAATACGGACAGATTAAACAAGGTCGAGCCTGGACCGAGAGCCAAGAAAGTGGAAGTACTATCATTGGGACGGTGCAAGGTGCTCTGCGGGCGGAACCACCATCTCGTCGGCGAAGTGCAGCGACCGAGCAGAAGGATTGCGCTCCGCGGCCGGCCTCTTCTCACTGGTAGACTCCGCCTTGAGCCCCTTCTCGGCGTGGCGCGCCCCGTGCGCGTCCGCGTCCAGCTCCGCCGCCTGTAGCTTTTCCGTGTCCCGCGCGGACGCGATACCCTTCTGCGACGACGGCTCGGCGACCGGCGCAGGTGCAGCCGGCGGCACGCTCTCGGGGCTCTCGCCAGCCTCCTCGACGTTGATGGCGGGTACGCTGCCGTTGCGCGCTGGCTGCTTCGGGTCACGCTCCATCTTGAGAGCCATGCGGAGACGCTCCTCGACGAGCTCTGTGCGGCGCGTCTTGCGGCCGCCCCAGTAGATGAGCACACCTGCGATGATGCCGGCCACCTGTACGGGAAAAGGGGGGTGTAAGGGGCAGTTGTGAATGATGAGAGATGCGGCTACTCACGAATGCGGCTGGGAGGGTCGTTCCGGTTGTCCACGCAGGTCGCTGGAATCGGTCCAGTCCCCACATCGTACCACTGAGGAGAATTTGGAAGAACGAGTTGAGGTCATTGCAAACACAAATCCACAACGCGAGACTGTGACGCAAGTCAGAACTTGTATAGGTCGGTCGATATCCGTGGGCTTACTTGATAGGGAATGCCTTGAATGGTTCATTCAGCATAAGGTCTCCATGGGCAAAGACAAGTTGCACTTACCCGGTGGGTTTGGGTGCCGTGCGGTCGGTACCATGTCTGCGACGCCATGAACTTGTGTTGCTCTATCCTTGAAGTTAGCCAAGCCAAGTAAGATGCTAGACAGGGGACGTACGGTAATGTAGGTCGATCTGCTGTTCCTCGGTAAGAACGTGGACGTAGTTCGGATCGTACACCGGGTCTGGTAGATCGTCTGCGTCGTAGAGCTCTGGCAGACCAGCCTTCGCTCGCAGTTTCACGACCATACGCTTATAGTGCCAAATCTTGATTATCCCTGTAGAATGCGTCAGCTCTGGGAGCGCTCGGGAAGGTGTTGGGACGCGCTTACGGTATGTGTCCATAACTCGGAACGGTATGAAACCGATACTAGTCGCCGTGAAGAGGCCTGTCGAACGTTCATATGTGAGGGGGCAGGTACGACATGCAAGTGGCGTGCGACATACCCGTCTCCACCTGTTGACAGAGCTCGACCCAGAATCCTTGAGTGTAGTCATTGTGGAGGTTGATGAACTTGGCCAGGAAGAAGACAATTCCTGTGCCCCAGAACACTACGCAAATTCGGTCAGCAGGTGAAACAGAAATCCAGTGAATAATGGTTAACGCACCAACATTAAACCCATAAAACGCGACGACGATCTACTCAAAGAGAGGTTATAACACATGCCTGGAATGCAAGATGAACAAACTCACTCCGAGCGCTGTAGAAGAGAGTGGTTAGTAAAGTTTCTGGCGTGTCTGGTAATAGTACTCACGGGTCTTGGTAAAGGCCCATACACCCTGCATGACACGCCGGAACTTGTCTCGCTTCCTGAGGCAATCTTCCACATGCTGGTCCAGGGCGTCTTCATATTCGTGTTCGCTTTCCTGCTCTGCACCCTTCTCCGGGTCGCTTTGCTTTGATCTTTTCTTCTTTCGGAGGCGTGGTAGTACAACAACAGGTTTGCGAGAATAGAATGACAAGGGAGGTCTGCAGAAAATAATCAGGTGAAGTTCACCGGTATGGAGTTGTGTACTGACATAACGATGGCGTTGGCAGCATTAGTAAGGGTAGATACGGTAGATATTTGCGGGTCTGCGCGGGGTTGAGTTTAATCTTGTTTGCGCCAAACGTACAGAGCACTCACCAATAACGTCTAGGTGTTCGACAATGTCGTCATGATGGTGGTCGTTCGAGTTGGGATCATCGCGTTCATCAAGTTGCTCGAGCGCGAGGCTTATTGAGCTACTTCTCCGGTCCTGGTCGTCTTCGATAGGAACGCGGAGGTCCGCTTGCTGACCCTGGACAGTATAGCTCCCCGCACGGTTCCTCTGGAAGCTGTGAGGTCTGGAGCTCTCCTCAATGTCGGAGAGTTGTCGCGGTGGGGCCAAGGAGTCCGGAGGTGGTTGCGCAGAGCGTAACTGCGGAATGCTCCTCGACGTCGAGAAGATATGTTGTGAAACCTTGCTCGAAGCACTCGGTCGGCGGGCGGGCGGACGCCCTCCGTTCACAAGGGAATCGCTCGCGCGCGTCGGTGTTTGACGGAGGTCCGTGGTGGAATCCGCCTGGGACGGCTGGGTGAAGAGGTGCGAGACGAGAGACTGAGAACGCGGTCGGCCAGAAGGTTGGGCATCGTTGATAGACTGGTAGCCTTGGCCTTTCTTGACGCGAACGGAGGGCATCGCCAACGGGTAGCGAGCGGGGCGCGACGGCTAGCAATCAGCTAGGGCGGGTGTGCGGGAGGATGGGAGGAGGAGGAAAGGGGTGGAGCGGACTGGCCTTTCGCCGACTGTCCGCTGCTCGACATGCCCAATTTCGTTTTCGATGAAGTCATTGAAAGGCTTGGCGCGTGTCTAGATCTATAACTAAATTATTCCCACGCTTACTCCGGGCTCCAGCCGGCCGCCGGCCGTTATAAACACGTTCTAATGGCTTTTGCTCAGTCGGCTTACCCTATGTGTCGCATTTATTAACTACATACGCATCACCGCACGGTGAGAAGCAGAAAGATTGCATTGTGTAAGTACTAGATGATGAGCGAGCGACGGACATAAGTTACAGAGTGATTACCATGAATCTAGCATACATTTCCTATACATGTTCCTATGCCTGGAAGCTAGTGCGCGAGCCTTGGCTCTCCGTCTGTGACGACGACGGCTCAGTCTACACGTCAGGTCAGTTATTGAATGGAACGTGCGGGGATAACAACAATGACGTACGCTTGTGGAGGTATCCGAAGAGGCAACGCTGTCCTGGCTGTGCGTGTGTTTCCGCTTGAACAGACTGATGGCACGCGTGCGCATACCAGGCTTGGGGGTTTTCGGCGCACGTATTGTGTCAGGCTCAGACGTCAAGAATGGCGGGTCTGAGATCATGTGCGGCATGGGTGGCTTGACTGTGGTGTCCTTCGACTTTCGGGAGTCACTTGCAGCCGTAGAACCGCTACGATGCAAGCCACCAATCGACGAAAGTAGTCTCGGCGTGGTCGGTCGTGTCGGTCGGTCGTGTCCTGTGTCCCTCTTCGACGCAATCCACTTCGTCTTCGTGATCAGCTCACGCGCGACAGGAAGCACCGGTACCAGCGGCTGTTGGAACGCCACTTTGACCCAGCCGCGCCAGTTTCGACCCGAGGGGATAAATTGGTCAACCAGCTCCTCGAACTATAGATAGCTGTCAGACTATTGAAACCGTATTGAATCTTGAAAAACATACACTCCACGTCTGGTTGCGGTACTCCAGATCGCGTGTCCTGATTCGGGCGTCACGGCAGAGGAAGGAGTCCTCTTTCGCGATACTCAAAAGTAGATGAAGACTACAAGAATTCTCAGCTATAGCCTAGCGTGAAGAGTACAATTCGGCTCACCTCGCGACCTTGACCCTCACGAACGTCTTCTGCGACGCGCGCGTCTTCATCTCTGCCGCGTCGTCCGTCTGCTGCTTCAACCGGTCCGATTTATCATGTGTGGTCTTATTCGACGCCGACGACTTCGACAGCGCGAGCGCATCCGTCGACTTCGCCTTCAGCGCGTCGCTCGAGCGCGTCCGCTGCAACATCCTCGGCACCTGCAGCGAGTCCTGCCTTGCCGAGTTCCTCAAGTCCGTGAACGAGCGCGACGTCCCCAGCCTGCGCAGCGTCGGCGCAGCGAGCCGGTTCGCATCGAGCGACTTGCGTGGCGGGAGGTCGAACGACGCATGCCGCGGCGAGTCCGTGTATGTGACTGCGGGCAGCTCGTCCGGCTTCATGAACGCTTCGGGCACCGCGAACGATTCGGTCTCCGCGGGCGTCTGGTTGCGCGTGCGCCGCGCAGGCCAGAGGTACTCCATGATCTTGCGGCCCACGCGGATGTCGATCTGCAGCCGCATGGGGTGGAGCATCAGCTCGAACTCCTCGTAGATCGTGATGCCGCCCACGGGCGGCAGCACCGTCCAGTCGGCCAGGAGGAACAACTTGCGCTATGATGGGATGAGTATGCGGTGTCAGAATAACAGTCAAGCGGTGCATACCTTGACAAGAGGGTGTGTCGACGGCTCGTCATACTTGGAGAGGATCTCAGTCCATTCCGCGTCGGCGGCGCCGTCGAATGCTTGCAAATCGCCCACCGAGAGCTTGTTCACCGTCGAGCTGTCGTGCCGGCTCAGCCAGTAGAAGTCCGTGCCGCGCACAGCGAGCTTCGCCAGCAACTGGTCGTGCCGATCCAGCATCCGCCACGAGAGCTCCTCAGACGATGCATGTAGGAGCAGTGCGCTCTTCTGGTCAGACTGGTCGCTCGCCTTGTCCTGCGCGAGCTTGATCGCGTCGAAGATGAGGTTGAGCTCCTCGATGAGCAGCAGGATGTGCGCTTCGATCTTGAGCTCCTCAACGCGCCCCGGGTTCCCGAACCCGCGCAGCTTCTGCTCCGCCTCGCGCTTCGTCTCGAGCGCCTGGCGCAGCCGCTGCTGCATGTTCGCGACGACGTCCGCGGAGGTGGAGAGGTTCGTGAAGTCGTAGCTGAAGAGCATGCTCTCGAGCTTCTCCGCGCGCGTCTTGTGCGCCGCGTCGCTGAAGAGAACGAGCTTGGTGACGATGTTGGAGATCGCTTGGAAATGGCGGTCGTTGGCGGACACGGTAAAGCGCGGAACGTGTAGGCGAATGAGATCCTATGTCAAGCGTCAGTTTTGTGCTGCGAAGAATGCTAAGAGCGCGTACGGTCTGGTTCTGCAAGTGCGCGTGCACATGCTGACTGGTCTTGACCACAGACGTAACGTCGTTCCGGAGACGAAGGCGGTTGAACTTGTCATACTGGAAGGTAGCATCCGTCTGCGGGAAGAGGCGATCGAAGTCGCTATTGTCCGCTCTCAAGTCGATGAGCACCTCGAGAGGGACGTAATCCCTTCCGGATGTGTTCGTAGCCGACGGTGAAAACGTCTGTAGGCCAGTGAGCCACGCAAAGTTTCTAAGGTACGTGGAATGGTTAGCAAGCTGCGATATAGTGAGACTTCCAAACAGGGTCGCACCTGTTCATGATCTTGCCACTGATAGGGTCGTGTATATTTGCGTTGTCCATGATCGAGAACGTCTTCAGCTTGCCTTGCACGGCCGCAAGCACACAGACCGAATCTGTGTCCGCGTTAGCCCTCAGGACGATCTGCGGCTTCAGCAGCAGACAGAAATGGCCCTTTCTTGGCGACACTCCTTCCGCCCAGCCATGCAGTGGGTCCACGAACGCTGGTAGCTTTGACACCGTTTGTGGAACGAAGTCGACAGACGGTGACGTCCCGCCATCGCCAACGAGAAGCTTCTTGACCGCGTTGGCAGCTGCTTGCGCACTCGCTGCTGCCCCCTTGTGCTTGCCAGCTTCGTGCTGAAACTCCGTCAGTGCCACTTGCGCTTGATCACGAATGAACTTGACAGCGCTGTGGAAAATGAGCACCTTGTACAGAGCGGACGTAGAGTAGGCGCAACTCACCGTGTAGCCATATGGTATTCGATACCCCGTCTTGTCCGTGAGCAGTAGTAGTACTGCATCATGATCTGTGCAGGGTGTGAGAAATGTCTGCCGTATGAATGCGGTGCGTACTTACATCTCGGATAGCGTTGTCCATGATGATATGCGGGCTGTGGACCTGATACACATTGTCGTACCCGGCCCATTCGTCTGGAGATACCATATCTGCCGGCATGTAATAACTGGATGTGCCGTTCCTCGTCGATGCTTGGGAGGCCATGTCGACTTGACGCAGCTGAGAGATATAGCCTTCGAGCAAGTTAATCATCCGTGGGCGGTCGTTGGTGGTGTGATTGTGATGCTGCAAGTATGTCAGACCACGGAATTTTTTACTTCAGGAACATGCACACCTCATCACCGTGTGTGGAAGATTCGGATCCTTCCTGCCTCTGCCACCGGGGTTTATTCTTCTCCTCTTCGGCCTTTCGTTTCAAGTGCTCGACACGTGCGGAGGCGAGTTCCATCTGGATCTTGTTCACAGCTGCTGATGGTTCAGTGAAATGCTACTATATCTCATAATGCAAACTCACAAGGCTCCTTGCCGAGCAGGCAGACATGGGTATCCTCAGCCCCGAACTTGCTCTTGTCGGAAGGTTTGTCTGGGCCTTCCGGGCCATGGTCGTCCACCCGCTTGAAGTACGTGAAACGCGGACATGACACCGCCGGAAGCAGATGAATATCGGGTGGTGACGGATCATCTTGCTCGAAGATCGCGAAGTCGTCCATATCGACCCAGCTGGAGTTCAGGTCGATTGGAGTAAGGTCGTTTCGAGTACGGTAGTTGCTGCCCAGCGGGAAATTCTCCAGGGGTGTGCATTGCTTTAACGGGTCTGGGAACACGGCAAGCATAGCACGGAGGTCGAGTCCTTTCAGGACGACCTCAATGGCATAAAATGGCCGGTGGTGAACAGTCTTGACGCCTCCTTGGGTCATCTCAGATGTCGCTGTGTCACGTTGGTGCATGTCAGCGTGGAACTCATCGATCAGCGCCTTCACGCCGACGAACGGCGTGACTCCGTCAGCCCACGCCTCTTGTGAGTTGTCGACATAGACGTGTGAGACAAAGATACGAGGGACAGAGAACATGTACTTGAGCGTCGCGAGGTGCTGCCCCAGCTTGGGAGAGATAGGCCGTTTCCGTGGGTAGAGCTGGCCCTGCCGGATCGGTAGAGATAGAGCGCTGTTGAAGAGCGACCACCAGGACCAGAAATGCGAGAAGACCTCGGGAGAAAGGTGGAAGTTGCTGGGTTGCAGCTGGGAGGTACGGTCGAGACCCGACGTGAGTGATATCGACATATGGATGAAGTCGGAGCGGAAGCCGTTGTATGAATCCTGCGCGGACTGTATGCTATTGTTAGCAGTTGTACAGACACAGATACCGGTGGAAGGGTCACCTTGATCTCGGGCACCGTATCTTTATATTCCAACTTCACGTCGTAATGAGGCTTGAACTTGAACAGCCGGCACTGCCTGTCGAAGGGCTTCCCGCTGCATTGGTCGCACTCTGGTCCACACGCGCGTTCCAGGACGAATCCGACGCCGAAACAAACTCCAGAGCGCAACTTCGCACAAACAGTCTGCGCTGTCCGTACTATGGCACCGGTGGGTGCCGCTTGCGCGATTCCGTCCCCATAAGAGTCCTCGATGCTACGTCGCACAAGTTTGAGCGAGCATCTGGACAATAAGGGGCATGTAGGACGCACTTTGGGACAATGACGAGCATACTGTCACTCTTGACCTGGATAAGCTCTCCGGCATCGTTAGGCTGCCCGACAAGCAGCGATGGGCTACCTTTCCAGCAGAGCGCAAATCCGGCCCCGTATCCGCGCAGTTCGTATGGATCCCGAGAACCTATATTGCGATTAATAATGAATCTTGCCATGCGTTGCTTGAGCCTACCTTTCATGTGCAAATGAACCTCGTTTACGAAGTTGACCTTCATTTTCCAGTGGAAAACCAGCCTCAGCTGCAATAATAGAATTTTAGCGGGCGCGGACCGAGACCAATACGCAGCTCACAGTCATACCTTGTCCCAGAAACCGACGGCAGGAGAACTATCTCGAGGAGCGTGTGATAGGGTGTCGATGATTCGCATGAGGTCCTGAGTTGCAGCGCCGTAACTGACGCCCCACGAGAAGTCCGTAACGCCGTCCGTTATGACACGGATCGTTGGGCTTGCGTACGACTTGACGGGCATCAGGGTCTTCGGTATACGCACTGACAGAGGCGCCGCTCCATACAATCCGCTGTGCTCCTTCACGATCTCGCACGGAACCCATTCTACGACTCTTTCTGAGCCCATTTCCTCCGCGATCACGACGTCGCTGTCGAACTCGAGCGCAGGCAGGATGCCTTTTGAGTGTTGGGGTATATGGAGCAGCGGAAGCGGATACTCGCGGTAGGCGAGCCGTAGAGAGGTGGCCTTGAAGTGGATATGCAGGGGTATGAGGAGGGAGAAGGTGGTATCCAGCGGCAATCCGTCACCTGCCCGATACAAGTATTCGGGTAGTGCGTTGTATGGAAACGAGGGAGGTGTTATGGAAAGCGACAGGCCCTCAATCGCGAGGCGAACCAGAGGGGGTACGAGAGGAACTCGGTTGACGGAGACCATATCGCTTGAGCCATCGTCGGTGATGCGCAGGGACCCTTCATGAGCGTGTAAGAAGGACTCTTGCCTGTGGACCTGGTGAGCGCGTGCCGCCCGATACGCCGAGCACCACGCTACGGAGTGGACCTGATGGAGACGTTGACGAGCGTCGGAGACCGATACAGTGTGCTTGGGGGTGAACTGGAAGTCCGAGTCCTCGTTGCGAGACACCGACGAGGCAGCCACCGGTTTCGGCGCGACAATTGTCTCCACCTTCGCTTGGAACGCGTCCTCTCGCTCCTGACGAACACGTGCAGCATCAAACCCAGTGCGCCAGATCAGCCCCAGCTTGGCTTCGAGTTCGTCGTCCGCGGCTTCCACCACCAGCCTTCCCAGATCAATCTTGATGTTCGGGACATGCTTCGCGTCTTCTTCCGGGGGAGAAGGAGGGTCCTGGTACTTGCCCGCAGCGACCATACGTAGCAGATGCTTGACGCTCTTGATAGTCAGGTTGATGTCCAGAATGAAGTCGGCCAGGATGAAGTCGAACGGAATGCGCAACCGGCCGCTGTCTCCTTTGACTTTGATGGTCAGAGGCGTGGTGTCTGGGTGGACCGTGATGCGCCAGCGAGGAAGCCGGGCGAGCTCCTCCCATTCTTGATGCTCGACGCCGTCGCGGGACACAGGCACGGCGACGGCAAGGAGGACGTGATCCCATCCCACGGCGACCACACCACTGGGGGCGATATGGCACCACACGGACGACATGCGCACAAACATTCTGCTCGACTGTGGGAAGCTCCATAGGAGCTGGAGACGGTGAAGATGGCATCGAACGTCGACGGTCATGGTAGGTGGTGGGCGAACCGGGGCGACGGCTGGCTTGGGGCGATGGGGAAGGAGGGCCTGGAGCGTGTGCATGGCGAGCAGGGCGTTGTATATCTGAGCGAGGTTCATCACCACCCTGATAGTAGGAACGGCCACCGCGACTTCACAGCTGTCCAGCTCGTTCGGACGAGGACTGCCATTGGGTCGATAGCCCGAAAAGATCACGTCCGTCTCAATGTTTGCCACATGCAGGAACTCCAGCGAGCGATGTTGTGCACTGCTTTCGCTCGTCCCGTATGGGTCATCGGCGGCGAAGGGTGTGGCAAATGCATCTCTGAGGACGATGTCCCACAGAGACAGCTGTATCGATGCCCGAACCAGGTCGCTTTCGTCGGAGGACCCTGATTCCTCTGCAGCACGTAGGACTTGTTCCGCGGGAAGAGACAGGTGGGCTCGTTGTTCCCCCCGCGAGAGGATAGCCGTCGTCGCATAGTGGTGTGACGGTCGTAGAGCGCAGTATGTGAGAGAGATCCCTGTGCGCGCCGCCAGCCCCCGGGAAATGTTGAGGGCGTCGTCGGGAGCAAGGTCCGGAGAGGTCATGAACACCATGACACGTCCGATAGACACAGATGTTGAGAGACCAAACGGCAACTGGTCAAGTAAGCGGCGCGAGGGCTTCGCCGGCTTCTCTGCCGGAGGCTTTCCGGTACGCAAGACGATGCAGGCCAGGGCTTGGACGACCTCGGGCTGCCAGAGTTCGACCGATACGGCCTCTGTTGCGAGCTGACATTGCGTGAATACAGAGGCGACGTCCAACGCTACAACTCCGGACGCTTCGTCCACGAGTTCGCCTCGACCGTGACCGGCACCACTCAGCTGGACGGAGTCAAGTTGCAGGAAAGTCTCATTCGGGTTCACCGCTCCGTGGAGGCTTTGAGGACGAGCGCTCCGCAAGTGTGCATCGGGTCCGAACCAGATCTTGACAGAGGTACAGTCCAACTCCAGGCCGTAGGCGAACTCCATGTTTAGACCTGTGTAGTCGCGAGGCACGTCCCCGAAGCTTCGGTCCGGACGCGAAGAGAACTGCGACGTGACGGAGCCGGCGAGACCGCCACTCCTCGCTTCCAGGACGAACGGCTCCTGTTCGCCTTCGCGTGTTGGGGATATGAGGCGCGCAGAAATAGCGCCAACGCTAAACCCGAGAGATACCCGTGGGATAGGAGCCAGCAGCGGAGGGAGGAGCGGCCGGCCGTGGACTGTCTTCTCGACGGAGCGTTCCCCTCCTCCAGAATACTTCTCGAGCATATCCAGACGTTCAGTCACAGCAATGATGCCCAAGGTCAGGTTGGAGACGAGGAGTTGGGCGTTCGGATCTCCCGTCAGGAATGGCGAGCCCTCCAGCCACGGAGAGGGCCACCGAGATACGAGAGAATCCCATCTGAAAGTATCCAGTGTCACCAACCGCATGTGGTCCATGAGCTCTCCTACGCCATTTCTATCGAGCGTGAGCTGGTCAGCCGAAAGCTCTATCGTGTACGAGTCTGTCGACGACCCCGCGAGGGGAGAGCCTATGCCTGAGCCAAGCCACTGTTTGTGCATACTGTTGTCCGGATGACTGAGACCTACGACGAGATGGACCTCGTCGACGGACGCGAGAAGAACGGCAGGCGTGTCTCCTGGAGCTGCTTCTGGCTGGAGGTTCGCGGTGCATTTCGCGACCTTCACTTGTATGGCTTTGATATACGACGCATACGCTACACGTTTCTGAAGACGACGTCCCACATTAAGTTCGATCCCTGAACCTCCTAACATCACACTCACCGCGGCGACCTGCGGCTTCAGCTTGATGTCTTGACTTTGTCGAATGGCCCATTTCCACCGCATGGAAGCCTGTGCCGTCTTATGAGTACGTAACACGCAGATAGTTTATGAGGTCACCATACCGATAGCGAGCCCATGAAGGGGGAGATAGGGGACAAGGGGGACTTCCAACCTGAACCAGGTGCAGGAGGCTTGGACATCCGCGACCGATGCATCGCTGCTAGCGCTGCAGCAGCCCTGTCTTTGGCCACACGGCTTTCCTTGAGTTTCTTGAGAAGCTTCTGGAGCACATCCACCTGGGTGTTCACAGTGCCGAAGTCAAGTGAGGTTTCTACGCTGCGAGGCACTACGCCTTGGTGCGGATTGAGCCGGGCAGAGACAGATAGCTGTATGACCGGCAAGTCTAGGAAGAAATGGCCTCTATGGTTGCCTGGACTATTATGAGCGGAAGCCATGATGTAATATGCGGCACTTACCGGCGAACAATTCACTAGCTGCGTCCACATATCCCGCGACACTCTTGACCTGCAGGTTGACGGACGCCGATACCTGAGTCGCACCCCATGCACGGTCCCAAGTCCGGCGGACGCTCCCCTTCACTCGCGCGTTCCAATCCGCCACGCTAGCGAATCGTCTATGCCCCATGGGTGGCTGCTTCGTGCCATTTGCGACAGCAATTACGGTGGGTCGGTAAGCCAGAGAGACGCTTGTGCGGAGCTTCGCCTCCCCTACCGAGAAATTCACCCCGGGGAGTGTCGCGTGAGTGAGGATGGCAGAATCAAGCTCAAAGTCGACAACATGGGTGATTGCAGGGAGTGCGCGGATCCCCAGACGCAGCAGGTAGACGAAGAATGATCGTATCGCCGGACGGACGTACGGGTCAAGCGCAGTGTAGACAGAGGAGACCACGGACCACAGGGCGCGACGCACGAAGCGTGACGGGTTGGCCTTGGTGCGCTTGCGACCATTCTCTGTTGACGGCCTGCGTATATGGTCCCCGGTGTGGCCGTCCAGCGCAAGAGACACTCCTTCGACCTTGACGGAGAATCGGCTCGCCTGCCCCGGGGAAGGCCTGTGGTATGATAGTCCGACCCGTTCAACTTTCCACGTACCGCTTCCGGCCTTGAAGTATATGCCACGGATGGAGCGAAGGCTCACGCTCCGGATGCGCAGGCGTCGCGAGACGAGCCTGACAATGGTGGGTCCGATGTACGTCCGAAAGAGCAGGGACAGCGTGAGGATGCGCACGACCCAGACAAGGAGTGTCGCGCCGAGCGACGGTTCATTCAAAGGTTGCAGAAGCAAGACATGGTGGATGAGGTTCCACCCGAGGAGAAACGGCATCAAGTCTGCGTCGAGGTCCGGTATGTAGTATGTACGTCGAGAGTGACGTTGGCGGGGCGTTTGAAAGAGCGTGGTCGTCAGATTGTGGGTGTGCGCATATAGGCAGAAGACGACGAGATGGGAGGTGCCACGGATGTGTTCGTCGGGATTATGATGTGGGCATGAATTTGTTGGGGTGAGCGCAGCTGGAGAGTGCCTTGCGCTCGAGCTCGGCGCGCGGGCGGATGTCATGCAGCGTTTTCCGGGCGCATCGGGACAGCCACGTGGATTGGATATATAACTCTATGATCATCGCCTGAGCTATATAGTACATGGTGCAGTGCACGCGTCTTCATTAAGTATTAACCTAGTACTTGAATTGTACATCTTTCAAGTGCGAGCGATATCAACATGTATATCTCTGTCCCAGACAGATACAACTCCTGCACACGTCCCCGAGAGACGTACGGCCAACCTCGGCTTTGTTGTCCAAAGTTCAAACCATTACCGCCCACCGGATCCTCCCGGAACCGGCCACATCTACGATTCGGAGCTGTCGGTCATGACCACCCATCGTCCGAGTCCAGATCCAGAACGCTAACAACATCTCAGTAAGCCATCGGCGATACGAGCGGGAAGGGCTCACCACTCCTCGGATTCTCTTCGTGCGGGAGCGTATGCAGAGAATGTGAACGTTTTGCCAACGAAGCGTCCGGGGTTGAACACATGGCAACCTTCATATGTCATCTGATACCGGTCGTATCTATCGGCGAGGACCACCTGTAGCGAGCGGGATTAGCTTTTGCATCGCGGGATTCCGGAATAAACTTACGGCGGTCGGTAAAGGGTATAGACGTAGTGTGTGGTCATATTCGGCGAGCGTGGGTTCAATGGACACTGTCACCGGCATGAGGTGGCTTTGATCTAGGACAGTTTGCACGAGCTACCCCTGCCATGAGTGCTTCGTTTCAGATGCCATCCTCGAACAACTCACGTAGCGCTTCAGATCATCGTTCTTCACGTCTGGTTTCACTCCGACCAAGTTTCGAAGCATCCTTGACATCAGGTCTTCTCTGAACACGACTATCTCCTGCTCGAAGAATTTGATCCGGCACGGGTTGGTAGCGAAGTGAACGTTGGGTATGCGCGACTTCATACGCGAGACGAATGAGGACAACAGCGGTCTTCGTGGCAAAATTGAGTTCATCGTCACGTCCAACGGGCCGGGGACCATAACGAAGTGCGTACTGCGAGTTATCAAGGGATAGCTCGCTATGACATCGGCGAGAGCGTCGAAGTGCTCTGCAGGATTGTCAGTTAGTTGATCCACGGTCCGCTAAATAAACCATGCACTAACCTTGGTATCGCCGCACTTCACGTCCGTTTCCTTGCGGTATTCCGACGCTGGTGAAATTACCGCAGAGAATTATCACCTTGGGGATGAAGCTGTTCTCCATACAGTTGTCGAACAATTTGCGGAGCCCGAGTAGTGTTTCTGGCCTGTCGAGCCACACATCTGAGAGGACGAAGAATCTGAGATCGGCCAGTTCCAATTGTACCCGAGTAGACAGTTGTTTCTATAAGAATAGTATGAGCGCCAGGACAGAAGAAATATGATATGCATTACATCTTCCAGCAATGTTGTTGCCCCCTTGCCCAGGAAGTCGACGTGGCCAAAGATCGAGCGTGCAGCTTCTCGACTCTCGCAGGGTGGATGTCCGATGGCGATTACTAGAAGTGTCCCGTCTTCGGTGTAGTCGCCTTCGACAAGGGCTAGGCAACCCTCCGTAAACAGTCCTTCACTGGGTTGCTCCTGTGCTAAGCGTCATAAGCGGCCATATAACTGAGTGGATTGCTCTACTCACAAGTTGCGTGAAGTCGAGCTCCACCAGTCCGTCTGGGTCTTCGAGGCAGAGTTTACCCTCTTTCGAGTGCGTTAGCATCCCGAAGAGCAGGAAGCGGTCGCCAGCACGTCCTAATAGCTGTTTTGTTGACCTCAACTGGAACGCACGTTAAGCTCATTCACGTCGTATCACGACAGGACAAGTCTCACAGTTAGGAGATTCTCGCGATCTTTCGAAGGTAGCGTCGACGGAGAGAAGTGATCGTTTCGCAGTACACATTGTTTGATGACATTCAATCTATTCCGCATTGCTGTGACCCTCGAATCTGCCGTTCCCGAGGACGTCAAAGGTCCCGATGCTCTGAGTCGACAGTCTCAGTTTGAGAGCGCGAACCAACGTGGAGTTGAACCTACCGCTCGAATGTACTGCGTTCGCTTGACCAGTTCCATGATGGCATCTCGAACGCGTCAATGACATACAAATGGCTGTCTGGGTCCAAGACTGCGTGTTCTTGTGCCCCTTCGTTGTCTCCACTTTGGAATGCTTCATACACTCTGTTGAGCACATCCAGCGAGACTTTCATCTGGGCATCTAGGAGGAGTGAGATACGCCCGACGCTTCCGTAAAAGCAAGCGCACCGTCCTGCTTGTTGTACTCCTTCGCCATCCACTCCATAGAAAACTCAACTTCCTCGTCCGCGATTTCATGGCGGTCTAGAAGTTCCTCCAGAAACTCCAAGGACTCGGGGCCAAGGGAGTGCCCATACTTCCTGAACACCTGAGAGACTGTTGAAACGCGATTCTCTGACCTTTCACAGGAAGAGGTACCTTGATGACAACTTGTCTGCGGTCCGTCATTGCAGTAGTTATTGACGCAGTGAGGTGAGCCCTCTGATAGTTGTGTTCAAGCAGCAGACGGCAAGTCACTGAAGCGGTAAGTTATGGTGGTGGCCAGTGGTGGTGGTGATGGTGGCTGCAGCGTGAGGGACTGAGAAATCTGGGCTGCCGACGCGTCGACGCGACCGTGACTGTGACTGTGCTTACGCTGAACGTAACGCGACGCGTCAAGCTCCAAATCGGGCCGGCTTACGGGCCGCCCTGTGGTGGCGCAGAGTCACTCGAGCCCGCCAGGCTTGCTTGTTTACCGCCATCGACATCTAAGTCCAAACTATCTGCTGGCTGCAACTACTCTGCTTCACACTGTGGTTATCTGCGCTAGGCATATATTTCTACTGGAAACCATCTTTCAACTAGGCTCAAGCAAAGAGGATGTTCTCTACACTCGAGCTCGATGTCCGGCCAGGTTCAGGGCTAGGGATGTTTGAGATAGGTGAGTACTTGATCTGTACGGGTCGTTTCATGTACTCACAATGAACATCAGGGACATCCTTGTGGAATGTACTCGATACATTACGCAGTCTGCAGCATTTCTTTCCGCAGGTCGACGTGAAGTATGACCCCGACTCTCCTACCACACCCATTATCCTGCACCTCAGGCCACACCTAGACCTGCTATTCTCAGGCCATCATCAAAGGCTACACACGATATCTATAAAGAAACTACGTGATCCTAATCCTCCCCTGACCCTGACCTACAAGACCTCCATTCTCTCTTCGAGCGAGGATGCGCTGAAGAGAGTCGGCGTGAGTCGGATGTTCGGACCAACATACCCCGGAGATGACCTACGCTACCCTGGAGTGTCGTTCAGCTTTGAGGAGGAATCCAGAGGAGCCGCTCCGAAGAGCCCTACCATCTCGGACGATCGACACCAAGAGGTCAAGCGCATCATCATCGCGCAGAAGAACCTGGACGGCGAACCCAGGGACGCGCTGGATGAGGTCAGGGAATGCCCAGCCATGGCTGGTGATTTGTCCCGAGCGGTGGTCAAGGTGAACTGCCACCTCCGATCGCTAGCCCGCATGAGCGATGCTGAATGTGCAGTAGATCCATGAAGGTGTCACTCTGCAATTCTACCCGTCAGGCTCAGAGCCCGTCCACGTCATGCTAGGCTCGACTACCGCGCAGGATCTCACAGTCGACTTGGGCCCGCCTCTGCGCGTGCATTACAAGGAGGACGATAGGATGACAATACATTCGCGAAGTAACCAAGCGGAAGTCGACGAGGACGGTGACTGTAAGAAAGCATATATATATAGGTATAGGCCCCAAACTAAAATCGATTTCTTGACAGACTTCTACAACTACCAGCAACACGGCATTGACTTCCTAGTATCGGGGTCGACACATACTGTGAAGAAGGTCGTTCTACATTCAAACGTTGTACGTCGTTTCCAGACCGAGGACCTCCCCGATTCTCACTCCAAAACATAGCCTGGAACACCATTATTCCAAAGATATAAGCGTTGTCCTTGGGATATAGAAGGTCGTCCGGAGGACGACGAGGACGGTCAGTTCATTGATTCATAGTGCGTGTCCTATCACTGACATTCAGTTCAGAGTCTCCACCCCGGAAGAGGTTCTACGAGAGGGTAAGTTTTCGCGCCAACTGGATCTAGGGCACATCATTAATCGTATCGGCGAATAGGTAGAGGAAATCCATCATTTCCTTGCCCCCGGCGAAGCGCCCCCTTCTATGATTCTCAATCGCACGGACGACGAAGATGGGCTACGTCTGCCAAGTTCGACCACTCGTGAGTACGCTCCGCCGGCTCCTGCTTTTCAGTCTTTGATCATCTGCGCAGGTCTGTTCGGGTATGACGGGATTATCTTGGAAGCGACTGAGTCAGGACAAGTCGTCTCAGTCATGCTTTTCTGATCTAGTGATGTTTTTCTGGATGTACGACTATGTAGACTGACCGGACGCTGTTGTACAGTACATACACCTGAAGCAACTTTGAGTACTGACGCCTGCCTGAAGTCCGAGAGTATACATACAGATACTACCTCTATATTTTCAGTGGATGATCATCGCTTGAAGATCTCTGGCCAGACAGTTCTTAGTTCTTCGAGATTGGTTACCGCTATGATGCCACTCGTATCGTCTCCTTCCTGAATATCAGTGCCGATGTGCTTCGGCTTTCCTCCCTCCATAGCAATTAAGCCGCGTTCGCAGAAGTGGACGCAATGGCCCCAGCCGAGACGTCTTGCGGCCTCAACGTTCGTACGACTGTCGTCGATGAAGTAGCACTTCGAAGGGTCTTGGACTCCCGCTTTCTTCATCGCCTGCAAGGGGGAACGATCAGCATAGCTCGGTCAACTATAGAAGCATCCCTACATTCTCGTAGAAATCCGTCTCAGGTTTACACGAGAAGTTGGAGTTGGAGTAGTCGCAGTAAATGATGTCCTCGATGAGATCATCTACCCCGAGGATACGAAGTACTCGGGAAGCATGCTGTCGCATAAACGTCAGGCTGCGGTTACGCCCTCGTTGATTTGATGTTCAGTACGCACGCTTATATAGGCGTTCGTTAGAGCCCACACCCGAGTCTTGCTCCGGTCTATGTCTTCTAGGAGCTTCCGGAGCGCGGGGTCTGGTTTGAGCAGCTCTTCGAGCGGAAGGGAGCCATCGCACTTGCGATCAAAGTCCAGAGGGTCTTCACAATTCAGTCACACACTGGTACCTGGACCGCGTTTGAAGCATGAGACGCACCGATCTGATGATGCCTCACAAGACCCCGGATAGCAAGGCCATACTGGGAGTAGTATTTATGATGCAGCGTGGAGGCTTCCTCCTCGGGCAAGCCCATGCCGACGAAGTACGCTGCATGTGCGTGCGCCATGAGTGTCATGTTCTACCACGAAACTCGGCATTGTAGGTACCATGTATGCGCGTTCCCATAGCATGAGATATGCCTGCGCTTGCGGAGTACAGTGTATTATCGACGTCTAGCCATACGATGCTGCGTTCATCGTCTAATAGCCGTACATGATCAGCATGTTTTCCGATGCGCACGGAATAGTAGGCCTGCTAACGTTGCTCTTGAGGGGCGTCCATAGCAGAGGTATAAGCGGTGGGAGATGTTATCTGAGACGAGCCTGAGGTCCTCCAAGGTCGTTGGAGAGATGTATGAGTCAAGTTGTGAGTCGCGTCGGACGCGCACTCATTGAAATGAGGTTACGCCGAGGGACGTCATCAGACGCGCGGGGTCTACGAGCGCTTGATTGCCGAATTGGGCCCAATAGCCGCTGGCGTGCACTCTCGCAAAACTGTCCGACGGTATCAACAAGGCCGCAACACTTCAAGACCCACATCGACGCTGTGAGTATGCTTTCGTGCTGTCTGGAGCTCTGGCTGGGTCCCCTGGATCCGTCGATATGCGCTATGACTGGGTTGGAGGGAAAATCGCGGTTGGAATGGGCTGGATGGCAGGCTGCGCGGGCGGATGTACCCTGGGCACCCGGTGAACTGCACCTCTCTACGCACTACTCACACTTCGCTCCCTCAGATGGCCCGCAGCAAGGAACTCGCCCCCAACGTCGGCCGCCTCTCCCGTTCCGGCGTGTTCGCCCGCCGCGGTCTCTTCAAGGGCCAGAAAAAGACGGAGAAGCCCGCTGCGGCTGAGGTCGCCCCCACCAAGGAGGTCTCCGTTGGCGGTGACAAGAACGGCGGGAAGCGTCTCGTCCCCACCCAGAAGGCTCCCCGTTTCTACCCCGCCGAGGATGTCCGCCAACCCAAGAAGAGCCGCAAGGCACCCAAGCCCACCAAGCTCCGCTCATCCATCACTCCCGGCACCGTCCTCATCCTCCTCGCTGGCCGTTTCCGGGGGAAGCGCGTCGTGTTCTTGAAGCAGCTCGACAGCGGCCTCCTCCTCGTCACCGGCCCCTACAAGGTCAACGGTGTTCCCCTGCGGAGGGTGAACCAGGCATATGTTATTGCCACCTCCACCAAGGTCCAGCTCGGCGATGACTTCAAGGTGGGCTGAGTTCATGCCAATGCGGCTTGAACTATTCTCTTATCACAATCGATCAGGTCGACGAGAAGGTCACCGATGCGTACTTCGCGAAGCCTACGTCGAAGGGCGCGCGCTCTGCAGAGGAGGAGTTCTTCTCTGAGGGCAAGCCGAAGAAGGAGGCTTTCCCTGAGTCGAAGGCGGCGGACCAGAAGTCGGTCGACGCGGCTGTCATTGCTGCCATCAAGAAGACCGAGTACCTCCAAAAGTACATCAAGGCGAGCTTCGGCCTCTCGAAGGGCCAGTTCCCCCACCAGTTGGCGTTCTGAGTGGCGGGTTCTCTTTGGTGGATGGGTTGGGGCAGACTGCGAGGAGGACTCGACGAGGGGAGCTTCCTTGGCGGCCGCGCTGCAGCTATGACTATGATATGCCCTATAGCACACGCATGACATCTATACGCGCTTTCGATATGCTAGTCTGTGCGTTGTAAAAAGCCCCACTCTTCGTGTGCTCTTGATCTTCAGCAATATCCAAAATCGACAAACACACAACTTCGTCGCGCGAGCGTACGATGTGAATTCAAGACAGAGCCACGGTCCGGGCCTGGACCCGAGACGCGTGAAGCCCATGCGGGCGCCTGCGCAAGGAAGGGTGCACGATGTTTTCCACCAGGACTGCACTGTCAACACTACGGCCGTCTCTAGCGGCAGCCTCTCAACGACCCCGACGCTCCATACCTCGGAGGACATTTGTCTCGTCAACGATCCATGGACTCTCGGAGGGCTTCCTTGACTTGGCCATCGCGCTGCCCTTCCCACCAGAATGGCCGCCGTACTCGTGCACCATTATCCTCGTCACCGTCGTGACGCGTCTCGCGTTCACTGTTCCTTTCTCAGTCTGGGTACGTGGTATCGCCTTCATGAGATGTGTACGCAGATACTGAGAGGTTCTCAGGCTAAGAACAGGCAATGGCGTGCCGAGCACCTCGCCATTCCTCAGCTGAAGAGCGAGATGCCCGCCATACACAAGGAGGTCCAGCAGCACATGAAAAAGGACGGCTTTCGCGGCGACAAGGACGCTGTCATAGCGGAGATTAACAAACGGAGTCGCGTCATCGTACGTTCGCGTTCCCCGCCGCTGCACGCCGCTGCCCGACTGCTCACACTCCACACCGTAGGCCGCACAACGGCGTAAGACGCTGCTGGCGGAATACAACGCCTCGCCCATCCCGACCATCGCCATGCCAATCCTTACGCAGCTCCCACTCTTCGTCGGGACGAGCATGGTGCTCTCGGACGCCACGCGGAGCGCGGGGACCGTGCTCGACTCGGAGACGTTCCTCACGCTCACGTCGCTCGCGCACCCGGACGCGACGCTCACGCTTCCCATCGTACTCGGAATGATCACGCTCGCGAATGTAGAGAGCTCGCGCTGGTTCGTGAGCGCGGAGGTGCTCCAGCGCGAGCAGCAGGTCGCGAAGTGGACGGCGGAGCGGCGTGCGCGCGGGGAGAACGTGCTCGAGCCGCGCAGGATCTATCAGACGGCGCTCCGGATTATGTCGGTCGGGCGCATCCTCATCGCTGCGATGGTCCCAGGGGTGAGTGGGCCCGCTTGCGTCGGGTGCAGTGAAGAGTGGTCGCTGATTGCGCGGGGTGTTCAGGGCATACAGCTGTATTGGGTGACGTCTGCGACGTTTGGGCTGCTCCAGTCTTGGATACTGGACTACTGGGATATGCGCCGCCGTAAACGCAGCAGCGCGATCGCAGGGAAGGAGGGGCCTTCAGTCTGACATCGACGGGCCATTCAGCATCCAGCATCCATCGAAGAGTCGGCATACCGGCAGGTCCAGGGCAGGCATATGTGAGTACCATTCTCTGTGGCAGGCGGCCGTGCTCGAATGATTACAAAGTGGTATGCGAGGGAGCCCCGTGTTACAGTCCTGCGGGACTTGGAGGTTCCCAGTGGTCCGTCCTTGATCTAATATGACGAGCATGACCGTCTGCCATTCGCGATAAAAATATGGGAAAAACTCACCCGCCATATGGAACACCCGGTCTCAGTCAGCGCATTTACGACCTCAAACCACCGGTCGGTACATATTGTTCGAAGTCGATACCACTGGACCGGGGATGCTTATAACTGCTGGTAAATGTCATGGCTACATGGCCAAAATAAAGCTGGTTTAGCGCGAACAACTTCCATATAGTTAGGTGACAGTACATCTAGCGCTCGCTTGAGGCAGGTGAGTTTAAACTTCAGAAATATGTCACTAATGCGAGCTATGTCTACGTAGGATCCCCAGGTCTCGGAGAGGGTGTATGCTACGAATAACGATTATCGTAAAGTACCCTACGTCGAATGCATTTAATCCGGGTCTATTCATATCTTCCGCAATGCCTGTCCATCCCGTCTATCCACATACCGTCCGATCCCCATGTGCCATGCAATCCTCGGAACGAGCAGACTGAAGCCCGTCAAGAAAGTCGTCCATAGCAGCCCGCTCCATTCCCACATAGTCCACCGACTGTCTCCCAGCGCCCACCAGGTGATAACGAGATGGACGATGTCCGCGATGAGGAGGGGGGTGAGGAGGGCGCCGACGATCTTCTCCTGCAGCGCGGGGTGGGCGAAGAGGTATTTGCGCGCGGCGCCGAGCACGAATAGGTTAATGAGGCCGAGCAGGCCCACGACATGCGCGAGCTGCAGCATGGTGACTTGGGTCGCTTTCGCGAGCGGGCCCGGGGGCGCGCCGCCCGATGGCCAGGGTGCTTGCGCATCGTGCGCCTGCGGATGGCAATCAGTCAGTACATGCATACACGCGCCGGGGAGCAGCTACGCACCCCCTTAGGGTCGGCCAGGGCCCCGACAAAGCCGCAGATTGCGAGGAGGGGCTCGTAGAGGCCGAAGACGAGCCAGTAGCCCCAGGGCAGGGCGGTCGCGGGTGGCCCAGAGCGGCTGGGGGACATGGGGGGCGGAGGAGGTGGGCGTGGCCTGCGGCGGAGGGGAGGGTGTGCGTTATTATGCGTGCCGGAGCATCATGCGAGGCGCGAGAGGACGATGCGGCGGTAGCCAGGCTTTGCCAGACTCAGCTCAGCCACCAGGGGTCGAGCTGTGTCAGCCGCATTTCGATGCGCTTGCCCGAGTCCGCGTCCCCTCCCGCCGCGGAACACAGTCGAAGGACTGAACGCCGTCACGGTCCCGGCCACTTCGGCCCCGGCGCAGCCACGCGCGCTCCGGCCCTGCCGAGCATCCACGTCCCTGCCTGCCTGCCCTGAACTGCCCGCCTTTTCAGCGCACCCGGCGCTTCTCTGCCCTCCATCTTACATGTCGGTCCTTTATTACTAGGCAACCTATGCGTCTATCCACGTCGAGTTGCTAAATGGCAGGCTCCAAGAGAGGATGTCTACGGACATAGCGGTGGTTATAATGCGCGTAGTCTCGCGGCTTCGGCCGCTGTAGATTATGAGCTTCGCTCCCCCAAACAATCCCATCTGTCGCTTGTTTTATCATAAACCTTCCGCTGCGATCCCTACGTGTGTGCAATCTCGACCAACGCCACGATGATGTGATTGGCATTTCATTAACGTCCTATCGTAGGAACATCGGGCACTGCTGCATTGCGCACAGAGGTCGATATCAGCATCGAGGAACGATCACCTCTTCCGCACAGGAACTCTTCGTGTTCTGCACGAAATGCCCGGATAGTTAAGTACACGGTTAACCGCCAAATCCGCAGCGCGACCTGCCCGAGGTCAGAAGGGCACATCGAAGCAACATGGACATAACTCTCGTAGCCGAGGAGGCCGTAGTAGCCGTTTCCGGGCAAGGACGCTCGGAAGACGTGTCCCAACCAGTACACGATGATATGGAACTTGCCTTTCTGGACGCGTGGTACAGGGTCAGCCCGGGAAGCCGCAGTATACACCCCACGAACCTGCGAAGATCATATCGGCTACGCATTCTGGACTCGACCTGCTGTCTGATTCCTCGATCTTAAGTGGTCGTGGGCTTTGTGCGAGCCTCCGTGTCGTAGCCGGGCGAGTAGCTGGTGTCCGGGAAGACATTGTGGACGCCGATTCCGTAGAGCATGAACTCAAGGTAGAGAGCCTCTGCCAAGCCTTAGAGGTGAACGTCAAGATAGTCGTGTATGCACAGAAGACATGATTGACAGACCCCGAAGTGCGAATGTTCCCGGGGAATACGTCGAATAGCCGACCATGGAAAAGTGTCCCAAGGTGGAAGACTCGAGCACGAGTTTCCCCTTAGCTTGACCCCTTGCTTCGCCCGTCACTTCATGGCAGCCTCCGGCGCGTGTGAGCGTACGCAGCAGCGCCATGTGAGCGGGTCCCTTTCGAGCGCTGTGAACGCTTGTGTCCCATAGGACGCGTCCGTATATTTTCGCACCGATTATGCGTTCTGGATCGACCAGAACGGCAGCCGTGAGGCGCCTGCGCAGAGGAACAAGGGCATCCAGACGGTGTCCGCCATGCGTCTCCTCGCGCAGCAGTTGGGCCTGTCTCGGTGTTCACGCCGAATGAATAGGCGTACGTGCGCTGTGCTGCGGACTGACGGTGTTTCTGTGCCACAAACGGGTTAGCAGAGACCACTTGCGTGTGGCGTGGCAGGGTACGTGCCTCCGTCTCTGCTACCGCCGTCCTCAGGCGTTCCTCATTACGCGCTACGACGTATACTCGGGCGCCGCGTTCAACCAGCAGCACGGCGGGAACAAGACCGGTTCCCGATGGACGACGAACCTCCGGTGACGAAGCAGTGCCGTTATGGCACTGGTAGGAGGTTGGTTAGCCGGATTGTTGTCGTTCATCAGAGCATCGACCGCTCACCTGTCGACCAGGATGCCGCGTGTGGGCGAGGAGCTTCGTCTTGGCCAAAACGAGGACGACCGCCGCTTCGAGGGGCGAAAAGGAGATATCATGCAAGTGTCATCACTTTCGTGCCGGCAGATGTTGTACGCGGAGGTACGGGTCTGCTTCGTCCTTCTGGGTTTCGACCTGTTATACGAAGCCGAGCGCGCGTCTGGGCAGTGTAGCGCATCAGCAATGAGATGCGCTCGCAGCCGGCGCTGCTATATAACGTTAATTTGATGTACACGGCCTGCCAAACGTTGCAACGTTGGGGAGCCGTACATGCATGGCACGTTCAAGGAGTCGACGAACTTGGTGCGGCTCGCGCTAATTACAGTAACGGGCGCCTGAGGAGCTCTCCGACCGCTCGGGCCGCTCAATCGAGCAGCAACTCTCCAAACGATCGGCATCCTGCGCTATTTATGACCTTCGCGGCTCCGAATCATCCGCTCTCCCGCTCTCCGTCAATGCCTCCTGCTCTCGACGCCCACCTCGACGCTAGCGCTGCCGGCCAGGGCGATGGCGACCCCATCCGACCACAACGAAAAGGACCCTGAACTAGTCCAGGATGCGACTCACGACCACCTGAACCCAGGCCAGGAGCCCAGCAGCAGCAAGGGTTCCTCCAGCGGCAGCATCTCGGCATCTACGACCCTCCAACGGCGGCATAATGGAACGGGGCGCGTGCAGAACGACGTCGGGGAGGTGCTCGCGCGCCATAGCTCCGTCGGGGACGCGGCGTCTCTGGCGTCCATCGACCGCCCGCCGAGCGAGGAGGAGAAGCTGCCGCCCTCGAAGATATACCACCCGCTGTCCTTCCCGGTGATTGCGCTATTGATGCCGGCCTCGATATTCGGCGTGCTCGCCAGGCTCGGGCTGCAGGCCATTACGACGTATGACGGGCGGAGCATATTCCCTCTTGCATGGATTCAGGCGGCTGGATGCCTCATCATGGGGTTCGCACTGGGGATGAAGGAACCGTTCGGAAGATTGTGCGTGTCCCTCCGTCTCTTCTCGTTACGTTACTGAGCGTTTTGTTGCATTTAGCTATGGGCCACTGTACACTGCAGTGACTACCGGATTTTGCGGATCCCTGACTACATTCTCGGGGTGGCAACTGGACATATTCGAGTCTTGGATAAACGGCACAGCTTCTCATCGAGACTGGTTTCGGGACGTAAGGCAACTCCCTTTCACAAGTTCAAGCGGATGACTGACCCCCCTAATGCTCCCCAGGCCATCGACGGAATCGGCAAGACCGTCTTCACACTCGCCATCGCGCTCTCCGCCGTCTCCTTCGGCGCCCACCTCGCCACGCTCGTCGTCCCGCGCGTGCCCACCCTCCCCCCGCCCCCGCGCCGCGTCCGCTACGCGCTCTCCGCGCTCGCCGTGCTCGTCTACGCCGCCGCCTACCCCGCGTACTTCCGCCTCCCCGCGCGCTACCGCCACGAGGCGACCGCCGCGCTCCTCTTCTCCTTCCCCGGCACGCTCTCGCGCTACCTGCTCTCCGTGCACCTCAACCCGCGCCTCAAGCTCTTCCCGCTCGGGACGTTTGTCGCGAACACGCTTGGGACCGCGCTCCTCGGCACGTTCCAGGTGCTGCAGAGCATACGCGCCCCGAATACGCTCAGCCCGAATGCGTGCTCGGTGTTGAAGGGCCTTGCGGACGGGTATTGCGGGTGTTTGACGACTGTGAGCACGTTCGCGGCGGAGGTCGACGCGCTGGAAAACAGGAAATCGTGGTTGTACGTTTCTATCAGCTGGTTAGTGAGTCAGATCCTGCTCGCGGTCATCATTGGTCCCTCTCTGGGCCCCGGTCATGTCAGTAGACAGATCACTTGTAGCTACGTATGAGAACATCCTAGACCCCAGGTCACTTCTCGATTCGCAAGCATCTATTGGCAGTTGTTCACAGAGATGTAGAAGTTTTGGCTATTGTGATATATTCGTGTTCGACGACGGCGCGGGGCCGTACCGTATTCTACAATACATATCGTCGTTTATCAGCTGCGCGACGGCGGCCCTCAGCCCGCCCGGTATGAGCCTGGCCTCCCCTTCTCTTCTACGCACAACCGGGAAGGCGGAAACCAAAAACAAAGTGAAGGTAAAAACAAACGAAGGACGAAACAGAACAGAATAAAGCCAAGGCCAACAGAGCCAGAACCGGGTAGTAATCGACACGAGATAAGACCAATGCAAGTGTGGAGAAGAGCACGGGGAAGTATGCAAGCGGATGCGGGGGATATGCAAGAATGAAGGGGGCGAGCCGGGGCGGCGGTGGGGGCCGTCGTATGCAGTTGATGCGAAGGGACATGTGTGTGCGGGTGTGGTGGGTGCCAGACGGGAGCAGGTGCAGGTGCGTGCAGGAGAATAAATAGGTAAAGCACTGTGCGGGCGGTAGGGACTCGAATTAGGATATATGCAGGCCGAAGCAGCAGAAGGAGTATCGTAAAGACGTGGTGTGTGTGCGGCGTGGCGGGACAGCAGGAGAAGCACAAGGGCAGAGCGGGGTGCGGGGGCTCGGGGTGAGCAGCGCATGACGTCTGCGGCCGCCGGGGCGTCGACGGGCGCTGCCAAAGCGGCTGTCCGGTGTCGTCTAGATCATTACGGTGGTCGTCAATTAGGCTCGGTCGTGAGGCGTGGGGGGATCTGGCGCGTGGAAAGGGGGCCGCAAGGCCGTAAAGCGCGCAAAAAGATCTGTGTGCAGTGGAAGATAGCGGGGCGAGGGACTGTGCAAGTCGTCATCGGTGCCTGCGGTCTGTCCAAAGCTTGCTAGCCAGGCATCGTGGTGCAAGCCAGGCAGGCCGGACGCAGCTCGCCGCTGACGAGCGGCGAGATCGGTGGTGCCGTGGGTGTGGGTGAGGCGGCCGTGCCGTTCACATAGGAAGGCCTTCCTTCTCCCGAACAAGCGTCTCGAGTTCTTTTCTCGACGCATCACGTGTCCGCGACAGGGAGGAAGAGCGAATGCGGCCGCGCCACTCCTTGACCCACGTCCACCGAGATGCCCGGTCCTCTGCTTGCCGCATTTCCTCCTCCGTAACGGGCGCAGCGGATGCGAGCCAGGCACGCAGCCGATTGCGGCCGAGAATCGGCGCGAGCGAGAGGAACGAGAGCACCGCGAGCTTCATGATGATGTCGGGTGACGTCAAAAGCGACTGCACCGACTGTGATGTCGGACGAGGATTTGTCGCTACCGTCTGGAGGATGTCACCAATTTGGCACGTCACTGCCGTCCACGGCAGAGACCCAATCAAGGCACCCAGGAAGCAATCCCATGCAGCGACGCCACAGACTCCGCTCGCAATGTTGATGCCCGACCAGGGTACGACACCCACGAGACGAAGCACCGAGAGGCGAACCCAAGGGGCGGAGCTGTCCTCTTTGCTGCCGTCACCCTCCAACGCAGAACGCGTCATTTCGAGGGGTTTGGGTATCCACTGCGTCAGGAACGGTCCTAGAGGCGCAGCGAGCATGCTTGCAGACAGCGAACCCATCGTGGTGAGGAACGTGAGCAGGGTGATCGCAAGGACCGGAGGAAACAGGGCGCCTGCCAGGACGTTCTATGACATGGGAATGCGACGATCAATGGCCTGCCATGACGCAAAAAATGGTGTGGACGTACGGCAAGGACGCTCCCGGGTATTGACCAGCTGTGCATCCATATAGTGACTACGGAGATAACGCCGATGACATGCGCAGTGGAGAGCAGTCCGCTCTGTGTATAGCCGTGCAGTTCTCTGCCGAGCTGCGCAAGGTCGGGTAGCGTGCGCGGCCAAGCCATCGTGATGGGCAGTGTTGACATGCATAGCGCGACAATCGCACTCGACAGTGGGAACAGGATGAGCACGAACAGCACGGGCGTGTGCACCTAATAGAATAGCAGAAGGGGGAGAAGGAGGAAAGACGGGCTGTTCAACAAACATCACGCGAGCGGAATGATGGAAGACGCACTGATGGGTAACCTTCCCACAACGAGTTCTTCGCCTTCGGCTGGGGCTTCTCGGCGAACACGTCCCCAAAGTACGCGCGGGTCGGGGAGGCCGACAAGGGCAGAATGGAAGAGTCCTCCGAGCTCGAGCGACTTATGCGCGGCGAGGAGGGCGTGGAGGGGAAGGCCTGCTCAGCAGAGAGGTGCAGCGCCTGTGCCCACCTCGCGAGCATGGATGAAAGCGCGGATCGCGGACGCTGGGATTCGCGCAGCGGGGGTATTGACAGGGAGAGCACTGGGGCGTCCCCGGAGCGCGGCGTGGGCGGGAGCGACGAGGGCGAGGGCGTCGGGGGCGGCAAGTCGAGGAGAGAGTTGGAGCGTCTGCGACCGAGTGATGCGAGGGTCAGAGGCGGGCGGACATTAGTGGAGGATGCGCGGTGTCTGTTCTGAGGGGGGGCAGGCGGACAGAGGGAGGCGGACATGGGCCAGAGAACAGGCAGGGCGCGTCGGACAGAAAAGAGGAAAGGAGAGGCGGGTGTGCCGCAAGGCTGACACGCTCAAATACACTGCCAGCGCCTACGCGTACCCGGCCGACTCTCGCTGGCTTTTTGGGCGTCCTGCCGGCATCAGCCCCAAACCGGGTAATCCCTTCTCGGCCCGTCCCGGCGCACACCACCAAGCTTACGTCCCCACGCTCACTCAGCCCGTCGCAGCCCCGCGTCTGCGCGTCCCCTCCGAACCCGCGCCCGTCGAACGAACCCCATTCAACCCGCACCAGCCCAGCCCAGTCCCTCCTCATCGTCCTCCACATGCTCCAAACCCCCCGCCCTCCAGGCCCTCCATTTCCCACCATCGCCAGAGAAGACTCAGAAGACAACAAGAAGTGCAGCCACAGGCTGATGGTCAACAAGTTCCATCGATCGAGCGCTCGAGACGCCGTCAGTGCGCGGAGTGCATCTCGAAGAGCTGACGGCGCTGACCCATCTTCCCGGGCGCTGCATATAAGCCGGTGCCCGCGGGCGGCGGCGTCTCCGATCGCGTCCGATGCCGTCTATCCCAAACAAGCCTTCTCTGTCGGACGCTGTCTCTTGCGCTTGGTCGTGTGTAATGTAATATCCCGATGTCGCACCTATACGAACTCTCTTGCGCGTAACGGCAGCAGTCATACAGGGGTTCCATGACGCCTTGACTCCCATGCCTGAGCACCACGAGGTTGCCGAATGACTCAATGCTGAGAGCGTCGTGGGTACCGCCGCAGCCCGAAGATGCATGCCCGGGAGGTAGCGGATAGCTACAGAACCTCACAGAACCCTCCTGAACCCTCACATCTCCTATCACGAACACATCCGTCGAGGACGTCGGCAGGCAGTGGCAGCCCGCCCACCTCTTGACAGATCGTCCATCATCCATCGTAGAAGGCGGTAGGTACAAGGGCTCGGGGAGGTGCATGGGTCCGGCAATGAATAGAAACACGCATAGAGTTACAACGAATGCATAGCATCATGGAGTTGACGAGCCCAGGCCCCGGCATAGCGCAGCGTAGCGTACGGAGACAATCGAGGTGAACCGTCCAGCATTCCCTGCTGCTTTTAGTGCGCCCTCCTGCTCTCCTGGATGATGGTGCTCAGCTCCTCGAGCTTTCTCTTCGCGCGGAGGAGCGTGCCCAGCTGCAAAAAATTGAACATCGCGGTCAATCATGCGGTCCTAGCACTTGCAAAACATTATACTAACCCGCTTCTTCGTGAACTTCCGTGCCTTCTTGTCCTGAACATCCAGATATGCCGTCGTTCAACATCTGTAATCGGTATCGGAAAATCAGAGGTACGCACCTTGGAGTTCCTCAACAGCTCCATAACCCGACGCTCGTACGGCGAGAAGCCAGCGACCTCCCGAACGACGGAGCGCACGAACTTGGTGCGCGCGGACTGGATGCCCTTGCGCTGGCTGGGGCGGACAGCCTGGGCGATGGGAGTCGTGGGGTGGCCCTTGTTAAGGCCGTGGCGGAGGTCTAGCATTCCAACGACAGCAGAAAACGCATGCATTCACAGTGAGCAACATGCAACGGGCAGACGGTCGTTCGGCAAGGGTACGCACTGCTACGAGCCATTTTCTTGAAGTCTTGACGCTGCTGGTTGCTGGTGGGCTGTCGCGCGCGATAGAGTACTGTCACTACACGTGACGCTGGGTGCGGGTGGCTGGCGGTGCTATACAGTTGCACGCTCGATCGAGACAAGAAATTCCCACGCGTGATTTGGTCATGTGTCTACTTGTAGGTTGTAGTATACGGGCTCGCCGACGCTTCGTGGTTTAAGTAGTCTAACAATACCGACGACGATGAGGGAGACATGAGGGAGACAAGAAGAAACACAGCCCAATAAATCAGTACGCGTTCAGCACACCTGCGCCCGGTTCCCAGAACCCCGCGGTACCAGCTGGTGTACAACGCGCAACTTTCCGGACGCGGGCGTAGGGGACACCGCTGCACGCCGTTGCTGGGACAACTTGTCATCATCCCGTGGGGTGGGAGGAGGGCCACTCGTCGCCGGTGAGGAAGGCGGGTTAGTGGGCGTGGGTGACTGCAGCGGCACGGCGGTCGCTACGGTGCGTCCCTTCAGTGGCGTGCCTTCCTGCGCCTCCTCTTCCTCCTCTTCCTCCTCGTCATCGTCATCATCTTGCGCATCCTGTGAGACGTGTTAGTACAGTGCGTGTGATTCCACTGTGTAGTGCATCTCACGGGGTCAAAGTCTTCCATTGGTCTATCCTCGTCCGCGGGCTCCTCCTCGTCACCGTAATGCTCGTCATCATCGATCCAGTGCCCCCGCCAGTCAACCAGATCAAGCTCATCGGCGTTCTCGGGGCGAAGCCTCATCCATTGCATGCGGGGTCCGCACTTGGCGCGCTCGCTTACGCGGAACCCGTAGATCTTAGGCACATAGACTTTGCCCGCCGCGCGCTTTTGTCCGCCGTAAGGGTTAGGGTTCACGAAGGGAGGTTGGTTGGAGGACGAGCTTGCGGAAGAGCGTGGGGAGGTAGAAGGGGGCGTAGAGGGCTTCCAGAACGGGGCGGGTGCAAGCTCGCGGTAACTCTGGAAGAAGAGATGTGCAAAAGTCGTGCCAAAGAAAGCACCTGTGATGAACGCGTTTATAAATTACGCGTAAGAGAAGGTAATGCGCATACGTACCATCGACACCCTGGAATCTGCTGCTTGGAGGGGTGTAGATGTCGTTACAGTTCGGGCAGAACAGCTTGACGGTGTCCAATCCGGGCAAATCGGAGCGGCCACAAGGGACGATATTGCATCCGTTGCAATAAACGCGCGGACAAGAACCGAAGATGCCGGCCTCGTACTTGTCAACCTGCGCAGCCGTAGCAATTAATAGGTATTCCCCGGCACGCGTGTATATAGCGCAGCCACTCACCATCGCCTGCAGTCCTGCCCTCGTCAGAATGTAGCGTTGGTGACAGAGGCCATAGAGAAGTTCAGCGGATGCCTCTACAATCGAGACATCGGGTATTTTGGTCGTGTCTTCGTCTGAGCCGGGGTCTATTAGGATGAGACCAGCTAAGCAGATGTTGTACGCGTACCAGGCTCCATGTCTAGCACCATCTCCATAGCTTCCTTCCAGAATGGCACCATAACGTTCAAACCGGTAAGGTTGAAGTCATCTTCGATGAAGTCCTCCGCCACCTCGCAGAAGTACTCGTGTCCGGGGAGTGAACAGAACCAGCTTATCCAGGTCAGCGTCGATGTGGGTGTCGAGGAGCCTATTCAAGACGCGCAAGAAGGGATTGCAGTGCAAGTAACGCGCGATGAGGTGGCAGGAATGGTGTGCCTGTCCGTTAGGAAGACAGAACGCCTGTGTACGATGGTGTATACGCACTGTAGCCATCCTCCTGGTCCTCAGCGTCTTCCATATCCTCGTCGCCCTCCGCAGTGGCACTGACGGTCTCCTCGTCTTGCAGTGATGGCTCCCCAGAGGGTAGCGTAGAATAGTCTGTCCGTCGGGACATAGGGAGTGTCTGTGGCCTGGCCTTGGAGAGTCAGAGATGAAGTGAAGCGAGGGAGACGGTCGTCGCGATTGGCGAGAGCATGGGAGCCACGAGGTCGAACCCCGCGCGTCCCGATAAGGCAAGTCTGGAGGTTAAAGTCGACAACCAACGTAGCGCCGGCGGGCGAAACGTTTCGATGAGGTCGATAGTTGTTGCGTTACACCTCGTCAAATAATCCGAAAGAGATTCATTTGTTGTACTATAAGATCTTTTGTAATACAATGTATCCGAGGGGTCCATTAGAGGGAGAGGGAGCGAGCGACGATATGGGTATGCGAGTAAACTGCGGTGTCAAGAACTAGCAAAAAGGAGCGAAGTCCGATGAAAGAATGGTATGTCAACGCATAGCTAGCTGAGGTCTAGTATCTCGCATTGGGAGGGCGCGTGATTCCGATGACGGTACGTACGATGTCCTCCAAAATGCGGTCCCTGCCTGCGCTGGTGCCCGAATGAGGCTTGGAGCCTGCACAGCATCGGCAGGCACCTCTGAGATGCACGGCGTCCCTGGCTTGAGCAATCGCGACAAATTGTGGGAGTCCGAGATCGTGCGCCTCCAGTTCGGACAGGGATTGAGGGCGAGAGATGACGTCCATATACGAGGGGACCAGCTCGTCGGCGGGGAGGTTGTAGCGCTGCCAGATGATGATCTTCCTGACAGGCTCAATGTATAGCCCGCGCAGCTGAGCTATCGCGTGTTCTCGAAGACTGTCCACTTGCCAGCGATCGGCTTGGTCCATCACTGACGTCCATTCGTCGACGGTGGCGATGTCGCATAAACCCAACGAACTGGGAAGCGGTCACTAGGCGTTTGATACGGGGAAAATATAGCCACATACTGAGGATATAGCAGACTGAGAAAGCGGGTGAAATTAGCGGCTTGTATCCCCGACAAAATTATGGGATTCTCTTCGGAGCATCCTTCGCTAGAGCCTGCCGGCTGCGGGATCGTGAAGAGCGCTTCGAATACAGGAGAATGTTTCCCGAGCAGCGATCGATGTAGCTTGTACTGTACGTCCTCGACCTGGAAGTGAAGTCTCATTAGCATGTGTTTTGTGCGAGATCACGGACACTGTGGCTAACCTGAAGCAACACGTTGCCATCGGCAAAGAAGTAGTCGCGGTGCTTCTGAACCTTGGGGACAGAGGAAGCACAGTCCACATTGTGTTCACCCCTTTGGCCTGCGGTATTAAATTAGCTTGGTTAAGTGTGGAGTCTCAAGACAGGACAGCATACCGATGCGATCTTGGGTGAGTGTCCAGGGCGTCGAGATGCTTGGCATGTTCGACGGTCGCAAGCAATATTTCGATGGTACGCGTTAGTGGAAGATGAATGCGGGGCGGAGGTGGCGCAGCTGCGGTAAGTGTAAGAAGGCAAGAATGGCCCAGCCGCTGAGCCACAAACGACGCCAGAATGCCACGGTGACACGCGTAACGCGAAACCTTCTTTCACGTGATCGCGTCACGATAGCACTGCCGCGACGTCGACGCGACTCGCCCGCATCTCGCGGACTTCCTTCTTGTCCTCCGACCACCACGTCCAGTCTTTCTTGCAAGTCCATCTCCATGAACGGGAGGCTACTCCGTCAAGCCCTCTTTTCCTCTTCGGAGCCTGATGCGCACTCGTCTTCGACGCTATCCGGCGCATATACCGAGGCTATTGGTAGATCTGGATCACCCGCCGCGACGCAATATGCGCAACCAGCGCCGGAATCCTCGCACTCCCTTCTACCCCGCGGTGGTGTCTTCTTTTCCGAAAGCTTAGCGCAGGATTTACCTCACGATTCTAAGCTTATGGGTAGTCGTAATTTGGCGTCTACACAGTCATCACCGCGAGGAGCCAGGCAGACAGATGACCAACAGCTCACGGATCGTTCCAAGTCGATGCTCCCATTCTTTGCCGACGCTTCCAGACCTCTGTCTCGGGGCCCCGGTCTTAGAACTACCGGGCAGGAGAACGCCTCCGATTTCGCGCGCGCTCAACAGCGCAAGTCGCGTGCTTTCTCTCAAACGAGGCCTGGAAGGAGCCTTCACCAGCGCCTTGACCCTGGTATGGCATATTACCCTTCGTATGTAGTGGCAGACGCTTATATTGCCATAGACGACGAACAAGCCCCGCCTCCATACCCTACCTTCGAAACCTCCCAACGCGTCACGGAAGTACATCACATGCAAGCCTTTCGTAGATCTGAGGAGATGCCTCCACATGCTCCGTCGAGGAGCGTGTCTGTGTTGAGTTCGACCCATGGTAGGCACCAGGAAGACGACTTGTCATCCATCATGATGCGAGGAGCCACGGACTTAAGACACGCTAAGTTTGAACTCGAGGAACAGGTAGTGATTTCCGTGGTTCGAAAGACGCATATATGTTGAAGAATACTTCGATAGCGTCGGCAGATTTCCCTCCTTCAGTCACAGATAGAGTCGGTCCGAAAGGAGAAGGATGAGCTATCCCAGCGGCTCAAGAATGTGAAGGATTCAGCAAAGCAGGGCTTGCAAACAAGCTCCAAGAGGTCTGCACCAGTTCACTTCTCAAACGCACATCAACTAACCTGGATATATGCTAGTCTGGAAGCCTTACGCATGACCGTGCAGGAGCTGAAGACGCAGTCTGACAGTTCGTTTGCATTCGTCAACGAAGCACGCTCGTCCATCGACGACGTGCAAACACTGCGCACTACCATATCCACATCGCTTCAAGGTTGGCGCTACTTCCGTTCCGTTGAGCGCATATCGTTTAATGGAATTCTTAGGCATGGCCCCGTACATAGAAGGCGGCGCAGAATGGACAAAAGTGAGGGAAATGAAGAATATCATGAGTACCTTAGAGCTTGAGTGCTCTAAGAGTGAGTACCAGCGACGGTTGACGTTGTTTTTTATCGATGCTAACAGCTGCTTATAGGCGAACAAGTTGCTGATCTCCTTCGAGATCGCCTGCAGTCCGTCGGAGGAGAGTTAAGCGAAGCGATGAGCCGTGTCACGGAGCTGGAAGCGGCCCAGGCGGAAGACCGCGTTGCGCTGTCCCGGGCGAACACTGCAATGACGCGCACTGGTACGTTCTACAACATCGTCGCCGTCGAATATATACTTGAGCAATGATACAGCCGAAGAGCTGTCTTCTATCATGGCCGGCGCCAAGAAACAACAAGGCGAGCTGTACGATACGCTAGCCGTAGCCGCAGAGTCTGAGGCAAAGGCACAAACCGCAACTATGAGGTATGTAAAAACGCCAATACTCGGAACATAGGCTAACTTTCTATCCCGAAGGATACAAGAACTCCAGGAGACCTTGCGCGTCAAGGACGAGGAGCTACAGGCGCTGCAGAATGTTCGACCCGAGTGCGTTTCCTTCCGATTTATAAAGCAACCGCTGTTCTGATATCCACTAGGGTCGCACGACTGCAAACCATCCTCCTAGAAAAGAATGCCCTCATCGCGAAGCAAGAAAGCAACAAAATCCAGTACGGCCTTTCCTCAGTCATATTGACCGGCATACTGAGCGCACGCATAGGATTCCTCAACTCAAAGCTACTGTAAACGAGTTGGAAATTAGGATCGCTGAACTCACCACACTCGCGTCCAGCAAGGAAGCTGCGATAACTGACCTTCAGTCACGGTACCATTCTCGCATTTCTAACATGATTCCGAAGCTGATATTTGCATCAGGATCGCGCATATGGAGGCCGAACTAGACGGAAGGAACGCAGAAGCGAAGACCCTTGCAGAGGAGCTGGGCACTATCAAAGCTCGCGAACAGACATTGACGACGGACAATGGAAGACTGCACGACGAGAAGCGCACACTGACCGAGAAGCTCGATGACCTAGAGGCCACTCTTGCACGCGCTCGGCAAGAGTTGGAAACACGTTCTGAAAGGTGGGTTTCATCCACATATCATTGCCAGCTCTTCTCAAGCCGAATTATCAGGCTGCAGGCGGCGAATGCACGGTCACAGGTAGGGTTCACCGGCGTCGCTCCTCTATGTCATAACGCACCGGATGTCTTGTAGACGTTCGAGGAACGATTCGAAGACCAGTCGGTCACCCTACGTATCACCAGGGAAGCTGCAGGTGATGCACAGGTAAGCAGCCATCGCTGCGTTTCCGAAATATCATGCTCACCTTGTATAGGAGCGTTTGCTTGCGGCAGAGATGTTGCACGCGGTATCCACCAACATTTTTGACCACTGACTTGTAAACTGACGATACTGCAGAAACAACTTGCGGATGTCACAGCCAGACTCGAACAAGAGATCGCGATATTGCGGGAGCAGAAACTCGGATCGCAAGCAACCATCGACGTCATGAATGCCGCGCTGAAGCGCCATGAACGCACACTTCAGGTCATGCAAGAAGAGCATGCTGACCGTCTGAAGGAACAATCTGCTTCACACGTAGAACGCTTACACCAAGAGGAGAAACATCTCCAGCAACTCGTCGACAATCTCGCAGACTCGCGGGCACGCATCGAATCCTCGGAAGGAAACGTCCGCCGACTCGAGGGCGAGATCGTTGGCTTGCGTCTTGAGCTGAAGGAAGCCCAATTGCCCTCTCCAGAGACAGAGGCCGAGCTACGTACTCTCAGATCCCGAGTCTCGACCTTGGAGGGTGCAGAGATGATGAACACTGTTCGTGCGAAGACAATCGAGTCTAGATATCGCACCGGAGACCTTGTGCGTCTTCATGATACACCGTCCTGAAAATTCACTGATCATACTCGTTGGCGCAGAATGACGAGGAGAAAGCTTTCATCAATACCCTGGTGCGCACCTCGCAAGCGATTCACGAACAAGAGCTCGTCGCCAATAGGAATGAGCTGCGTCGCGTGAGTCAATTTCAGAAATGTTCTGCATGCTCTAGTCTCTTATTCTTTTCTAGCGCGACAACGCCCTAAAGGAGACGCGGGCCAAGGTGCATCTTTTAGAGAGCACCCTGGCGAAACATCTCACTGCGCCGGTCAGCGCCCTCGTATCCATGATACTCGAGATGAGACTAAGCAATTGACGTTCACAGAAGCCGAAACCTGCACCTCCTACGGTAATTGACCACTCTATGATAGACCCAACGGCGTGGATGTCCTCGGGACAGAGCAGCTCTCCTGTTCATGCACCTGACCGCGATGGACAGGTATGTGAGCTGCGGTCCTGTCTTCTTTCGCTGACATTGTCGGACGTTGTTTCCCTTGTCAGCTCGACGTTGACGTCGTAGTCCCGGCCAAAGCAGCGCCTGTTGCTAGCAGAGTCGGTCAAATAACACCTGCTCAAACGGACTCTGCGCAACCACAATCGGCACTGAATCGGGCTCAGACTCTTAAGGGCCCAGTTAGAAAGACTCCTCCAACAGCCGGTGCGGCCACCTACGCAAAAAGGGGGAACTTCAGCCGACTTGCAACAGACTGTTCCGACGAGATCCTGGACTTCGACGACGATGGCGTTCGGAAGCCGTCTCCGACGTCTTCTCTAGGCAAGAGAAGCAAGCCAAGTTCACCGCCTCAGCAGGCCGACGCACATGGTATACCCAAGCCTCTCAAGCGTTTGGTGAGTATCTTGCGTGTTCATCGAGACGTGTCCTCATGGGAATTATAGAGAACCACCGCTCGCAAGGCGGAGGCCGCTGATAACGATACCTCTGTTAGCGCGACATCGAAGAGGGTATGCCATCTGCTTATGAATCGCGCATCATTCAGCACTGATTCGCCGCAGGTTGTTCAACCAAGGGACTCTAAGAACAGGCCTCGCAAACGCCGCTAGGACATCCCCCTTTCTGCTCGCTGCTACTGCTGTCTGTCTACCTGCCGGTCTCGTCTCGTCTCTTGGCTCTCCATCTGGCTTGCCTTGCTGTCCTGTCGTGAAGTCTCTGGCTGACTGTGGGCTTGGTGGCAAACCTATCGTCTCTCGTGGATCTGTACGAAGAGGTTACTGGAGCTCGCTTTTCACGTGTCCCGATCACTGCCAATTATGAACGCCTAACAGTGATAATTATTGTATGATATGGGGAATAAAAGGATGTTCTTGGTACCCGTATCGTGAGCTACATAATAATGTGCGGTCTTCCACATGATGTCCTGGTCTATTTCAAACACCATCGAGAGTTAAAAAGAACAATAAACCAAACAAAAAAAGTGAGTCGGCCCAGGCTCGAACTGAGGACCTTCTGTGCACCACCTATTGTGTTAGACAGATGCGATAACCAACTACGCCACCGACCCATGTGAACACTATCGTAGAGTACATCTATACCCAGAACCCAATAGTCCTCATATACACTCTGGTCCACAATTCTACTCTACAGGTACACACCATCGTCCTCGTCCCCATCGCCGTCTGAGAGTCCATTGCGCGAGGTGGATATGCTGCTCCTTACCCTATCATTGTGAGAGTGTGCTCCGTTAGGCTGTACAGGTGCGACGGCCGGAACGGTGCTGCCAGCAGGTCGGTCCCTTGCTAGAGGTTGCACGTCGTAGTGTGGGCCCATCGGTAGGCCTTTTTCGACCAAAACCATCCGCAAGATTGTTATCCTCTCCTTTTGTGAGCCACTGCGGTGCGAGCATGATCAATATTCTGCACATAGCGGTGGCTGTGTGAAGGTGAAGGAACTTACATGACAACCTCGTTTTCTTCGAAGGCCTCAGTGAGATCGGTATCACCCGGACTGGTGGACAGTGCATCCTGCAGTTCATCCTGCGTTCGCTGCAGATGCGCGACGGAGTTCTGCAAACGAGTAATCTCTGCTGCACAGTGAGCGGTGCACCGATGCGGATCAGACGAGGCGTCGAAGGGCCGGTGCTCACCCTCGCTGATGATTGGCACGTCTAGCAGCCTCGCCTCTTCCAGCGTGAACGGCTGAGTATACCGAGGCCTGTATTCCATGGCGATGTGCACTTGACGTAACGGTAGGAACGTCCCGAAAGCAATATCGTCCTGCTCGTCGTGAATACACCTGTACTCGGGCCAGACCACCGGAAGGAACACTGACGCGTTGGATTATGTAACGAGTGTGCGCATGTGTACAGCTCTATGCTGCTATAACGGTACGTTCAAGTTCGTACTTCCAAAAATCAAGAAAGGAGAGAAGAGGCGTGCACGCGACAGAAGCGGGCTGAGTGCGTCGGCAGCCATTAGTGTATTCCGGACTAAAATGTGGGGTAGAGGATACAATGCGAGGTAGCCGGAATAATCGAAAACCAGTGCTCTAGGGGTCACGCGTATGCATGGGTTGTCCGGGTGGCACGAAAGCAAGAATGAAAAGCAGCTACACGCCCAACCTGCAAGATAGACAGCATCAGATACGCCCCGATGTGAAGGGCAGGAGATTTGGGGTGCTTACTTTCGCTTGCTCGACTCATACACCACATACGATATCGACACGGCAGGCACGACCTGGCGTCGCACGGACCGATGTCAATGTGTCTGATACGCACGGTGGACGCGATCACTCACCTTCGCCAGTGTAGGTAATAGGCCCCGGTAGAAGCCGCGCCAGCCGTCTCGCGCGTACGTCTTCTGTACCACATCGAGGATACCGGTGTACCGCTCTGGGTGCCCGGACGACCCAGACGCCTGCAGGCGCGTCCGGACAAGGTTCAGGGGGTATACGCTCGTCGCGCCGACGCTCCCTGACACGCTGCCAAACGCAAGCAGCGCGAGCATACCCGGCTCCTCTTTGTGTGTTGATCGGAGGTACGCGAGCTTCAGCGCCTCAAAGGTGCTCATGTCGATCGCGGAGTATCTGTGCGGAATCGGGTAAGCATTCCGTGCACTTAGAGGGGGCTAGGTCTTACGGGAACACGCCAATGAGACCTATCTGCACGTCGCGGGAGTCAGTGCGTTTTCTTTACGTGAATTGCCGCACGCTTACGGTAAGTCCGCGGTAGAATGCGCGCACGCGGCCCATTTGCCATATGCGACTCGCCGCTTCGCGTAGTGACCGTCGCTGACCGTCCGCACTGGCCATCATTTGCGTCTGCATGGTCTGATCAGCACCGCACGTCAACTCGGTAAACGCACGCCCAAACCTTCAGGGTCTCTATAGGATAGATGGCTGCAACGAAGTAAGCACATGTAGGGTGTAAAGCAGGGTAGTCACTCACTGAACTGGCTACTGATGCCACCCATGCCGCCAGACAAGAAACGGCTGATGCCGCTGATGTCTCGTGGGTCCTCTACCTTGTCCCAGTATTTGGCGAAGAAACGTTTCTGAGAGCAGTACAAGTTATAACGAGGTCGAGGCGAGATTTAGAGGGGAAAACTAACCGATGATTCGTATGCAAAAAACTTGATGGCGGACTCGGGCAGGATCTTCGCGACGGAGAGACCGTTTCCCGTCCAGAAGGCCAAGACGCCTCCTTCCGCATATATTCTAGCGACCGCGCCCGCTATCGCTTTGAATCCGCGAACCGGTGCTTGAGGTGTGAGTACCGTTCCGCCGAGTTCTGGTGGTCGTGTAATGAGGAAGATCTTTAACCGGTCAAATGGCGCAGTACATGTTCGCGACACTGGTGGAGGTCAGTACGTGAATGATTACCATAAGAAATAGTCCTACCGGCTCCAGCGACGCCACCCGCCAATAGGAATCTTGCGGCGGTCGATCCTCCAAGCCAGGTATGATGAGGCTCCTCTTCCTCATACTCCTCATCGTACTCGTCGTCGTCATCTTCGTCACCATATGGTGACCTATGGTCTACAGGAACGGGCGGAACGTCTTTGGGTATAGGCAAAACACGTGGCTGGTCTAATGATAAGTCTTCGGCGCTGAGGCTCACATCCCCTGCGGCAGGATAGCGGTCAGAATATTTTCATCGCCGTAGTGGCCGATCACAGTACCTTCCATGTTCACGCGTGCAGCGCCGCGCCCGTCGTCGCCAAGGTATTTGCGCACTTCGTAGTACCGGAAGATCTCCTCCGTTGATGCTTTTCGTGGCAAGAGCAGGAGGAAGTCCCGGAACTCTCTGAAGCTGACTGCATGCGAGTGCGGCGAGGCCGTGACCAAGGTCATGAACTCAGTGAGGGTGGAACCGGAAAGCTTGATGCCTATGATACCATGAATAAGCCACGCTCCGTATCAAACACGGGCTTCGTACCTGCTTTCTCGAGTGCGAGCTCCAGCTCTGTCACGTCGAGGTGCCCATTGCCATCGAGGTCAAGCTCGTCATGGAATATATGCCACAGCTCTGTCTACGCTCAGCGCCCCGCCCCCTCACAAATACACCACACACGACGTACCAGCCTCCTTCGCGTCCGCATACTGCTCGAACTCCGCCCACGAAACCCGTCGTGCAAACGGCCCGCGCGTGGGCACCCCACAGCGGCCCAGCAGCTCGTCCTCGTACATCTCGCCCAGCTGCTTCGCGCTCTCCGCCGTGAGGTCCCCGTCGGACTTCACCGGGTACGCCCGGGCGACGGCCTCCGCGTCGTCGGCGCCGTTATTGCCCTCGTTGCGCTTCGGCAGCCGTCGCCACAGCGCGCGCAGCCGCTGCTGGCGGGCATCCCCCTCGAGCGCGCGGAACTCGCGGAGACTGTGCGGGATGGGCTGGAATGGGGGCGGGTCGGAGCGCAGGCGCGGGATGAACGGGCGCGGGCGCGCGCCGGACAGCACCTCCTCGTAGATCTGCCGCGCGGAGGGTCTCGCGGGTTCATCGGTGCCTCCCATGAGGCTCCAGGGTGGTTGTGTGGGTGTATGTTGGGAGTTGCGGCTGGGTCTGCAGATGTGTTACGCGGCGCGTGGAGAGAGTGCAGAGGAAGCAGCGAGATCGGGAAAGCAGTTGGGCGTGGATGTATGCGAGGCTGCGGGATCGTGCAGGGTGGATATCGGTCGGTACGGCTAACACATAGCAGATAGCAGAGGTCTAGCAGAATGCGGGGACGTTGTGTGCGGTGAGGCGTGCTGGCCGCGGAGAGCAGTGCAAAGAGAGGAGTGGAGTGTGCCGTGATTGCAGCGCTTGACGCACCCCTGCCCGCTGATTGGCTATGCATCATATCCCATCCTGGGCAGCTATCCAAGAAAACATGTGGAGGGCGCGCACTATACAAAATACACCTAGGCTACATATATGCGTAATGTCACGGCATAGCGTCCATAAGCAACGAGTCGCAAAGTATAATGATAGTATGTGGTAGTCGCCCATCGAGGGCGGTTTCGTGTCTCAAGATCTCATAGCCAGAGTCCGCGGCAGTCAGTACCTCCCCGCATGGCCTATTTTTGCCCGGACATGAACTCCCCACCCCTTCAGGACATACCACACGCTGAAGCACACGTCGCCCGGACAGTACGAGCGCCCCGAAGACGACCTGTTGCCAGCCGTCGACGCGGACATCGCGCTGGCCCGGTAAGAGCAGGGAGGCCCGCCAGCAGGCCGCAGCGGCTTCTCCGGTATTTCATGGCCGGATGCAGCAGGTCCACAACGCCGGCGAGCCTCCTGGGTGTCGGTATGCCTTGCTGCACGCCGGGCCTTTTCAGCACACATATGTTGGCTCGGAGCAGCTTTTAGCCGCGAGTCTGCGGACATGAGCCCACTGTGAAGCTGTGCACATATCTCGTCAAGACCACGAAGACTGCATGCGCAGATCCACGTACCGTATATGCGACACTCTCCGCACTCGTACCTGCGTGTGCAGCAGGGCGAAGCTTAGGGTACTCAGCCGGGAGTGGCGGTGTAGGAGGCCTGTAGATCTGCAAGCACAGCGCACAGCGCATGCGAGTGAGATATGAGACGATATGAATCCGATCGCCCGCAAATGAACAATCCCACGCACCTGTGGCAACGATTTCTGGCTGGGCCGGCGGGGCAGCACTGGCGACGCCTGTGTACGCTGCACGCACTGGATCATCGGCTGGCCGTCGTCGTGCGGTGGCCCGTTGCCATACGGCTGCAGGCGGGGGCGCGGCATGCGCCAGGAGTGAGCTCGCGTACGCGACTGCAGATCCGCAGGGACAGGCCTACCGGTGTGGCGTCCCGCTGCTCATCGACCAGCGTGTGCGAGAGGGACTCCATGCTGTCCTTCGACGGTAGCGACGGGGGCGGTGAGGGCGGCGAGAAATACATCGCGTGCCGTTTCTCGCGCTTGAGCGCGGTGTCGATCGACTCTCGCCAGTCTACAGGGAGCTGAGGGGGCGCAGTCAGTGGTGGCGTCATCGGGTGGTGCGCGACGCGAGGCAGGCGCGACTGACCGGCGGCATGTCCTTGTTGATGATGGTCATCGAGAGGCGTCGCAGACCCGACCGCGACGGGCGGGGCGAGTTGATCGACGGCTCCGGGGTAAGCCTCGGAACGGGTTTCCGCCAGCCCATATTGCGTCGGTTAGGCATGTTTGTGGCAGTGAGGAGAGTTCAGCGGCAGTGAAGTCGAAGTGAAGTTGAAGGGTATCGAGGGTGTTGGGGGGTATCGAGGCAGCAGGCGGAGGCAGCAGCAAGAGCGAGGTGCCAGAGGCAGCTGGCGGTGGAGCGACTCGACCCCGGCTATTTAACCCAGACGGACTACCGTCCAAGCTTCGCGCGGGCTCCAAGCGAAGGGTCCTCCACCAACAGTGGTGGTGTGACGTCCGGAATGGCTCGCCCTCCCTGGCTGGCGGGCGCCCCTCCGCGTTCTTATCCGGATAGACCGGGGTGCACAGATCCGCCCCGGGTGGGGAAGGGCCGTGCAGAGGGCGACAGGCCCCGCTTGGCGCCGCCGGGGCTGAATTGTGCATGGGCAGCCCATTATTTTCGCGACCACGCGGCGGGCCACCGTGCCCTGCCTTGGTACGCGTCTGGCGCCCGGAGCTGCCGCACGGAGGCCACGGTGTGATGCTGCTGGTGGACCTACTAAGGGGGGCCCTGGGGGCTGGCGGTGCGGGCCTGTCTAGGTGCGTCATGGCAAACACGAGCAGCAGCGGGACACACCTCGTCTGGCTGCACGCTTGCCTGCACGCGGGCGTTGGGTAAGCCTCCTGCATCCGCGGGGCGTCGTGCCCTGCTCTTTTTTTCGCGCAGTGCTGTCGTTTGAGGACAAGAGCCTGCTAGTTCGGCGCCGGCTCTGCAGCAAGACGCCGTGGTCCCTGGAGAAGGACGGCGGACAGGGGTGCGCGACTGGGACATGGCGGTCCATATCCAAGCCGCAACCGCACGTGTCCGCGTTTGGCCAGGGTCACGGGCGCCAACGCGTCGCGCAGCTCCGAGTGGACATCGGGATGAAGAGCAACGCAAGAAGCACAAAAACCCAGCGAACGTTCATATCAGCTGCATCGACCCCTGCAGCTGTGTATCTCCTTTCCATAGCCATGATCGATCCCACACTAGCGCAACCACCCGCAGTGCGGTTGCACAGAGACCGGGTCCGCTACCGCACGCAGCTCAGGCAGCCCTGATCGTATGTGATCCGGATAGACATATTCATTGTACAGCATAGAAGAGAGACATAGATCCTAAGGGTACATTTCACATACAAGGAGTGGGATGGGATGGTGATGTTGGGAACGAGAGACTTGGTAGCGTGGTGAGAACAAACAACGGTGAGCGTGGGGCGGAGGATACAAAAGCAAGTGCGAAAGTGCGAGGAGTGCGAGGGGATACTACAGACGGGATGACAGCATTCCGACGATTACCGTGTCCATGAAACAGTCCTTCCGTGATCCGCATCCGAGGCCGGTACCTGCCCCTACGACGTCGACGGCGCTGCGCCTAAGAGAAGTACATGACCCTGCGCATGCCAGCGTGCAGCGTCTTGAAGCCCGCCTTGAATACCTCGAGCTCCTTGGCCTTCTGGTCCTCGCTGAGGCTGCCGCCAGAGCCCTCGAAGTCCATGTGGCCGTCGGGGTCGTAGTGGTTCTTCGCGCGGGCGCACACGATGTCCGCGTCTGCGTCGCAAGGTGGGTGAGCAACCGGCCGCACACATCGGGACGCAAACGACACTCACAGTACACGGGCGCGGGGATCGAGACCGAGCGCGTCGAGCGGGCGTAGACGTGGCAGAGCGCGAACGAGAGCGCCTGCAAGCTGTCCGGCGTGAAGCCGTTCTCGTCGTACAGGACGCTGTAGTGCGCGGGGCGCGACGTCCCCAGCAGCGTGGATACCCAAAAAGACCGTGTCAGCCAAGGGTGGGCACGAGAGCGTGAGGGAAGGTACTTATCCACTGTGCGACTGCAAGTAGAAGTCGAACTCGGTCGGGTGCACGATGTCCCGGTCGACAACGGTGCCCGCGGGGCAGTTCCCGCTCCTGTCCGCGTCGGTCGAGTTCTGCGGGAAGAACCGGACGTGGTGGCGCTTGCCGACCACGACGACGGTGATCTTCGCCTGCACGTTCGCCTGCACGCACGCGGCGCGCAGCTGCGGCAGCTCTGAGGGACGATGGTCAGCCAAGGGCGCCAGCACGGATGGGGTCTCAGCCCAACGCACCGTATTCCAGCACATGTTTGAACTGGCCTTCGGAGACACCGTCGCGGAAGAAGATGATACGGCGCACGCTGCCGGCCTTCTTCTCAATTGTGTTGCGGTAGCCTGTGTGCATCTTGATGATGCCGTGGGCCATCTCCTGCAGGTCGTCGATCATCTCCTGGCGAGAGGTCTGCACGCGGCAGTCGGCGATGTACTTGGCGGTGTCGGAGTCGACGTTGCCAACGAGCGACGTGAAGGACGGGCGGCCATCCGCACCGGGGGCGGGGTGGATGACATCGGCGCTGTGACCACGTTAATACCATATATGGGCGAGCAAGCGTGGGGCACTCACCCCATGACGATGGTCGGGTTGTGCGGATCGGTGAGGACGGGGACGGAGCGCGCGTCGGGGACGGTGTTGATGCCGCCCAGCTTGACGTTGATCCTGTAAAGGGTAAGTCCTCTGCCGCATAGTGCGAAGGAAGGGCTCACTTCAAGCAGACGTTGGCATAGTACTGCGCCTTCGCGTACGTGCACTTGTTGCTCCTCAGGCACTGCGTCGCCACACCCTGGGTGATGTCGCCGAAGCTGTGATCCGCAGTCAACCTCTGCTCACTCCCCACAAGGCAAGAGAGCCGACTTACTGCTTGATGCGCATGTACAAGTCCGCGGAGGCTTCCGGAAGGACTGCGACGATGAGGTCCGGGCCGCCGCCGCCATTCTTCTGGTAACACATGTTTCCAGCCTCCCGGAGGGTCTGCGCAGGAGGCCTCGACGCGAGTCCGTAGTGAATGACTGGCTCTCGCTCCTTCACCTCAACGCCTGTGGTAGGGGTGGCAGTCTGCATCAGAATGATACACTTCAACAGGTTGACATAGAGATCTTACCGGCTTTTTCAAAAGACTCTAGAAGGCCCTTAACCATCTGCTCGGCGACGTCCTGCCTGAAGCGCTCCTTGCGCTCGAACACGACGATACACCAGCGCTTGATCGAGCTGGGCTTCCAGAACTTCTTGTCGACCCTGGCAGTACGAAAGAGGTCAGGCGCAGTTCACTGTGTTTAAATCGCGAGGCACTCACATGTTCCATTGGCCATCGCGCGGCCTCTGCGATCGCGGTGTTCAGCGCTGAGATACCCGTGAAAAGCGGGGTGGGACTTACAATGGTCGGCTGCCTGCTCCCCGGGCCGTACTGCAGGACGGGAGCCTCCAGAACACGCGCCTGGAGCGAAAGGGGGGCCGCGTTGGGCGCCATTACGAGGCCGAATTGCTGCAATATATATGAGTTGCCGTAGGCGCATCTTAGGAGGTCGATAGCTTACCCTAACATATTCCGACTGCCCGTACGCCAAGACCTGTCAAACACGGGTTAGGACTGACGTGGATACGATGTGAATAGGATGCGTTACCCCAAGTCCGGCCTTGATGCTGGCGAGGCGGTCGTGAGGCTTCTTGGTCGCAAAGTCCAGCACGTCTTTCGTCTTCTCGGGGGGCACCTGCTTGCGCATGATTTGGCCCTCAAAGATGTGGCAAACCTCCATTGGGATGAGAGCGCCGGACCCCACCTAGCAAGATTATGAGCACGAGTAAACAACGCATGGACAGTGTCATACCTCGATGCAGGGGAGCTTCGGGAAGCGGAGCTGGTAGTTGTGAGCGCGTTTAAAGTAGTCCGCAACGCTCAACGTCTGTCCTTCCCTGTTCACGAACGTCATCTCGTCGGCACTGTTTGCGGAGATCCTCTTGACGACACGAGGAGGGCGTCGACCAGTCTGGCGCTGCCCGGGGATCTCGACGACGATCCGTACTCCAGAGAGGAAGCGTTGGAGCCTGATCCTGTCGCGCAGATTCCGAGGGTCGAGATGCGAGGGATGCGGCATGCCCATGAACTCCATCGCCACGTTGAGGAGAGGGCCGGGCTTGTACATAGCTCCGGTGCTGATATCTACGTTGATGAGCATCCGGCCGATGGCGGGCCGCACAGACTGGAAGTAGCCCCGCCAGAGAACGATACCGCTTCCAATGTCCTTCTTCTCGCGATCAGTGAAGAAGGAGCGGACGTTGAAAGGGTATTTCAGCGAGGGCTCCATGCGGATGACGACGTTGAGCGCCTGAGAAGCCGCGAATATGAGCGGAGCGGTACAACGAGGGGCCACGGAAAACATACCGTGATAGCGGTCAAAACCGTGTTGTCGTGGGACTGTTTGCCCTGCAAGAAACGTGCGAGAACCCTACACTAGTGTTAGGACCTGTGCTCAATCACCCTAACGCAAAACTTACTCAGGATTGATAGTTGCCACATGAGTGAGCTTGACCTTGTACACCTTCGGGGGACGCGCTGGGGCGGCGTCGCCAGGGGAAGGCGGGTCACCGAGGGTAACGTCGAACTAAGGGCAAGTGCGGAGAGATGAGCCAGTAATCATAGGAGATATTGTTAAAGCATACCTCTCCGGAGGCACCGAAGGGAAGCTGGCGAGCTGCAAACATGTTCTTCCTGCCGTCGTACACCGCGCGAGGGGTGAATGTCTGCGGAGAGATTGCCGTCTGCATCTTTTCGATGATTTCCATGTTCAGGCGCGCGGGAAGTGTCTTCTCAGACGGAGAGATGACTGAAAGGAAGTTCAGCCACCGTTCGGGAGGGCACCAAGAAATAATGATACTCACCAACTGAAAGACGAAAGAGCTCCCTGAGTACGTTAGTAGCAGTGAGCGCTTGATAAAAACGCACCATCGTAGTGGTAGATGCTCCCCTCAGGGATCTTGACCTCGAAGTGGTTGGTGGAGACCTGGATGGCCCGTCCGCTGCTTCCGAAAGCAGTTCGTTTGACGCCGACCGTCGTAATGTGAGCAGAGGCATCCGGAAGACCAGGCCTGCCAGCGGGAGCGCGAGCAGGGGTGATAACTGGGCCTACGCCGCGTCCACCGCGAGCGCCACCCCTTCCACCGCGAGTGGGTCCGGTACCGCGAGCACTTCCAGTAGGGTTAGCACGAGGAGGCATGTTGTGAAGAAGTTTAGTTTGTTGGTTGTGGGAGAGATTGAGAGTGCTATGTGTGGGGGAGAGGAGTGTGCGGATGAGGAGGGGGAGGGGGAGAGGGGTATTTAAGTGACGGGCGTGTGCTGCAGGATCGATTGACGCATTGGCGAGGAGGCGCGCGTGCTGCTGCCAGAAAGCGCTTTGTTGTGCGTTGTTGACGCGACGCGTTCCCAATCTTAATTGTCGCGTCGCCCGCGCTTGTGCCCGCCAGATCCAATCCCCGCTAAGCTGGGGCCCGCTTGGCCTTTGCGCCCACAACCATCGGCCACTTCCATCGCTCTCTTTCGCCCCTTCAGCCCGCTTGGTCCCGTTCGACAGAGAACTTGGCGAGCGGACCCTTAGGCCGCCCTGCATCCTCGAGGCAACCAGCCTTTCTCACGCGCTGGATGGTCCTCATCTCGTCCTCTCAATTTCCTTTGCTACGGTAACTTCCGCACCTTCCTCCGTTGTCGCCGCGTTGCTAGTGCACGTTTTCCCCGCTTTCCCCGCCTTCGACATCGCGGCTTTAGGCTTCCCCCACAGACCCCGCCCCGGGAGAACTGGGGAGAACAATAACAGTGTATGATTATCGCCTGCACAGAGTTCAATGTGCATGCTCGCCACGCAGGTGCCAGAAGACCAGTGGGCATTGCGTGCATGGATCAGCGCCTTGATTCCGAACATGTGCCCGTAGCTTGGGCCTCCGACGGGAGTTCCTGCGCAGGGTCCGTGCATCTTCGCACGAAATGACATCCGATGTACCGCACTCCTCGCCTGTATCCGGATTTTGGTTGCTGCAACCTAGCGTAGCATGCGCCCAGTGTACGCCCTCGCCGCGGGGTAGACGAGTTTGAAGCAGTGCACCGTACGGAGGGCGCTTGAGCGGGGCCAGGGGAGCGGGACTGAGCGAGAGATCTGAGATGCAAGATCTGCAAAGAGATCGGCGGACCGCTGTGCAAGATCTGGGATCACGCAAATTCGTCCATCGGCCTGCCTCCAAGGTCCTCTTGCTCCCCCTCGCCATGTCCGCCTTCCTCCCACTCTTCGACGCCGACCTCGGGGACCATGCTCTCCTCGGAGCACTCGCCCGCATCGGCCCTCTTATCGTCCCCTACTCTCTGAAAGACTCAACCTCCATCCCGCAAAATGCCAGTCGGTACATCCTCGTCGACCGTGACTCATCTTTGGCCGCAGATGAGGTCGTCCCCATCCTTGACCAGGGCGCAGACAAGGTCATCCTTCCCCTCACCCTCGCCAAGGACATCATAGGCACCGCACCTGCAGAGCGCCTCCTCCTGCTTCTCGATGTTGCAAATGTCAGCGCCGTCTCCGACAAAATCCGTAGCGGAGTGTCTGGCGTGCTCATCAAGACCCCCTCTGTCGATGTGGACTTCATCGGATCCGTCTCGCGATTTTTCGCGGGTTCATCCGTGCACGTCCTTCCCGTAAGCCTCAGCGAGCCCCCTTCACGATCCACCATTCGCGGGCTCGCGGGTGCGGGTACGGTCCTAGTCATTCCGACCTCCCTCCTGACTCTTGCTCCGACCGACGCCAAGCAGCTCAATGTCGCGGACGCATTCCTCGCAAACATCACCTCCGACCGCCCAGACGGTCTCTTCCCCACCGTCGTCTCCTCCCACCTCGACGGTGAGCGTACGCTCGGCCTTGTCTACTCCTCGATCGAATCAGTCCGGGAAAGCATCGCCACGGGTAAGGGCGTATATCAGTCACGCAAGCACGGCCTCTGGCGCAAGGGCGAAACTTCTGGGGCGACTCAGGACGTCGCGCGAATCCGCCTTGACTGCGACTCGGACGCGCTGGAGTTCAGCGTCGTGCAGCACGGCGCGGGCTTCTGCCACCTCGATCGCCCTTCTTGCTTCGGCGAGACCAGCGGGCTCTCTGCGCTTGAACGTACGCTGCAGTCTCGCCTCGAATCCGCCCCCGAAGGATCATATACCCGGAGACTGTTCAGCGACCCCGAGCTGCTCAGCTCCAAGATCATGGAGGAGGCGGACGAGCTGTGCCGCGCCGAAACGAAGGAGGAAGTCGCATTCGAGGCCGCCGATCTCTTCTATTTTGCGTTGACTCGCTGCGTCGCGGCTGGTGTTAGTATCGCCGACATTGAGCGCTCTCTGGACACCAAGGCGAAGAGGATCAGCCGGCGCGCAGGCAATGCCAAACCGCAATGGACCCAGAAGGCTACCGCAGAGACCAGCGCAGCTCCGAAGCCTACCCCGGTACCTGCACCTGCGCCTGCGCCCACGGTCGATGTAGACGCACCCATCCGCATGCGCACGTACGATCTCGCAGCGGCCTCCCCCACGGAACGTGCACAGCTCCTGCGCAGGCCGGTGCTGAAGTCGGACGAGATGATCGCGAAGGTGAAGCCGATCGTGGACGACGTGCGCACGCGCGGGGACGCCGCGTTGCTCGAGCTCACCGCCAAGTTCGACCGCGTGCAGCTCGACGCGACGGTCATCCGCCCCCCGTTCGCACCCGAGACGATGCAGATCGCAGATGACGTGCGTGCCGCGATCGACGCCGCGTACGCGAACATCCGCAAGTTCCACCAGGCGCAGGCGGACCAAGACACGCTCGTCGTCGAGACGATGCCCGGCGTCGTGTGCTCCCGCTTCGCGCGGCCCATCGCGCGCGTCGGGCTCTACGTCCCCGGCGGCACCGCCATCCTGCCCTCGACTGCGCTCATGCTCGGCATCCCCGCGCAAGTGGCGGGCTGCCGCGAGATAGTGCTCGCGACGCCCCCACGCCCGGACGGCTCCGTGTCCCCGGAGGTGATGTACGCGGCACAGCTCGTCGGGGCGAGCGCGATCCTCAAGGCGGGCGGCGCACAGGCCGTCGCCGCGCTCGCGTTCGGGACCGCGAGCGTGCCCAAGGTCGACAAGATCTTCGGCCCGGGCAACCAGTGGGTCACCGCCGCGAAGATGCTCGTCCAGAACGACACGGACGCGCTCGTCGCGATCGACATGCCCGCGGGCCCGTCCGAGGTGCTGGTGCGTCCCCGTTCCCGTCCTACGCGTCTCGCTTCGTGCAGTGGTGCTCACGTGTGTGCGTGCTGCAGGTGATCGCGGACCACACGTGCAACCCCGCGTTCGTCGCGGCGGACCTGCTCTCGCAGGCGGAGCACGGCGTCGACTCGCAGGTCGTGCTCGTCGCGGTCGCGCTCGCCGCAGACCGCCTCGCCGCGATCGAGGCGGAGGTCGACGCGCAGGCGCGCGCGCTGCCCCGCGTCGACATCATGCGCGAGTCCGTCGCGAAGAGCATCATCGTGAAGACGGACACTGTTGCGGAGGCACTTGCGTTCAGCAACGACTATGCCCCGGAGCACCTTATTCTGCACCTCGAGGATGCGCCGGGCGCCGTTGCGGCGGTCGAGAATGCCGGTAGTGTGTTTGTTGGGCCATTCTCGCCAGAGAGGTGAGTTGTCGTTCGCTTGCGGCGGTTCCATGGGTGGTGGTACTCACGAAGTGTTACGCAGCTGCGGCGACTACGCGTCGGGCACGAACCACACGCTGCCCACGAATGGCTACGCGCGCCAGTTCAGCGGCGTGAACACGCTCTCCTTCCAAAAACACATCACCTCGCAAGAGGTCACTGCAGAGGGCCTGAAGGGCTTGGGACCTATCGTCGCGACCCTTGCGGACTGCGAAGGACTCGGTGCCCACGCGAACGCAGTGCGCATCCGGCTACAAGCGCTCAACCAGTCATAGTAGACGGTGGGCGGTGGAGGCGATTCAAAGCACGCAGAAGAGAATTTGTAAAATGAATATGTAGAGTAGCAGTGCAATGATAGCAGCGTGACCAGTAGTATAAATTCTAGGGGCCTCTCAGGAGGACATGGATATAACCTCGCGCGCTCGCCTCGCTACAACCCGATATCTACGGAATGTGCAATGCAGGGGCAAACTAGTTGCTCCTGTAAAGAGCACGCCTCGCAGCCTTGACAATGACGCTGGTGTCGGGGAAGGTGAGGCCCTCAAGGTTGACGGCGTACTGAAGTCCAAGGTCAACTATCTGAGATGATGCGATAGCCTGTAGGTGGTACTCACAGGAGTGGGGACATCGGCACCAGTTACACGCTCAACGGGCGCATCGAGGTAGTCGAACGCCTCGCTCTCGACGATCTGGGCGCAGATCTCACTGCCAACACCGAACGCAGGGTAGCCACCCTCAGCGACGAGAAGCCTAGGGAACAGATCTCAGCCATGAGGTTTAGAGGCGCAAACATGCAGCAGACGTACCTGTTGGTCTTCTTGACCGACTTCTTGATCGTGTCGATGTCGAGAGGGCGGATGCTGCGCAGGTTGATAACCTCCGCCTTGATGCCCTCCTTCGCGAGCTCCTCAGCAGCCTCCATGCTGTGGCCGACCATCTTGCTGTGCGCAACGATGGTGAGGTCGCTACCCTCGCGCTCGACCTTGGCCTTGCCGATGGGGAGGAGGAAGCCGTCCGACATCGCCTCCGAGGACATGGGGAAGGTCACACCGTACATCAGCTCGTTCTCGAGGAAGACAACGGGGTTGGGGTCCCGGATGGCAGACTTCAATCGAGGTCAGTCACTTTCCATGTATAGGTCGTTCCACTCCAAAACAACGTACCTTGAGAAGACCCTTGCAGTCCTCCGCGTTCCAAGGGCTGACGACCTTGAGACCAGGGACCTGACCGTACCACGAGGCGTAGTCTTGTGAGTGCTGGGCCGCGACACCGGCGGCAGCACCGTTGGGACCACGGAACACGATAGGACAAGGGAGAACACCACCCGACATGTAGTGGGTCTTGCCAGCAGAGTTCACGATCTGGTCAATAGCCTGCATGGCGAAGTTGAAAGTCATGAACTCGCAACTGCATAATAGTCAGGTACTGCTGTAGGTTGACACAGGACAGCGGTAACGTACATTGGCCTGAGACCGTCGAAGGCAGCACCGATGGCAAGACCAGCGAAACCCATCTCGGTGATAGGCGTGTCCACGACACGCTTCTCACCGAACTTGTCGAGAAGACCCTTGGTGACCTAGACACAAACATGAGAGGATGTCGTGGCAGTGTTCGGAGCGAGCGAGCGTACCTTGTAGGCACCGTTGTACCGGGCGACCTCCTCACCGATGATGAAGACGTTCTCGTCCCGCAGCATCTCCTCCTCCATTGCTGCGTTCAGGGCCTCACGCACGGTCATCTGAGCATCCTGTGTCATTCGGCCTGTACACGGAAAGCGGTGTGAGAACGCACAGTATGCTCGCTCTGCGAGGCATATCCCCGAGCAAGGCGCGCGCCGGATATCCGGGCGGGCTTGGCCAACCGCGCGCGGGTGAGGGCGGGGGCGAGACGGGCGAAGGTGAGACGCGAGGCCATGTCTTTTGGGCGGGAGAGCGGGAGGGGAGGGAGGAGGACGTGGACGGAGACGGTGAGGGGAGATGCCCAATTTTTGGACGGAAGAGGTGGTGAGGTGGCTCGGACGCGCTCGGGACGCACGGGCAGAATTGGTGAAGCGCCCCCCAAACACTCCAAATCAACGAATCAACCCCCGTCGTCCCACACCCTCCCGCAATGCATCGCACGACCTCCTCCCGCCGTCCGACTCGACGCCCCCGTAATCGTTCCCGACAACCGCGATGGCTGCAAAACCGGTCGTTCTCCTCACTGGCGCATCCAAGTGCATCACGCGCTAGACTTTTCCGATCCATTTCCAGCGGCTAATACTGCACATCGCAGAGGCCTCGGGCTCGCGATAGCCAAGATTCTCCTCGAGACTTTCAACGCGAATGTGGTCGCGCTCTCGCGCACAAAAACACCAGAGCTACTCAGCCTGGGTGATGCGCATGCGGACTCACTGCTTGCCCTCGAATGCGATGTGTAAGTCTCCGCCACAGTTCCCGTTCGCTTAGCGTCCTCAGTGTAGCGAATATGAAGTGCCGACGACGCCGCTGTGCGCTCCTCTGTATCGCACGGTCTCGAGAAATACAAGCGCATTGATGGTGTGATCCTGAACGCCGGTGTGCTTGAACCGCTGGGCAAGATCGCGTCGGAGGACATCACCTTGGACCAGTGGAAGAAGCACTTCGACGTCAACTTCTTCTCGCTGGTCACCGCTATCCGCGCAACGATCCCAGAGCTGCGCAAGAGCGCGCTCGGCGGACGGATTGTGTTCGTAAGCTCGGGAGCCGCAGTCGGAAACACGCCGTCCTGGGGCCCCTACAATGCCGGTAAGGCCGCCTTGAACAGCCTGTGCAGGTCAGTCAGTAGTGGATACTGCTGTCGTTTTATGGACTGATAGCAATATCCAGAACGCTCGCGGAGGAAGAACCCGAGGTGACCTGCGTCGCTGTGCGCCCAGGCATGGTTGACACTCCGGTAGGTTATACACCAGGTGCATCGGTATGCGCCCGCTCATTGTGTCCAGATGCAAGGCCTTCTACGAAGCAGAGGGCCGACCACCATGGAAGCCACTGTTCTCAAGAAGTTCACCGAGGCCTACGAGAAGGGCGAACTCGTGAAGCCCGAGGATGCTGGGCACGTCATCGCCGCGCTCGCGCTGAAGGCCCACAAGTCCATGAGCGGGCAGTTCTTCAGCTGGAACGAGGAGAAATGCAACGAGTTCAGGCGGCAGTAACGAGACACAGGTGACCGTCGTGCAGCAGTCATTACGCAAATATGAAGCAGACGTTATCCAGGTTGTATGAATTATGTGTACAGTTGCGGCATTTCCTTTCCTGTGCGCCCTTCCGATCCACGTCTGCCCCGGGCGTATTGATCGCGCCCACCTACTCGGTTTGACGTGGACGGCCAGTCAGCTAAGAAAGCTGCCAGGCATGGAGGTATATAACAGCGCACGATGCATCGTTGTCTGTCGTTATCGTACGTACCCAAATGGCCACCCATGCTACGGTAATATCTATGTCCTCATGTATATCGACCTTACATTCGCTCATTCATCTCGCAGGGTCATACGCGTATCGATGTGCATCACCACATCTTCCCCGCCTCCATAGGGAAGGCCGGGCTCAGCGCAAAGGTCGGATGGATGACGCCCCCGGAGAACCTCCCATGGACGCCTGAAGTCAGCTTGAAAGCAATGGACCAGCTCGGCGTGCGCACTGCCGTCCTTTCCCTTCCCGCTGGACTCCCCCCTGGGCCCGCAGGGGATGAGAACAGGACGGCTGCGCGAGGTTTTAATGAGTATGCTACGCAGATATGCGACCAACACCCCGGACGGTTCGGGTTCTTTGCTTGCTTACCCAATCTCATCGACACGGAGGGTGCGTGCAGCGGTGCGTTATCGCGCAGAGATGCTTATTGGGATTACGAGGTAGGTGTGTTGTCAGAGATCGAGCACTGTTTCGGCCTGTTACCGTGCTGGGGCGTAGCCATATCGTCTTCGTACGGCGAGGGTGCGGACGCTAGTAAGTCGTTCCCCTTGCGCTGCGTAGCTCTGCTGCTTAACCTCCTGCAGGATACATCGGAGACGACGCGTTCGATCCGATCTGGGAGGAGCTGAATCGAAGACACGCGGTGGTCTTCCTACATGGCACCCAAACCGCGTCGTCCACGCCGTATCCCCATCCTTTTCTAGGCATTCCCGTGACGGAGGTGCGTATTATCTCGCACCCCATACGTTCTTCTGTGCTCACACTCGATGCGACCAGGTACCCAACGAGACCTTCAAAGCGGCCGCGCACCTCGTCGTCACCTGCAAGAAGCGCCGCTGGCCACACGTCAAGATCATTCTCGCGCACCTCGGCGGCAGCACGCCCTTCCTCGCGCCGCGCGTCGCCGTGCTGTCCGGGCACATGGGCTGCGCGCTGTCCCCGGACGAGATTCTGGCGGACTTCAGGACGTTCTACTACGACACGGCGCTGAGCAGCCACGAGACAACGCTGGCGGCGATGCGCGCGTTCGTCGACGACTCGCAGCTGCTGTTCGGCACGGACTTCCCAGGTGCGTTATGGGGCTGTCGTGTTCAGAAGGAGAGGTGTGCTGATGTCCTCCGTGCGCAGCTGTTAGCGTTGGGATGGTGGAATGGTACACCAAGAATGCGGATACGTTCTTCGCGGGTGATCATGACGCGCTCGACCGAGTGATGTACAAGAACGCCGAAGCTCTTCTGCCCATGTAGTCACATCTGCCTGGTTATCGGGAGGCTCGAACATTGCTGTCTACTGCTAGCCACATGCGCGGCGCCGCTCTTGTGTGTTTTATATAGATGTGTCGACCAATGTCAAGAATACATGGCTCTAGGTTTAGTATTTGCGCTGAACCGACAAAAGTTAGATGAGTCAATACGAATGTCAAGGTCAGATAGCTATATGGCGCGGGTATGGGTATTAGGTGCGGTAATGTTAGGGTATGGACGTAAAATCGTAAGCATAGCAGTTTTCAGTGTTTCTCCTGCAACCACTGCAGGATGTCGTTATGGACAGGGGATATCGATAGAAGGGCTTGCCCGTGGTGCCCGTCTGGGTCGAAGCGCAGGCCCTTCCGGATTCCATGTGAAGTGAGGTAGCGCCGTACGCGCTGAGAGGATACGGTCAGTATGGTTCATGAGGGGCGAGTGGATGGTGCATGTGAAACTCACTGTAGCGTCGATGATGGAGTCCTTGCCGCCGAGAACGAACAGGGTCTTCTTAGGGTCCCGCGCGTTGGGAATCTCCTCGTACCAGAGACAGTTGGAAGACCAGTCGAAGTGGCGCTGCAAGAAGTTGGCGACCCCTAGTTCGGTGCCGACGAAGTATTTGATGATAAGGTCCAGGCCCTGCACGAAATATGTTCAGAGAAGGTAACATGGATGGAGCAGAAGAGAACTCACATCTGCGCAAGGCCGGTAAATGAAGTTGTAGCAGAGGTCTGAAGCCATAGCACGTTAGCCGAAACGTCGACCAGGGTCTAGAAGACACGTACCTCCTTCCCAGGAGCAGAAGGTGACCGGGTCTACGAAACATGATCGAGTGATCATTTGGGAATACGTCTTGAGCATCCATGCGTGCGAGAACGAACCGCTGATTGGGAGTAGGTTAGACACGCTGAGGAAGAGAATGAGTGTCTTCTCACTTCGAGTGGCTGAGCATGGTGACGCCTTTAGGGGTCCGCAGGCTATCCGAAGCCTTGCGCGAGTTGCCAGGGTCCTTCTCCTCTGTATCAGAGGCATCCGAAGAAGGATCGTCCAGGTCAGCCCAGCCGAGCTTCGCCAGAAGACCGGCAAGACACGTCGTCATCTCGTTCCTGCCCATGGGGCGCAAGAAGCGAGGGTGAAGGATTTCTTGACTGACGTGTGGCAGGAGAGGAACAAGGATGGGATAGTCCGGAAGCGAACGGAACATATGGACAAGGAAGCGACGGTATTGCGTCAGGCCAAGCCCGAGGCCGTGCATGAAGACGATCGGGCGAGGGCCAGTGCGCGCGTTCCAGGTTGGCGGTACGCGCAGGACATACCTGCGTGGTTATGCATGTTAGAGATACACGCAGAGTTAACATGAGGTCAGACGTACTCGAGACCCTCATGGACTTCAACCTTCGCGTTCCAGTTCGACCTCATACTGTGGCGAATGTATGCATTGCCCAGTGTTACCCCAATGTACCACAAGAGCGGCCTCCAAGAGACATTGACAGGATCCAAAGTAAGACGCATCGGGGGTACGGCGGGATTTGAGCCGTGAGGGATCTTTACACCCGCACGATCTTCGACCATGTGGGTGACCTCGAGGAGAACCTTCCGGTGAGGTTCGGACACCTTGTCCATTCCTGGGAAGGCAGAGTTGAACATGGACCAGTAGAGCCACGTATACACTTCATGCCGACGGATCGACGACCATGGTGCCTTGCCGAACCTGCACACACGCGCGGTATATGAAATCCAGTTTCATAGAACATAGGTAGATGAACGTACCATGTTCTCAGGTAGTTCCGGAAGTCTACTGCGCGGGGGTCGTTGTATTCGAGGACCGTAAGCGTCTCTTCCGGACTGCCAGGCCTGTCAACGTCCAGGGTCTCCTCATCGAAATCCTCGGGTAAGGACGCAAGGCCAGCTCTGAGAACGCGCTTGAACACTGCCTGAAGTTCGAGCAGGTTTCCAGCACCGGTGGGGCTTGGACCAGAGATGAACGCAGTGAGGTTGTAGTGGTACACGCTGAAGAAGACCTGCGAAACGGATAAGCTCGCGAACTGAATGGGATGCGGTCACTGGGTCTGACCTCACTGAGCGCGAGCGCGAATAGACCGCAGCCGCGCCATGCGAAGGTCCAGATGAGGCCAGAGTGCAGCGCGTAGATTACGAAGGCCCAGGAAAGGGGAACGATGGACCAGATGGGGAGGACCGCGAAGACGAGGACGAGATAGAATGTGAGATCACGCCTTGCCGGGGTATGCAGCTTCTCCGCGAGGTCGACGACGAGCTTCTCCGCTTTGGACTCCATGGTCCTGTCTACGGGCGTCGTGAGGCGTCAGAGGCCTCTGCAAACGAGTGGAAGAGCCGTGGCGAGACGAGGACCGGGGGACAGGGGGACAGGCTTTTTGACCGTCGTCGCAGGAGCAACGTCGCGTACGGGCGGCTGGCAGCGCATCGTGCGAGGTCGACCCATCACCGAGGAACGTGCCCATACCGGGCTCACGGCGCAAAAATGGGCTCATTTGGGTGTCTGCGGCACACGCGAAGCGGAGACTTCGCGAGTATATATGCACACTGTGCTGCTGCGCCCTCCCACCATGTCCGACGGTGAGCGCAACGGTGTACGACGGGCGACGGCCAGGAGAGGGTCGGGCGGGGACGGTTCGGGCCACGCGAGCGGGTGATAGCCATGTGGACGAAGGATGACGCTGTTGGCATTGGCACGGACTTGCCCGCATTTCGGCCGACATCTCGTTTTCTTCAACGCCCCCCGCTCTCTCCCTCCCCGTCCATCCTACCATCTTGTTCTCTCCAGCAGGTGCTGCTCGCCATGAATCGTAGTGCTCTCGCCTCTGCTGCCCGTCCTGCGCTCAACGCCGTGCGTGCTCTTGACATCTCTGCCCGAAACACGTGCCAACATTTTGTTCCCCTCACAGAGGACCGCTACCACCCTCTCCGCTGGCTTCCCCCGGGTCACCCAGAGAGTGCGTCGTACTCGCTATTTACGCGCCAATGACGGGCGTAACTGAACTTCTCTTGCGCAGCTCCCCACCAAGTATGGTGGTGTCTACACCGTATGTCTGCTGGCAGTGCGGAGAACGCACGCATCTGAACTTCGCACTTCCTAGGTGACCCTCATTCCCGGAGATGGTATTGGTAACGAGATCACGGACTCCGTGAAGGAGATCTTCGAGCACGTCAACGCTCCCATTGAGTGGGAGCAGTACAACGTCTCGGGCATGTCTTCCGAGGGCGAGGACCTCTTCAAGCAGGCTATGGAGAGTCTGAGGCGCAACCGTGTCGGTCTCAAGGGTATGCACCTGAACCTCAGCGTATCAATCGCGTCGTATAACACCCCACGCTGTAGGCATTCTCTTCACCCCCATTTCCCAGTCTGGTCACATCTCGTGGAATGTCGCCATGCGCCAGCAGCTCGACATCTACGCGTCTGTTGTCCTGTGCAAGTCTCTCCCAGGCTTCCCTACGCGTCACAACAACGTGGACTTCGCCATCATCCGTGAGAATACGGAGGGTGAGTACTCTGGCCTTGAGCACCAGAGCTTCCCTGGTGTTGTGGAGAGCTTGAAGGTGTCCACGCGCGCGAAGGCCGAGCGTATCTGCCGCTTTGCGTTTGACTTTGCCCTCAAGAACAACCGCAAGGTAATTTAGAATCATCGCACGCGTAAGATACCACGTTCTCACCTATCACCGCGTAACACAGAAAGTCACTTGCGTGCACAAGGCCAACATCATGAAGCTTGGTGACGGTCTTTTCCTCAACACCTTCCGTCGGGTGGCTGAGGACTACAAGTCTACCGGTATCGAGTTTAACGACATGATTGTCGACAACACGTGAGTGATATGGCCGTCCCGGTTTTGGATACTACTTAACTGTTTTTGGCGCGAATAGCTCCATGCAGCTGGTTGCTCGTCCCACACAGTTTGATGTCATGGTCATGCCCAACTTGTACGGTGCCATTGTCTCCAACATCGGTGCCGCGCTCGTTGGTGGCCCCGGCATCGTTCCTGGGTGCAACGTTGGCAGGGTCAGTAACTCTCGTGTTCGGCCGACTGCAGCCCAGTGTACTCAATGGGACCATTCATCACTTGCAGGAGTACGCGCTCTTTGAGCCTGGTTGCCGTCACGTCGCCAAGGACATCATGGGCACCAACCGTGCCAACCCTTCAGCGATGATCCTCAGCGCGACCATGATGCTCCGGCACCTCGGGTACGCGTCCCAGTTGACTCGAGGAGTATTGCGTCGTACTGAACGCAACGGGTGATTTTAGTCTCGACCACTTGGCGAACAGCGTCGCGAGCGCGACCTTCGACGTTATCAACGCCGGCAAGGTCCGCACGGCGGACATGGGCGGTAAGCTTCATTTCCCTGATGACGCAGGGTCCTCCGTTCCTCATATTGCGACGGTTTCATCACAGGCTCTGCGACCACCTCGGAGTTCACCGCGGCTGTCATCAAAAATCTCAACTGAGCGCTCGGTGACTGTAGAGGACGGGATGGGCCGTAGTGAGCAGGGCAGGAGCGCTGAGCATGGACAACTACGTCGTTTCGTCTGGTAATGTAGATGTAGTGTACACGATGGCCTAACGTATCATACCTCGCCTCCTAGAGTGCCGTTACCAACGTAGATGTGGGTTCTCCGAATCATGGGATGCTGCTCAGATCGAAGTCGTTGAACAGTGCATCGTCATCCAGCGCGGCGTCGTATTCGTCCTGTTCGGGAGACTCTTGTTTGGGTTTCTTGGGTGCTGGCTCTTCGTGTGGGCGTCCCGCCGGAGCTTCTGAACCATCTGTAGGTTCGACCTTGACGAGCTGGTGTGCATCCTCTGCGCCCGTGGTCGCCTCGTCTGCCCCTTCCTCGCGAGCTTTGCGCAAGCCCAATATGGTCGAGCAGCGGACGTCCCCCTGCTGCCCCCAACCCTCAGACTGAGGCCGGAACTCGGCGTACAGGGCAAACCCCTTCTTGTTCAGCTCCGCAGGGGAATAGCTCGCCGCGAGGAGGCGCAGCGCGCCCACGATGTGTGGCGCCGTCTGCCGTAACGCCCGGGTGATGTACGAAAACGCCGCCGTGGGCGCGACAGGCGAGCCGTTCGAGAGGGCATGCCACTGCGACGACGCGGTCTGGTACAGGGGACTGGATTGAGAGAGGGAAGGGGGCAAGAGCGGCCGGTTGTTAAATGCAGCCATAAAGAGGGCAACAGGCGGAAAACGGTTACGTACACGCTAGTTTGTTTGACAGAAAACGAGCAGTGTTCGTGCGGTGGCGTCGCAGCCGAGTGATAATGTGTGCGTGAGCTCCTGTCTGTCGTGCGAAATGAATAGTGGGGGAGCACCGACCGTCTGCCCATGAGCTCCACGTACGGCTGCGCGCCGGTGCGGCTCGCGTCTGCGCCGCGCTGCTGGCCGTCCCGGTATATGCCCAGCGAGACGCCTTTGGTAACCGCGTTCATCTCCGTATATGCAGAAGCTGGGCGGGGAGCGAACGTCAATGATGAGTGGGGGCGACCGGTGTCCCCGCACAGCACCGGGCAGAGCACCGCACAGCCCCACCGGGCTATTCAGCACTCTGCTCAGGAGGTCCACAGCGGGGTGGAAAGGAGGTGGACGCGGCGTACCTATGCTGAGTGCTTCCTCCCGTCGGAAGCCCAGACGTTCCGCGACGACGAACGCCCATGCCATCATTATGGGCGCGCGGTTCACGACGGTGTACTTCGTGCTGATGACCTGCGCGGACACACCGCACACACACGGCCTCTCGTCAGTACTGTATTCGTATCATTTCAGTGCGCATCCACCGTGCGTGCCGCGGGCGTCTTGCGCCAGCGACGCGCATTTTGGACCGCTGGCGAGGGGGCTGGAGACGCACCTCCTCGTCGAGAATCTCATTGAACTCGAGGCTGCCGTACGCGTCGCCCTCCTGGCGCGGCTTGCTGGGCAGCATGTCGTTGAGATCGTCGTCCCGCTTTCGTTTCCGCTGGGGCTTTCCCTATGGGTGCGCGGAGATGGGGGCGATATGCCGAATGCGTGAATATGAATTATGTAACGGTGCAACAAGGCATCATAAACTTACGTCGGCCTTGGAGGACCCTGCCTTGCCCGCTGACGAGGCGCCCTTGGAGCTTCCCGCCGTGCTGGCTTTGGGTGGCTTGCCCTTGTACCCTGCTTTGCGCACGGCGGCGAGTACTTGTTTACGGGTGTCTTTCTCTGCTATTCCTGCCGACTCAAGCGAAAAATCGGTCAAGAGGCCCAGCTGTTCTGGAGTGCTGTGGGTCTTGTAACTGTGTAATTGGTAAGCATTGTTAGATTCAGAGGACGCCTGATACTAGTGGGAATCTTTGCTCGTCAGTCTTTGACAAAGAGCCTAAAGCACCTTAGGTGCGTCTGAGCGACGACAACGCTTAAACGTTAGGCCCCTTGTTTGGGGTAGAGAGCCTGGCTTTGAGGAGCAAGGGCGTTCATGGGACACACTGATGGACTTACATCTTCCCTGCAACGGCCATTGCCTTGGATGGTGGCATATTGCCGCTGGTGAGCATCTTGAGGAACGCTGGTAGTGATAACTTTGCTGATTCCGCATCCATCATGTTTGTCTACGTCGCGCTATTTTCTTTGAGCGATCCTGCCTCCGAAGAGGTTGTGAGCAAGTCGTGAGCAAGTCGTGAGCGAAGAACTCTGCGCAGCTGCTGATCCGTATTTTGGGCGTCTACCTCTCCCGATCGCCCCTTGCCGGGAAAGGCAATCAACGACCGTAACGGTATTGATCGCGAGTGCTACGCCCGTTCTTCTGTCCAATACCGCCAACCTCCTGCTTCCCAGTCCGCGCTCCGTCTGCTCCCTTGTCGCCATGATCAACTACATGCTGCTCGTCTCCCGCCAAGGTACAGAAATCCGCCTTCTCATAGCCCGATGCACAGGGCCCTGACCGTCGCCACGCGCCCGCAGGGAAGGTCCGCCTCTCGAAGTGGTTCACTACCATGTCGCAGAAGGCGAAGGCGAAGATCGTCAAGGATGTCACGCAGCTCGTCCTCGCGCGCCGCACGCGCATGTGCAACTTCCTCGAGTACAAGGGTGCGTCTCCGTTTCCCTTTCACCGCCCCCCACCGCAGTGCCGGGTTATCTGACCGTGGAGCGGGGCCGTGCGGGAGCAGACACGAAGGTCGTGTACCGGCGATACGCGTCGCTGTTTTTCGTGTGCGGAATCAGCCAGAGCGACAACGAGCTCATCACGCTGGAGATCATCCACCGCTATGTCGAGGTGCTCGACCGGTATTTTGGGAATGTGAGTGTTGCACTCGCTGGTTTACCGGTGGCCGTGGAGCTGACTCGCTTGTGCAGGTGTGCGAGCTCGACCTGTATGCAGATATGTCACAGGGGAAACGTACGCAGCTCACGAGTAATCTTATGCATGCAGGATCTTCAATTTCCAGAAGGCGTACGCAGTCAGTAGGAACGAAGATGTTTGCGCATCTGTATGCTTACAGTGGCGCAGATTCTCGACGAGCTTATCATCGCAGGAGAACTGCAAGAGTCATCCAAGAAGTCTGTGCTACGGGTGGTACGTTTGGTCTATTTCACCTTACCGTTATGTGTCATATCGAGCGCCATGCCCCAGGTCACGCAAGCAGACAGCATCGAAGAGCAAGAGAACAGCGAAGATACCATGGCGCGACTGGGCAGCCTCGGCTCACGAGGTCCATGAGCCGTCCTTTCTCCTCTCTTCTGTACATGTACGATCGTATGTACAAGCACTTTCCCGTGCCTACTCCACGAATTATTCATCGGGATATCATTGGTTTCTTTGCATAAAACCCGCAATGTATCATCGAGACTCAGCGGTATATCGCGCCCCCCTGCTCATCAGTGTGGCTGAACATTTACTAATATTGACATATTTGGTCGCTTCACTCGAGGCTTGTGGCGGAGTGCTTCGTGCTGGAGCAAGTACTGTCTGTTCGATTCACAGCTAGAATCCTTGTATGCTGCAAGAAATGCCGCGTGCACAAGAATCTTTCGCGCGGGCCGCGCGGTGCTGCAGCACACGTCCCAATTTGGGTATCAAAGAACGCGTCTTTGACCACGCCACCGTGGTCGCTGCGGTAACTCACTTCTCTTCCTCCCTCCTCCACCTCCTACAACTGCAGCGACAGAGTGCGCACCAGAATGCCTAATGACACGATTGCAAGCGCGCCCAGGGCTGCAAACGCCCCTCCAGCGATGATCGGATACTACAGGTTCACAGACATCTTCTTTGAATGGTGCGTGCGCCGTGGAATGTGCCACTCCGGAATTTAATTATGGGCCAATAGGCATCAGGCCCTCCCAAACCAGGCGGACGTAAGCCCTCTGAAGGCACTAATTGCGTACAGCGCGCTCGTCCACCCCGATCACCCCCTACGAAAAGAGGGCGTGAACGGCATCGAACTCTACCTCGGTGCGTCCCACGCCATCCGTCAGACTCGCGCGCGAAGAAGAAGCGACCCCTAACGCGTGGGCCCCCCTAGGAACGTTCGAGAGCGGGGAGATGCGCCTGCTATTCTCGTCCGCGCAGGTCGAGTACATGCGCTACTGGCTGCACACCGTGAGGCTCACCGCCGAGCCGATCCCGCTCCCGACGTCCGAGTACCTCATCCAGGCGGGCGACCTTCTCACGTGCTCGCCCGACGTGTACAAGGACCCGGCGGCGCTGAAGAAGGCGATCAAAGTACGTGACCGCAGGCGGCGCCGGGGGCGGCGCGGCGGCCAGAAACATCGTAAGCGTAAGTCGTGTACTAACAGCAGCGAACAGGGCATCGACAAGAACAACAAGCGCCTGCGCGGGACGGGCAGCCTGCTCACCGCGCGGCGGTTCGCGTTCGAGCGCGTGCGCACGCTGTGGGCGGCGAAGATCGGCACGTGGCTCGCGCTCGACTTCGAGGCGTGGGACATGGACCACACGGCGCTGACCGAGTTTGGGTGGAGCGCCGTGCGCTGGGTCGACGGCGAGCCGGTGAAGGAGGACGGGCACCTCGTCGTGAAGGAGCACCGGATGTACACGCAGCATTACGTCCCCAACAACCGCGAGGTACGTTTCGGCGGGCGTGCAGAAGCCACCCCCTTCGCTCTGGGGACGGGAGGAATGGAAACGCTGACACGGCAGGGCAGTACTACAACTTCGGCGAGAGCGAGATCGTGACCAAGCCCGTGTTCAAGCAGCGGATACAGGACCTCATCAACACGCACAAGGAAGCAGGCCCGCTCTTCTCGTCTTCCATGACACTCGCAGGACGTC